CAGTACAAGCGCGCATACCTACCAGATTGACCAACGCATACCGATTTATTGCCAGTCCACTAAATTTGGCCTTCTTCTTCAACAACAATATGTTCTAACCTTTCTGATCCACATAATTTGGGAGATTTCAGAGTTTCAGCTCCGCCTTGTACCTGCACACAAGCGTGCATACCGACCGAACCGAACAACGCATTAATTTCTCCGTAGAAATACAAAGAGTACCATATAATTTTCATTTTCCCTCTAGATTACACATTTCCCCACCGCCTAACCAGGTTCTAACCTTTTGGATCTATGTAATTTGGCAGATATAGGCATTCCAATTGTACATGGTACCTGCAGTACAAGCGCGCATATCTACCTAACTGACTAGCGCATTACCTATGTTTGTAGAGATGCTGTTAGTACCGTATTCTTGACCGTCCACAATATTAGGCCTTTTTCTTCAACAAAACTAGGTTCTAACCTTTTTGATCCACATAATTTGGAAGATTTCAGACATCTGGCTCCACCTTGTACCTGCACAGAAGCGTACGTACCAACACAACCGAAAACCCTTTACTTTATCCGTAGAAATACAAAGAGTACCACATATTCTTCCTTTTTCCTCTAGATTATACATTTCACCACCGCCCAACCAGGTTCTAACCTTTTGGATCTATGTAATTTGGCTGATATATGCATTCCAATCGTACATGGTACTTGCAGTACAAGCGCGCATACCTACCAAATTGACCAACGCATACCGTTTTATTACCAGTCCACTAAATTTGGCATTCTTCTTCAACAACAATATGTTCTAACCTTTCTGATCCACATAATTTGGGAGATTTCAGAGTTCAGCTACGTCTTGTACCTGCACACAAGCGTGCATACTGACCGAACCGAACAACGCATTAATTTCTCTGTAGAAATACAAAGAGTACCATATATTTTTCCCTTTTCCTCTAGATTACACATTTCCTCACTGCCCAACCAAGTTCTAACCTTTCAGATCTATGTAAATTGGTAGACGTAGGCATTCCAATCGTACATGGTACCTGCAGTACAAGCGCGAATACCTACCAAACTGACCAGCGCATTACATATGTTTGTACAAATGCAGTTAGTATCATATTCTTGCCAGACCACTAGATTAGACCATCTACTTGAACAAAACTAGGTTCTAACCTTTTTTATCCATCTAAGATGGGATATTTCAGAGTTCTGGCTCCACCTTGTACCTGCACACAAGCGTGCATACTGAACGAACCGAACAACGATTACTTTCTCCGTAGGAACCCAAAGAGAACCATATATTTTTCCTTTTTTCCTCTAGATTACACGTTTCCCCACCGCCCAACCAGGCTCTAACCTTTTGGATCTATGTAATTTGGCAGATACAGGCATTCCAATCGTACATGGTACCTGCAGTACAAGCGCTCATACTTACCAAACTGACCAGCGCATTACATATGTCTGTAGAGATGCGGTTAGTACCGTTTGGTTACTAGTCCACTAAATTTGGCCTTCTTCTTCAGCAACAATATGTTCTAACCTTTCTGATCCACATAATTTGGGAAATTTCAGAGCTTCAACTCCGCCTTGTACCTGCACACAAGCGTACATACTGACCGAACCGAACAGCGCATTTTTTTTCTCCGTAGAAATACAAAGAGTACCATAAAATTTTTCCCTTTTCTTCTAGATTACACATTTCGTCACCGCCCAACCAGGTTCTAACCTTTTGGATCTATGTAAATTGGCATATGTAGGCATTCCAATCGTTCATGGTATTTGCAGCACAAGCGCGCATACCTACCAAACTGACCAGCGCGTTACATATGTTTGTGGAGATGCAATTAGTACCATCTTATTGCTAGTCCACTAGATTATGCTTTCTACTTCAACAAAACTAGGTTCTAACCTTTTCTATCCACTTAATTTGGGAGATTTCATATTTCTGGTTCAACCTTGTACCTGCAGACGAGCGTGCATACTGACTGAACCGAAAACCCATTACTTTCTGCGTAGAAATACATATATTTTTCCTTTTTCCTCTAGATTACACATTTCCCTACTGGGCAACCAGGTTTTCACCTTTTGGATCTATATAATTTGGCAGATATAGGCATTCCAATCATTTATGGTACCTGCAGTACAAGCGCGCATACCTACCAAAATGACCAGCGCATTACATATGATTGTAGAGATGCTGTTAGTATCATATTTTTGCCAGCCTTCTACTTCAACAAAACTAGGTTCTAACCTTTTCAATAAACGCAATTTAGGAGATTTTAGAGTTCTGGCTCCACCTTGTACCTGCACAGAAGCGTGCATACTGCCAAACAACCCATTACTTTCTCCGTAGAAATACAAAGAGTACCATATATTTTTCCTTTTTTCTCTAGATTACACATTTCCCCACCGCCCAGCCAGGTTCTATCCTTTTGAATTTATGTAATTTGGCAAATATAGGCATTCCAATCATACATGGTAACTGCAGCACAAGCGCGCATACCTAGTAAACTGACCAGCGTATTACATATAATTGTAGAGATACAATTAGTACCATATTCTTGCCAGTCCACCAGATTAGGCATTCTACTTCAAAGAACTAGGTTCTAACCTTTTCGATCCACATAATTTGGGAGATTTCAGAGTTCTTGCTCCATCTTGTACCTGCACACAAGCGTGCATACTGACTGAACCGAACAACGCATTTCTTTCTTTGTAGAAATGCAAAGAACCTTATCTCCATATGTTTTTCTTTTTTCATCTAATTTACACATCTCCCCACCGCCCAACTAGGTTCTAACCTTTTGGATCTATGTAAATTAGCAAATATAGGCATTCCAATCGTACATGGTACCTGCAGGCTGAAATCGCTTGTTCCGAGCGTTTTTCTTCCGCCGGGTTACGTGGCTGCGCTTGTCTGGGCTTTTTACCAAGCCAGCAAGGGCGTGGGAGGGTTGCAAGCATCATCAGTCATCAGCGCTCGCGAATGAAGAGCGCCCGCTGCACTTTCGCACATGTGCGGATCCTTCCGAATGTTGGGGGTGGAAGTGCTCGTTCCGAGCGTTTTTCTTCCGCCGGGTCACGTGGCTGTGCTTGTCTGGTCCTATTACCAAGCCAGCAAGGGCAAGGGAGGGTTGCAAGCATTATCTGTCATCGGTGCTCGCGAATGAAGAGCGTCCGCTGCACTTCCTGCACTTGTGCGGATCCTTCCGTGTTTTGCGGGTGAAAGCGCTCATTCCGAGCGTTTTTCTTCCATCGAGTCACGTGGCTGTGCTTTCCTAGTCTTATTCCCAAGCCAGCAAGGGCGTGGAAGGGTTGCAAGCATCATCGGTCATCGACACTCGGAATGAAGAGCGCCCGTTGCACTTCCTGCACATGTGCAGATCCTTTCGCATTTTGGGGATGGAAGCACTCGTTGTGAGCGGTTTTCTTCCACCGGGTCACGTGGCTGCGCTTATTTGGTCCTATTACCAAGCCAGCAATGGCGTGGGAGGGTTGCGAGCATCATCGGTCATTAACGCTCGCGAATGAAGAGCACCCGCTGCACTTCCTGCACATGTGCGGATCCTTCCGCGTTTTGGGGCTAGAAGCGCTCGTTCCGAGCGTTTTTCTTCCGACGGGTCTCGTGGCTGCACTTGTTTGGTCCTATACCAAGCTTGCATCGGCGTCGGGGGGTTGCGAGCATCATCGGTCATCGGCGCTCGCGAATGAAGAGCGCCCACTGCACTTCCTGCACGTGTGCGGATCCTTCCGCGTTTTGGGGGTGAAAGCGCTCGTTCCGAGCGTTTTTCTTCCGCCGGATCACGTGGTTGCGCTTGTATGGTCTATTACCAAGCCAGCAAGGGCGTGGGAGGGTTGCGAGCATCATTGGTCATCGGCGCTCGCGAATGAAGAGCGCCCGCTGCACTTCTTTCACATGTACGAATCCTTCCGCATTTTGGGGTTGGAGGCGCGCGTTTCGAGCAATTTTCTTCTACCAGGTCACGTGGCTGCGCTTATCTGGACCTATTACCAAGCCAGCAAGGGCGTGGGAGAGTTGCAAGCATCATCGGTTATCGGCGCTCTCGAATGAAGAGCGCCCGCTGCACTTCCTGCACAGGTGCGGATCCTTGCGCGTTTAGGGGCTGGGAGCGCTCGTTCTGAGCGTTTTTCTTCCGCCGGGTCACGTGGCTGCACTTGTCTAGGCAAACTAGCAAAACAGTCTCGGCTGCAAATGCGCACAGATGCACTACCGACATCACTCGAGCCGGGCCAACTTGGACGTCCTGAGCCAGTTTTGCCCCATCGCGCTGAAAATCCGCGCATGTGTGGAAGATTGTGAAGCAGTCGGGGGTTCTTGCACTCGATCGTGCTCCCCATACCCCCTCCCCACTGGCAAAATAGTCTCGGCTGCAAATGCGCACTGATGCGCGACCGACATCGCTCGAGCCGGGCCATCCTGGACGTCCTGAGCCAGTTTTGCCCCATCGCGCTGAAAATCCGCGCGCATGTGTGGAAAATTGTGAAGCAGTCGGGGGTTCTTGCACTTGATCGTGCTCCCCATACCCCCTCCCCACTGGCAAAACAGTCTCGGCTGCAAACGTGCACAGATGCGCGACCGACTTCGCTCGAGCCGGGCCATCCTAGACATCCTGAGCCAGTTTTGCCCCATCGCGCTGAAAATCTGCGCGCATATGTGGAAGATTGCAAAAGCAGTCGGGGTTTCTTGCGCTCGATCGTGCTCCCCATACCCCCTCCCACCTGGGAAGACAGTGTCGGCTGCCCTGCTTGTCGTAGGGTTCATCTTCCCACCCACAGCCTGCTTGTCCTTCAGTACCGGTAATTGGTGTTAGTCATTTACAACTGCCATCCTACCATGTAGCTGCAGTTGTCTCATTGAACATTGAGTAGCTTAAAAAATGTATAGTACATTATAACAAGCAGTAACTGCTGGCTTTTTTATGCTGCACCAGCTTGAAACCTGACAGCAAGTCCGTGCCAGCCTGCGCGTGTGCCTGAGAGGGTCACCGTGGCAGGTCCTCTGTGACGGGCACTGTCTGGCCCCTCTCTGACTTGGCGTTCTCTGCGAACTGCACCCATGCAAGGGCAGGGGAGGAGAGGGGGACCGGGCAAGGCACACCAGCACACAGAGCTGAGGCCGAGTGAGGTGAGGGACAGAAAGCGTGTGCAGGCAACAAACAGTGCAGAACCACAACACCAGCCTGCAAATTTTCTGCACGAGCGCAGCAGCGGATGACTGAGAGCAGGAACTGACCTTGAGTCCGCTGGAGTGCATGTCCTTGGCCTGCTCCTTCTCTGAGTACTCCCCCGCGTAATACGCCTCCTCCGTGGCTGACGGCCGGGACGAGGGCGCAGTGAGCATGGAGCCCCACTGGGGGAAGTAGACAGCAACGACTGGCAGCGTGCAGCAGATGATCATGACGCCCATGTAGGTGAGGCCCTGCTCCGTGCTGTACGCGCCCTTGAAGAAGATGGCCTGCGTGATGGCCGACCCCACGTTGCCGCCCGCCCCCGTGAACCCCGACACGATGCCCAGCGCGCGGTGGGACACAAACGGGATGATGCCGAACGTGGCGCCGCACGCGGCCTGGCAGAAGTAGGAGAAGATGAGCATCACGAGCGTGGACGCCCACAGCGTGTTCATGTACCCCAGCGTCAGACAAAACACGCCGCCCAGCGTCTGCAGCAGCCACAGGTTCCAGAGCCGCCCGCGCATGCCGAACCAGCGGGCGGCAAAGTCAGAAAGAATCCCACCACTGGGGCGCGAGAAGATGTTCATGAGGCCGAAGGACGCGGCGATGAGCCCGGCGGTGTTGAGGTTGAGGTTGAAGCGGTCGTAGTAATACTCGGCGATCACGTTATCGACAGTCAGCTCCACACCGAAGCAGTAGCCGTATGTGATGACAAACACCCACGTGCGGTAGTTGAGGCACGCTGTCTTGAGCACCTTGAGTGGCTGGTCCATCCTCCGCACGCCCTTGCTGGCCAGGTCCAGGTACTGGCCGTCAGGGCAGTCCTGCCCCAGCAGCAGCACGAGCAGCCCCATGAGCGTCTGTGCCGTGGCGGGCACGAAGAAGGAGAGGCGCCAGGCGGTGAAGGCGGGCACGTGGATGGCGTCGGTGATGAGCGAGTAGATGAGCGGCATGATCAGCTGGATGGCGCCCCCCCCCAGGTTGCCCCACCCCGCCGCCGTGCCGTTGGCCAAACCCACTATGCGCGAGTTGAACATGGACGACATCCAGTACTGCACGCGGCAAGAGGGGGGGATGGGGGGGATGGGGGAAGGGGATGGGACGGGGAAGGGGGCAGGGGGGAGTACGGGGCAGGGAGTGAAAGGAGGTGAGAGAGGGCGGTGGAGAGGAAGCGGACCATATCAAGAAACGAGCATCGGAACGAGGGGCGCAATTGGAGAGGCACGTGCAGCACGCACCTGGCAGGAGACGAAGGTGGCGAGCACAAAGCCGATGAAGAAGCGGCAGATGATGAAGCCCGTGGCGTTGGTGACGGCCGCCATGGCCGCCACACACGGCACCGTCACGATGAGCAGGAACGACGTGCCGTAGCGCGGCCCCACCAGGTCGCACACCGTGCCTGCGCCACCGCACGCATGCAGGGGGGAGGGCGAACGGGGGAGCGTGAGACATGGAGAAGCGAGAGGGAGGGAGGAGAGCGAGAGCAAGGGAGTGAGGGAGCGAAGGAGCGAGAGAGGCCGAGAGGGCGAGATAGTGGGGGGCAAGAGAGCGAAAGACGGCGAGAGAGTGGGGCGCAAGAGAGCGAAAGAGGGCGAGAGAGCGCGACGTACCCATGACGAGACGGCTGACGACGGCGCCGACGACAGCGGCGATACCAGCGTTGGCGATCTCGGCCTTTGTGAGGTCCAGGTTGTCCCGAATCACCGGCAGCAGCGGCGGCGCTGGCGGCGGGATGGCGGAGCGAGGGGAGCGCAGGGTGGGACGAAATTAGCATCACGCGGATTCGGAGAAGAGCGGGCGATGGGAGAGTGTCACGGCGGTGCGATGTTACTAGGGATAGCAAGGAGAGGGTTAATCGACGGTAGTGCGAGGGTGCGATGGTGCGACGGTGTGAGGGTTTGAGGGTGTGAGGGAGTGTGGGGGGTACCGGCGAAGGCGGAGCAGAAGGAGAGGAAGAAGGCGATCCACGAGAGGTGGAATGCGCGCATGTGCGGCCGCGCCGCGCTGCTCGGGGGGTGGCAGGAGGGCAGGACAGGGCGAAGGAGAGACACGATGAGGTGAGTAAAGGGGAAAAGGTACAGCGGGCGAATTTGCAGTTGGAGAGTGAACCGGGGCAAGGGCAGGGCAAGGAGAGGACGCGACTTGGTGAGCGCAGCAAATTAGGTACGGCGGGCGCAATTGCGCGCAGAGAGGAGAGGGGACTTGGCGGTGGAGAGTTGCGGATAAGAGCGGGGAGTGGAGAAGCAAAGGAGGCGCGTTTCTGACTGCGCCGACACGTCATGACGCGGACTTAACGGCTGGGAGCGCGAGGCGCGGCGCACCTGAAGAGTTTGAACTGCTTGGCCTTGTGCTCCGAGTCGACGGGCAGCGGGAAGAGCGCGCCGCCCTCGTCGAGCCCCACGTCGCGCGAGAAGATGGGCTCGCGGCCCGTCACGCCGCGCATCGACTCGCCGGGCGCGCCCACCGCATCGTGCCCCACCGCCGCTGTCGACACGTCAGCCATGGCTGCCTCGCTTGCCGCCCGGCGTCTTCTAGCGGACAACCACGGCTTCCTTTAGTTACGCGAAGCGATGTGCTCGCGTCGCAGCGGGTGCGTTGGAGATTGTTAGCGTTCGAGGGTCGGAAGGCGTCTGATTCTGCTGTGCTCGTCTGCCTCGCTGACTCACGGATTTCGCGTTTGTTCGCCTCGCAGGGCAACAGCAGGAAGACTGTCGCGCTGCTTGGTACGACGACGCGGGAAGACTGTTGTTAGTCGCTCTAGAAGAGCTTGGGCTTGGCACAGTAGAATGTCAGCAGGCACTTGGATAAAGCCTTCATCGTTTCCTAACCCGCATTTATCGTCACTCCGCCATCGCAGAGGCTTGCGCACGTGACGATGTGCCGTTCTCGACAATCACTTTTGCTCGCAATGCCTCCTCGACTCGACCCTGTCCCTGCCGCCTTCGCCGCATCACGTGCTGTGTCCCCGTCACTGCTGATGTCACACGTGGCGCTGATTATCCAATCAGTGCCAAGCGGACGACACTGTCGGTGCAACATGTGGTCGATACGGGGAGACCCGGCTGTCGGGGAGGGCAGAGGACGAGGCCGTGACGGGTCAGGGGGCGAAGGTGAGTGGGTGAGCGGGGTGAGGGGCGTCGCTCACGCGACGGGGATTCGCAGGGCAGATACACGGAGAGGGCGGATCGCAGGGGAGGCGAGCGGAGGGGGACAATTGGGTGGATGCGGGGCGCCGATGCGATCCAATGGTGTTCAAGGGCGATACCTTCTGGCGGCTCGCGGGTCAGAAGATGGGGCCACTGCTAGGATGAGATGAGGGGAGGGGCAATGGACTGCCTGCAGCTGGCTCGGAACGTTTTTCGGGGGCGAGTTGGCATTTCGCGAATCAAGAAAGGTAGGAGCCAGAGGGCAGTAGAGTAGAGCCAATCGGTTGGCACGTTTCCGAGATTTGTGCCTTTTCAGGCAAGTCGCCGAGCAGGGAAAGGACCTTCGCCAACTGCGGGTGAGGAGGGCAACTGAGCTGAGCACCACAAACTTACCCACGTGGCTAGACTCAAACGTGATTGGGTCGAATCGAAACATAATCCGAGGGCGATCCAGATTCACAAAGGCCAGCCTGTACTCACCCAAACCCAAACCCATTCGTCACCTTGCCGAGGGGAGCCCGCAGGTCATTTTAAATGAGATGAAATAGTTGTACAAGAGTAATATTAATTATTTTATCATCACGTCTCTTGGCACACTGCAATACCCCTAGGACTTCAATAACATCCGCCCCTCTCGGCACATCTCAGCCCAACTGGCTTCACTCCAACCCTGTTTCCAGTGGAAAAAACAAGGAATTCCTATCGAAGTACAGTTCAACAACCTTTTCCTTGAATTTGCACATACCACTAAATCAAAGCTCCTTGTCATGATGCGGGAAGAAACTACTGTATCATCAGCAGCAATGCCTCTAGGAGCTGCTGGGTGAGAGCATTTGCACTTCGTGTGGGGCGGAGGTCCGCCGTAGGAGCAAGGGAAGAGGAGAAAGGATGGACTCACTCACGGCCCTAGCGCCACGCCACCGCAATAAGTTGCACTTGTGCTGCACAATCAATGGATGGCTTCAGAGCGGTGAGGGTGGTCGGTGGGGCTGCGAGCGCAGGGAGGCATAGCGGGGAGAGAGTCGCGGGCGCGGACAGAAGGACGAGGGCGAGGAGGGCAGGCGGGGGGGAGGAGCAGAGCGCAGGGGAGAGGAGGAGAGGTGCGTATGCAGCAATGGGAGGGGAGGGGCGTGCCATGCATGAGGGGGGGATGCAGCGAGAGGGGGAGAAGCAGTGAGAGGGGGGCGTGGGCTGAGGGAGGGGGGGGAGGGCCGGCGACCATGGGCTGGAGGCGGGGAGAGGGGCGGTGAGGGGGATGGCAAGTGCAGATGCTGATGATAGTGTGATGTCACCATGACCTCATGGTCCGCACTGCTGTCAAAAAACAGAAGCTCCTTGCCCTCTTCTTCCCCCTCCTCCTCCTCATCCCCCCTTTCCTCCTCATCCTCCTCGTCCTCCTGCTCCTCTTGTTCCTCCCCCTCCCCGTCCTCCTCCTCTTCATTCTCATCCTCCTCATCATAATACTCTTCACATTCCAACTCATCCACATCCTCTTCCTCTTGCTCCTCCCCTCCCTCGCCCTCCTCCCACTCCTCCTGCCCCTCTCCTCCATCCGACCCATCCACTTGCCACTCCCTCTCCACGTCATCCCCTTCAATCTCCTCCTCCCCTTCCCCCTCCTCCGCCTGCTCCTCACGCTGCTCCTCCTCCCCTTCCATACCCCATGTGGCCATACCCGTTCCACCCTCTTCCCACTGCCACGCACCACTGCGTCCGACCGCACTCACCCACGGCGCAAGTGTGCTTGCATCGCGCGCCTCTCCACTCTCCACGCCCTCCGCCACGCCCTCCCCTCCACTCATCTCCTCATTTGGCACTCCCTGCCAACCCCCATCCTCCTCCCCCTGCTCCGCTCCCCCCTGGCCCCCCTGCGCCCTGCCCCCACTCCGTCCGCCCGCCCACCTGTGACCTGCGCCCTCCGCCCCGGCCTGTCGCCACCACGCACTGCGCTGCTCGCCGCTCTGCTGCTGCTCGTCCCACGGCCTTCCCCACTCACTCACGCTGCTCTCCATGCCTCCTCTGCTGCCCCCCCGCCTCTCCGCCCCCCCTGTCACGCCCGCCCATGCATGCATCTGCCCCGCGCCACCCCACAGCTCGCGTCCCGCTTGCCGCGGACTCACTCGTTGCACCTCCCGCCCCTGCTGCTCCACCCGCTGCGCCAGCCCGCCAGTAGAAGCTGTTGCTCTCGCAGGGGTCCCCTCTGGCGCGGCGAGAGCAGGGGAGGCGGGGTGCGCGGGGGAGGCGTGGCGGTGGTGGCGCAGGGCGGAGGGGGGCACCAAACGACCGCCCCTGGACCAGCCCTGCCCGCCCCACCACTGCACGTCTATCCCCTGCTCCCTATCTGTCTCGCTCTCCCGCTCGCTCCCCCTCACACTCTCCCTCTCGCTCTCCCTCTCACTCTCCCTCACACTCTCCCTCTCACTTTCCCTCTCACTCTCCCTCTCACTCCCCCTCTCCCCTTCCCTCCCCCAATTCCGGATCACCTCTCGCCGCATCTCCCTTTCCCACTCCCTCTCCTCCCTCACGCCCCTCTCGCGCCCTCCCCTCAGCCCCCACCCCGCACCTCCCAACCCGCCCCTCCCCCATCCGCCACCCGCGCCGCCCCCACCTGCATCCCCCCCTATCCCCCATCCCCAACGCGCCCGCCCTTCCCACTCTCCCCCTCTCCCCGCGCGCCCCGCCTCGCGCGGAAGCGAGCCCCGCGCGCTGCTGGAGGCGCTCAGGCTGCTCAGGCTGTTCCTGTTGCGCGCGCGGGCAGCAGCCGACTGCCCCAGCACTCCCCGCACTCCCACTCCCCCGCCCTCCCTCTCCCTCTCCCGCTCCCTCTCCCTCACCCTCTCCCACGCCCGTTCCCTCCACTCCTCTCGCTCCCGCTCCCTCTCTCTCTCCCTCTCCCGATCCCGCTCCGTCCACTCCCACCGGAACCCCACGCCCTCCCGTTCGCTATCCCCTCCCTCCCACCCGCTGCCACCCCCCTCCTCTCCGCTCACTCCGCCGCTCCACCCTCCGCGGCCCCTCTCCCCGCTTTCCGTGCTGTCCCACCCATCGCCGCCCCCGTCCCTGCTCTCCCCGCCGCCCCACTCCCCCTCGCCGCGCTCCCCGCCCTCCCACTGCATCTCGTGCCACTCAACGTCGCCGCGCTCCCCCTCCCCTCCCCCTGCTGCGCCGCCGCCACCACCTTCCGCTCCCCCGCCCGCGCTGGTCCCCCCTGCTCCTTCCGCCCCCCGCCCCTGCCCCTGCTGCGGCGCGTCCTGCGCGTCGGCGGTGGGCAGTTCGAAGCGGCAGACGGGGCACGTGTTGTGGCGCTGCAGCCACGGCAGGATGCAATCCGAGTGGTACACGTGGCGGCACGGCATTTGCCGCGTGACGGCGCCCGTCTCGTAGTCGTCCTTGCAGATGGCGCACGGGTCCATCAGCCCGCCGCCCTCCCCGTGCGCGCCCTCGCTCGCCGTCTCTCTCTGCGCCACGTCAGCAGCGGTCACCACGCGCACCAGCATCGCCTCGACGGCCGCCGGGCAGGCGGGCGGGTTGCGCGTGCTGCCGAAAGAAGGGGGGAAGGGATGGGCGAGAGAGGGGAGAAAAGGAGGGGAGGTGCGCGCACAGAGGCAGATCGCGGTAAGCCACTGGAATTTCGCAAACGTTTGTAGTAACCTAATCACCGCACGGCACAACTGACGCACTCACCCCCTTTCCCGTGCTTCGCCCGCACCTGACGGCGTCGTCGGCGGAAATCCGCTCAACGAGCGCGTCGAAGTCGTCCCCGAAGAAGTAATCCCCAACCGCGCCCGCTATGCCGCCCGCCGCGCCGCCCGCAACGGCGCCGCCCAGCAGCTGGCCGCCGACGATGGCGTTGAGGGACTCGAGGCGCGCCAGCAGACGCCGCAACTGGCGGGAGGGGCGAGACAGACGAGAAGAACGATTTGGGCGAGGGGGACAGCAAATGACGGCATGAGGAGCAGACAGCACATACCCGCGCAGAGAGCACATACCCGCGCAGAGAGAACATACCCGCGCGTAGAGCAAGCGTCATGGCACCCCCTCCAGTTCGCTCACGCACCCAACAAGCCGCCCCGCCCTTTGCGTGATGATATGGTACCGTGTGTTCGCGGGTCATGCGTCGCTCCATGAACTCCAGGATCGGCGACGCCTCCGCCTCGCTCCGCACGCCCAGCAGCGACGCCGCCACCCCGCCCCCCGCGTCCTCCGCCCCTCCGAACCGCCGGGCCCGCGCCGCCCCCACCCGCGCCGACGCAGCTCCCCCTGCCCTTCCCGTCAGTCCCCCTCTGCCGTACGCAGCACCAAGCGTTGGTTCCCTGCCGGCCACGTCAGCGAGTCGCCCGTGGTCAACGCGGTCCTCCATGTCTCGCAGCATCCTCGCCAGCCCCAGATACGCGCCCTCCAGCCTCCGCGCCGCGCCGTGCCTCTCGCCGCCCTCCTCCGCCTCGCCGCTTGCTCCAGCCGCAGCGGAAGCGGAAGCCGCGGAAGGACCACCACTGGCGGCGCCGCCGCCGCCACCGCTGCCACTACGGCTAACGCCAACGGCAGCAGCCGCAGCGCGGCCGTCATCGTCGGCGGGCCGCACGCCCCACCCGCTGGACTCCCGAAACGCTGCTTCGCCGGCAGACGGGCCTGGGGACCTGACGTCAGCACCCACGCCGACGTGCCGCCGGCGAACGAATCCGCGGAAGGGCCGCTCGGGGCGGAGCGACGCGACGGCGGCGACCCCGGCGGTCTCGCCTGCGCTGACATCCGCATCGCCCGCGCTCTCGCCGTCCCACGCGAACGGGCTCTCACGCGCCTCCCTCGCGAACCCGCTCGCCGCCCCGGCATGCGCGCTGCTGGCATGCGCGTTGCCGGTATACTCCTCCGCTAGGTCAATCACGGGCGCGGCAGTAGCAGCGGCACCGCGCGCGTGGTCGGATCCGCGGTGGCTCCATCTGTGGTGGCCGCCGTGCTCCACGCCGTCGATGTCGCTGCCAGCTGTCAACTCCTCCACGAATCCGCCGCCGCACCACGCGCAGATGACCTCCGCCGCTTCTACGTCGTTCGCAGGAACTGTTAACGAGCGGACCGTGGCGCACTGATGACACCAGAACGGACGAGATGGCATGGTCTACACGTATAACATGAATCTAAGCTGCTTCCTCGGCGTGCACGTTAGACGCTGACGCACGCAGGATGAGCGGGACAGCACGCTGTTAAACGAATTCCAGAGAAACAGAAAAAGCTGAAGCGAAAGATTGCTTACGCCACACGGCACCAGAAGAGAAAAGGCGATTGAAAGAAAAGAATGCTAGGCAATGTTTCCTCAGGCCTAACATTGCCTAGGCTAACCTTCACGCGCTTCCTACTCACAAGAAATCTGCTTCAAACTGCGATTCTGTGGGGAGAAGCAGGAATTACAGGCAGGCGAACCTGTTGCCTTCAGCTGGCAATATGGTAGGGAACCTGTGACGCAGGAGCCATAATCTGTTTGTCTAGAGTTGACTTTTGTAAGGTGCGTTCTGGTGAGCAGTGGTCTAAGCCGGTGAAAAGCGGAAACTCTTTCAAACCGAAATCAACCTAGAATGTACCGCACAATAAAAAGAAAAACATGAGCAGACAAGAGGAAGAGGTAGGAGGAGAAGTGTACGGTTTGGGAAGGTCCTGGTTGTGGGGCATGTGCGTGACGCATGGCGTGGATGGGAAAGTTGGTTGGAACACGAAGCTGTCATTCGCTGTGGTCAGGCCACCCTGTCGCTAGACAGACAGGCTCGGCGCGACGACAGTACGGGGACAGGAAATGCCGGACCAGATTTCTAGTAGGTGGTGGGAGAGGGCAAGCGCCGAAGCATTCTCACCGCGCTGAGATTTGCGCTCGGTACCCGAGCCAGGTACCGAAGCTCCGAAACGCGAACAGCAAAGGGCACACGCCGCACAAGCCCTAGGCCTGACAGTCCTTTTGCGCTGTAAACAGCTCCTATGCAGTGCAAAGCCATGAAACGAGACACCACTGAGCTTCATATAGTTGCAGTCACGGATCAGCACAGCACCAAGGAAAAAGACCGAGAGATATGCCAACGGGTCCATTAATTTGACATTCATCGCATTCTGCAGATTTTATAGAGAATGTATATTTATTAACCGATAAATGCAGTGAACATGTGAGAGCATAGAACAGGAAGTCGAAATAGATAGGTGGTTGACTGCCAGTACATAATTTGAAAAGGGTGAAAGCACCCAAAGATCTAATAAACCGGTGCTAACTATATGGGATCCCACATGATGGTGGATGACCACCAGCAAGTGCGCGCTGCCACGACTCACGTTCGCGATACACATTGTAACCCGAGCGAGCTCGAACCGTTCACCCCGTCGCACACGGCCTTCCATCCCCCTCATCGCTCCCATACCGCCTGCCCCTGCCCTTCGATGGCCTCCCCAGCCCCCTAGCAGCAGCAGCCCAACAAAGCTCTTCTGCTGTGCTTCTCTCCGCCCTTTCTCTCCCCTCCCTAGTTTCTGGTTGCTCTACTCTAGACACCCACACGGCCCGACATGGTACGCGCTTCCAGCTTTCATTGATTCACTCGGTGTTTCTCATCTTCACACTAGTCCAACATATCACTTTAGCGGACGTAATGCAAGAATCGCCATGTCCTCGTTTTTTCGTAATAGTTGCAAACCCTAGCTGCCGATGACGTCTCTAACTGGCTGGCGTACCGTCGTGCCGTCCTCTTGCCGTGGTGCAGGCGATTGATCTGAAGGCCGGCGGGCGGAACAAGAAGACCCACAGGACGGCCCCTAAGAGCCGGAATCCCTACCTCCTCCTCCTCGTCAAGGTCAGTCGCGCGCCGCCCGTGCGTCTGAATGGCAGCCGCCTGTGATCGTTGAAGGATAGACCTTTCCGTTTGGGAGGCGCTGTGTTGCGACGGCACGGGATTTACACCTCTAGGGCCAGGGGGAGAACAGGCTGTCGCCAAGGGATTGCCACGTGCCGATCGATGCACCCAGGGAAGCATAGGATCCATTCAAATCGACGGAGGGAAGGCCGTAGCGAGGGTTCAGAAACGGCGGGACTGGCAGCACTTTAGTTTTCCATCCGGCAACCAACATCTCGGTAGGCTGTAGTGCTGGCGTTATTCCCGCATTGCGCCACTGGCACTTATGCAGTCTAGCAACGGTTCCAGGCGCCTAGGTGTGGGCATGAGCGAGTGGAGTGTTCTGCGCGGCGTGTAGAACAGTGGTTAGCCGGTTGAATTTACATTCGCCAGGGCGTTACTGCAGCGGGCTGCTCGCCACACGCTGTAGAGAACTCGAAATCAACGTGCTGGACTCCGCAGTGCCATGCCCCTGTGAACAGCCTAACATAGCCGTCCCAGTACATCTTTAGAAACGCTAGGGATATAGTCTCGCATGGTCGGCTTACTCGGCCCTCGCAGCTCACCTCTATTCCGTCACGTGTCAACCCCACCCACGCCGCTCTCGCGCTCCTTCATTGACGCGCCCGCCAGCATTCACTCACGCACGTATACTCACTTATAGCCACCCCTTCAAGCTCTCAGTTCCTTTCCCTCTCTGTTCGTATCCGCGCACCCCCTCCCTCTTTCTTCCCCCCATTCGCTGCCTCCCTCCCCCTGCTTGCTCCCCCTCCGCTCCCCTTCGTCGCCACTCCCTCCCCCCTCCCGGCGCGCGCAGATCTACCGCTTCCTGGCGCGGCGCACGGGCAGCCCGTTCAACAAGGTGGTGCTGCGCCGCCTCTGCATGAGCCGCACCAACCGCCCGCCCGTCGCGCTCTCGCGCGTCCTCGAGTACGGCGAGAACAAGGTCCGCGCGGGGGAGGGGGGAGGGGAGGAGGGGGGGGGGGGGGCTAAGGGATGGGGAGGGTTGGAGTGGGATGCAGGGAAGATGGAAGGCCGGGGTGTAAGGGGAAACGGGAACGAGTTTAGAGAGCAGCGAGCGAGTGGCACAACACGGTCCCTCCATCGGAACCGTCACAAGCGTCATGGTTTGCAACCCATTGTGCCTTGCAATCCCGCGTTCTCCCAGAGTCTCATCCCACTTTAGCACCGCTTCTCCCGCCTCGGCCCGTACTGACTGCCCTCTCGCTTTTTCCCGCCCTCTCGCTTTTTCCCGCCCTCTCGCTTTTTCCCGCCCTCTCGCTTTTTCCCGCCCTCTCGCTTTTTCCCGCCCTCTCGCTTTTTCCCGTCCTCTCGCTTTTTCCCGCCCTCTCGCTTTTTCCCGCCCTCTCGCTTTTTCCCGCCCTCTCGCTTTTTCCCGCCCTCTCGCTTTTTCCCGCCCTCTCGCTTTTTCCCGCCCTCTCGCTTTTTCCCGCCCTCTCGCTTTTTCCCGCCCTCTCGCTTTTTCCCGCCCTCTCGCTTTTTCCCGCCCTCTCGCTTTTTCCCGCCCTCTCGCTTTTTCCCGCCCTCTCGCTTTTTCCCGCCCTCTCGCTTTTTCCCGCCCTCTCGCTTTTTCCCGCCCTCTCGCTTTTTCCCGCCCTCTCGCTTTTTCCCGCCCTCTCGCTTTTTCCCGCCCTCTCGCTTTTTCCCGCCCTCTCGCTTTTTCCCGCCCTCTCGCTTTTTCCCGCCCTCTCGCTTTTTCCCGCCCTCTCGCTTTTTCCCGCCCTCTCGCTTTTTCCCGCCCTCTCGCTTTTTCCCGCCCTCTCGCTTTTTCCCGCCCTCTCGCTTTTTCCCGCCCTCTCGCTCCCTCGCTCTTCCACTATCTTCCTCTCCCATCTCACTCTTCCATTGCCTACTCCCCATTTCCCCAACACCCCGACTCCCCTCCTTGCCCCCCGCCCCCCACGGTGCTCCGCTGGTGCGCGCGCGTAGGGCGCGGAGGCGGTGGTGACGGTGGTGGGCAAGGTGACGGACGACAAGCGCCTGTACGCCGTGCGCGAGGGCGTCAAGGTCTGCGCGCTCGCCTTCTCCGCCACTGCGCGCGCGCGCATCGAGAAGGCGGGCGGCGAGTGCCTCTCCTTCGACCAGCTCGCGCTGCAACGGCCCACCGGCAACAACTGCGTACGCCGCCCAACCCCGCGCACTGCCTCCCCTCCTCTCTCCTCCGCCCTCATCATTTTTACCTGCGTTTTTTCACTTTCTGCGTGCCGCTGATTCTTGTTCCCCTCACTCCGTTCCCTTCCCCCCCCCTTTTCCCCCTGCCTGTCCGCGTGCCTGCGCTCGCCCTGCGCGCAGCTGCTGCTGCGCGGCAAGGTGACGAGCCGCGAGGCGTTCAAGCACTTCGGCCCCGCGCCCGGTGTGCCGCGCAGCAACACCAGGCAAGTGCTCCTCCTCCCTTGCTCCCTCCTCCCCCCTGTGTCCTCCCCTGCGTCTATCTCCCCGCGTGCAATGCCACCCACCCGAACCTCACTGGACCGCGCCGTCATCTGTCGGCAGGGGTGCTCTCGGTTGTGGGCTGGGGGGCAGAGGGGCTGTGACGTGGGTGACAGGGGCTGTGACGTGGGTGACAGGGGCTGTGACGTGGGTGACAGGGGCTGTGGGCCGTGGGTTGTGAGACGTGGTGTGCGCGACAGGAGGTAGCAAGGAACGAGGGCTTGAGGTGGGATACGGCTGGCAAGCAGCGACCGCCAAGGGCGTCGAGATCAGAGCGTAGGGCACTCGGAGCGCAAGAGAATCAGGGCCGAGGAGAATTAGAGCGCAGGGGAGTGGGACCTAAGAGTCAGCAGACGCCGAGTCTTGCTGCAGTCTGGGCTTGCATCCATTCCGGTGGGAGGTCGTTCATTAGAAGAGTAGCAGCGGAAGCAGCAGCAGCAGCAGCAGCAGCATCAGAAGAAGCAGTAGCAGCAGTAGGAAGAGTAGAAGTAACATCAACAGAAGCAGCAGCAGAAGTAGCAGCAGCTGCGGTGGAGGGCATTGCGGGCCACAGCAACTCTCTGCCTGCCCTCCCCTCTCAGCCCTCCTTGTTCTGTTGCCACCATGCCACCATGGCACCATGGCACCTTGCACCTTCCCATCTTTTTTCTTTCTCCCGCCCGCCCCACGCACCACCCTCCCATTTTGTCCTCTCTGCAGGCCATATGTGCGCAGCGAGGGCCGCAAGCGGGAAATGGCTCGTGGTCGCAGGAACAGCCGCGGCTTCAAGGTGTAATTGGCGATATGATAGAATTGAGCTGGTTATGGTGGAGCTGGTTACGATGGAGTGCGGTACAGTTGCTCTCATTGCACTTGCTGTTGCAAGCACGGATGCAGGCACAGGTGCAGCGGGAGCGTGGCGGCATGGCCGGGTGTAGGGTGCAGGCAAGGGCGGGCAGGGAGGCAGGATTGGCAGGCAGGGAGCACCACATGTGCTGCTATAGACTAGGTACCAGCCATTTCTTTTGTGTTTTGCCTGTGAGTGTACCTGTGCTGTAAAGCTGGGCTTCAGCTGCGCCTGTGCGAAGAATTCATTCATGTAACAAAGGGTTCACTGCTCCTCGTGGATGCAAGCACGAAAATGATCGTAGGCTAACTAAAGTAGCTAGGCTGATAAATGATGACAAAACAATCAATGTATAATTTGTGTCATCGTACGCTGTCGTCTATATGGAAACAGAGCCCATCGATCGTCCTTCCAATTTCCTCTTCTAGTGGAATTCCCGAGAGACGGATACAGTACTTGCATGCAAGACATACCAAATTCTCTTGGGGAAGCAGGCCGAGCTACGATATTGTCGCGAGTTTTCCAGCTGCCGAGTGCCATAGCTCGCCCATGGTTGCGACGACCCTCCGTGTTTCACCGCCATGCTCTGCGCTGCCCACAGCATCGCACCGCCGAGTCAATTCAGCGGCACCGAGCGTCGCCACTCGCAATCGTCTCGTTGAATCCGCCTCCTTACACCTCGGTCAACCACCCGCAAGCCGCGCCGTTAGGCCACTGTCGAGCGCATCACGCGCGCCGCTCGCCCGTTCTGCTTGCGTGTCGCGGGCCATGGGTGGAGCGAACGACTCGACGGCGAGCGAGGCGGCGACAGTCCAGGGAATCCGGCAGCGCACGCGGACTCGTCGGTTCGCCATCCTGCTGGCTGGCCATAGCAGGTGCCTTGAGAGCTGCTGCACTCGAATCTGAATCGACCGAGGCGCGAGCCAATGTTGAGTCATTAGATAAGCCTTCCCTTTCACTGCGCGTAGCAGTGCTACATGCGCTCGAGACCTGCGTTTCACCGTTGTCGCTCTCGTTTATCTTTCCCTTCCGTGTCGTTACCTCGTCGCCCTCAGCGCCTCGCCTTTTCTCCTCCGTCTCTACACCTACCCTCCCCCTACCCTCCCCCTACCCTCCCCCTACCCTCCCCCTACCCTCCCCCTACCCTCCCCCTACCCTCCCCCATGCGCGCGGCAGTCCGTACTCGCAGCAGCGCTACGGCGACTACAGCGGCATGTTCCTCTCGCTGCTCAGGGATCATGGCGGACACGCGCAGGGGGAGAAGACGGGAGAGGAAGGGGAAGCGGAGGCGCGCGGGGAGCGGGGAGAGGAGGGGGAGGAGCGGTGGGATGTGTACTCCGTGGTGGACGGGGAATTCTCCTCCGCGGAGGACCTGGAGCAGGTGAGCTCGCAGTGCGGCGTGGCGTGGCGTGGCGTGGCGTGGCGTGGCGTGGAGGAGAGGGTTGTTCTCGTGTTGACCGGTTGGTGTGCATGCAGGCTGTATCACGGGTGCGGGCGTCTGTGATTCCTTGGCCACACGTCCATCCAGACCATCCATCATGCATCTGCCCTGCTCCCCTTGACCTCGCATGTGCATGCATGGCATGGGGCGCACGCGGCATGGGACACGCATGGGATGTTGCACGCATACATGAACGTTGGGGGGCACACACGGCATGCTGGGGGGTGTGGCAGGTGGAGGCGGTGGTGGTGACGGGCAGCAAGCACGACGCGCATGCGGACGACCCCTGGATCCAACACCTCTGCGCGCTGCTGCAGCACCTGCACCGCCGCAGGACCAAGATCCTCGGCGTCTGCTTCGGCCACCAGGTGCCTTGCTTGCTTGTAACAGTGCACCAACTGTGACGTTTTCCCATCCCCATGTGACCATCCCCGTGTGCCCATCCCCGTGAGCCCATCCCCATGTGCCTCTCGTCCATGTGCCTGGCCTGCTGCATACGTTGCCCATCCCTATCACCACCCATTCCTGCATTCTTCTCATTGTGTGCCACGCCCTCCCCTCATCTCGCTCATCACCTGCCCCCCTCTTCCCACGAGCGCCATGCAGGTGGTGGGGCGGGCTCTGGGGGGGCGCACAGGGCGGGCAGCGGTGGGGTGGGAGCTGGGGATCAAACCCGTGCAGTGTACTGCTGACGTGGCGTCGCTGCCATATGCTGCCGGCCTGCCATCGTCGTTCAAGATTCTGGAGATCCATCAGGACCAGGTGAGTATCGGCTTATATTCACTCAGGAAGATGTGGCATTGAGTTACTTGGTGGCCTGTGCTGCGGCTTTGCTTGTACGACCCCACAAGTTCTAACATATGCGTGTGTTGCTCCCTTCTCCCCCTGCAGGTGTTGGAGTTGCCACCCGAGGCTGTGCTGCTGGGCTCATCACCGCGCACGCCCATTGAGATGTTTGCCATAGGGGAGCACGTGCTGTGCATGCAGGGACACCCCGAGTTTACTAAAGACGTAGTGGAGGACCTTGTAGTGAATCGAACCAAAGATGGCGTCATTCCTGTAAGTCTGTTTCATTTGTTTGTGCTTGAATCTGTACTCGCAAGTGTGCTTCTTTCACTGCTCTCGTCAATGTGGCTTGTGTTTGCGCATGGATCCACGTTGCCTATTGTTTTTTTTTTTTGTTTTTGTTTTGCAGAAGGAAGTGGCGGCTGAAGCCTTGAAGTCGTTAGAAATGTACGACGAGAATAAAGACGAGCTTAGGGCATTGTGCAATTCATTCTTGAGATCCTAACATCTCATACATAATTATTCGTGCAAAATGTACAGTGATCTTGACGCCTACATTGATATTCCCCGCGCATCGCGTGACTTCCCCCAGCTCACCCCCCACCCCCCCATTCGCGCTCCCCGGTGACTGCCGTCCGCCACTTCCCCCATAGCTCAGGGCAGGAATGAAAGGAAGATTGCCGGGAGACATTTCAGAAATCTAGGAGAAATTCAATTTCTGCCACATTCCGCCATTCCTCGTACTTCCTTCAGCCGCGTGACCTCGTCGAGCCAGTCACCAGATTCCGCCATGGCTCGCGGTGCGCGCGCGAGTCCATTGCTATGGGCGGCCGTCGCGGCACTCGTGGTACTGGGATCAGCAGCGGCGACGGCGGCGGCGGAGGAGGGGGATCACACGTTCAGCGCGAGCGTGGTGAAACTGACCGACAGCAACTTCAAGCGCAAGACCAAAGGCCACACCTTCGTCATGTTCTACGCTGAATGGTCCGCCGCCGCCGCCGCGCACGCCATGGATCGCCTACGCTCTAACACGCAACGCTCTGATCTCACACACGCCAGGCGCCTTTGCTTAATCCTTCTCCGTCCACCTTCCCGCTCCGCATCCCCATTCTCCCTGCATTTTTCCACGTTGTCTCTACCATCATTCTCACCCAACGATTATCGAACTCTCCCGTTCACTCCTGCGACCTCCGTCCGTCCCCACGTGCACGTCGCGCCGCCTCCTCCCCTGCTCCCCTTCCCCCCTCCGCCGCCGTTCAGGTGCGGGCACTGCAAGCGGCTGATCCCCACGTGGTCGCAGCTGGCGGACGAGTTCAAGGAGGCGGGCCGCGCTGACGTCAGCATGGCGTCGCTGCTGGCGACGGAGCACCGCGCGCACCCCGCGGCGAAGCTCGTGCGCGGCTTCCCCACGCTCATCTGGTTCCACGGCGGGCGCCCCGTCGCGCAGTACGAGGTGCGGCGGGCGGGATTGGGGGGAAGGCGGGAATAAGGGGAATTGGACAAAGGGGACGAGGGAAAGGGGGGGAAGGGGGGGAGAGCGCGGAGAACCAGGCTTTGGGGGCCGCTGGTGCGGCGCAGGTTAGGGCATGCGTGGGCGCTTCAGGCGCGTCCCCCGTAGCTCTCGCTGCGGCATTTTCCCAGGCTCTGCTTCCATGCACCCCCTCCTGGCCGCGCTCCTTTCCGTGCGCGAATTCCCGCGCCTCTCTCCGCTATGGCAGCCGCCTTGCTCCCCCACTGCGGCCTTCACTGCGTACCCCTAGCGGCCCTGCTGCCCCTTCCACATAGCCGCCCCAAGTCCCCTCTTCTCTCCGCCCCATCCACTCCCCCTCCTATCTCCCACCCGTCTCGCAACCCCTATCCGCTCTTCCGCGCCTCCTCCCTCTTCCGCGCCTCCCCCCTCTTCCGCACTCACTCTTTTTCCCATCTCCCACTCGCGCTCCCCTTTCCGCACTCCCCCATCCCCGCCCCTTCCCCCCGCGCGCCCCCAGGGGGACCGGTCGCGGGAGTCGCTGCTGGCGTTCATAGAGGAGCAGGCGCAGCTGGGGGACGCGGAGCTGGCGGAGGGCGCGCGGCGCCTGGAGGAGGAGGCGCGGCGCGCGGAGGAGGAGGCGCAGCGCGCGGAGGAGGGGAAGGGCGCGGACCCCACGTTCAGTGAGAGCGTCGTGGAGCTCACAGATGGAAACTTCCAGGAAAAGACCCGCGGGCACACCTTCGTCATGTTCCATGCGGAATGGTGGGCTCATCTCATCTCATCTCATCTCATCTCATCTCAGCTCAGCTCAGCTCAGCTCCTGCCTGCCTGTCGTCAACTCAACCCTTCAACTCTCTGCTCTCAACTTCCCCGTCTCTCCTCTGCTTTCTGCCCCTTCACCCCACTGCTCCTGAGACCTCCTTCTCCTTATCCTTACCTTTCCCTCAAACCATCTCTCCCCACCCTCCCCTTGCCTTACCCCCCACCCCCTCCCCCAGGTGCGGGCACTGCAAGCGCCTCATCCCCACGTGGTCGCAGCTGGCGGACGAGCTCCAGCAGGCGGGGCGGGCGGGCGTGAGCGTGGCGGCGCTGCTGGCCACGCAGCACCACAAGCACCCCGCCACCGGCTTCATCCAGGGCTTCCCCACGCTGCTCTGGTTCCACGGGGGGCAGATGGTCGCTGAATACTCGGTATGTAGCAAGTGGTGCCTTGCGCGTGCTCTTGATTCCCCCTCGACCACCACCTCCATCCTCGCCCCCTCCTCACCCCTCCCTCTCTCCCCTCCAATGTACCCCCACCCTCCCCTCCCCAATCCTCTCGCCTCCCTCTCACCTGCCTTCTTCCCTTCTCTCCCTCCCCACCACCCCACCCCTCCACCCTCCCTCTCCCCAGGGCGACCGCAGCATCGCATCGCTGCGTGCCTTCGTGGAGGAGCAGGGCGTGCTGCAGGGGGCAGCGCTGGCGCGCGCCAAGAAGGACATGAAGGCCGCCGTGGAGAGCAAGATCCGCGAGCGCCAGGAGGAGCAGCAGCGCGGCGCCCAGGAGCAGCGCCGCATCGAGACGGAGTTTGCTGCCCGCGTGCCGGAAGTCAGCCTGAGTGACCCGAGCCGCGTGGAGGGCCGGCACGTGGTGGTGCTGCACTATGCCGACTGGTGCCACGCGTGTGGCAACATGAAGACTGTGCTGCTCGATCTCCAGGCAGATCCCCCTGTTGAGGGGCTGCTGGTGGGGCGGTTCAAGGACTCCCAGGCCGGGCTGCTGGCTGCTGGGAATACTCTGCGTAACGGCCAGCCCACGACGTTTTTTGTGAGCGATGGAAGGATTGTGGATGCGTTGAAAGGGGTGAAGAAGGGTGAGGAGGTAAGGGAGTGGGTGAAGGAGCTGGGGGAGTTGAGTGAGGAGGAGGTGGAGGAGAGGGGGAGGGAGTGGAGGGAGGGGGTGGAGGAGGAGGTGGAGAGGTTGCAGCGTGAGGAGAGGGAGAAGATTCAGGAGGAGGTGAGGCGGAAGGAGGAGGAGAAGAGGAGGGCGAAGCTGCAGAAGCGTAAGCAGAAGACGAGGTGGGTGGCTTGAAGGGGAGCGGGGTGGATGATTGGGTAGAGATGAGGGGTGAGCTTGTGATTGGTTCCCAGTTTTAGAAGAGATGGGAGATATAACCACTGCATTGCTTTGGTAGGTTGAATTGCAGCTCGAGTATTTAACAGTGCTCTGTTTTATATCACTATTGCTCAATTTGTCACATATTGCGCGCGTACATACCGTATCAGTACATATCCGCGTACACGGTGAACAGTGTTGGGCTGCGCGCCATTTTAGGACCACTCAAGCACTACTGAAGAGTGAGTACAGTACAGTACTGAAGGCGAGCAAGCGCGCGCGCTGCCCAGACCGTACTTGGCCCGCTTGCTGCACGCTCCGCCTCTCATTCTCCTCCCTCCCGCTGCTCAGCTGACCAATCCCATTCCCCGCCAGTCCACCCCTCACTAACCAAGCTGCACCCCTCGCCCGTCATCCACATTTCTCCGCGTCTCACGCTCCCCTCTGCTTTGCATAGTAACTGCCGCCTGGCGCGTTAATCAGATAAGCTAATAAATCTTTTCGCACCTCGGCATGTATGCGCTTCGGCTGCGATGACTCTCGCCGACACGGCTCGACTGACGGCTGATGTGAACAGCGATCAATGCAATGCCTTGAGCGCGATTCTTAGCTAAGTGCCTAACAGAAGACGCCTCCAGGTATTAATAACGCGTCTAGGCGCTGCTAGAGCGATTCGAGAGCGACTAGGTTCGCAAGCGAGGGGGTTGTCGCGATTGATCCTCCTCCCGTACCGCCTCTGCGCGCATCGCTCGAAAGCAAACGTCGATCAACCGCCATCTGCATCTGCTCCTGCTAGTGCGCGCATCGGTGACGCGCATTAACCGACGCGCATCACTCGCGGGCGCGCGCTGAACACCGAAGCGCGCGGCGATGGGGTCGATAACGGCGGACGGCGATCACCTGCACCTGCGCGTGCCCAACGTGCCCGCCATCGTCGCCAAGAGCTTCCACGACCGCGTCGCCGAGACCCAGTCGCTGCTCTCCAATGTCGGCAGGTGCGTTCACCGTGGCTTGCGCGGAACCTCGGAATAGTGGCAAGTGCGACGCGCGAGATGCGTCTCCCCGCGGATCATCCAACCGACCGTCTTTTCTCGCTCAGTCGATTTTTCGCTCTCGCTCAGGTTCCTTCTCTTTCCTCTCGTCCCCTTTATGAAGGTTCTATAAACTTTTTAAAACTCCCCTTCCCCGTCAACACGCACTACCCCTTATCCGCCTGTTTCCGCCGTTCCCCCCTCCCGCACGACACACGCGCCAACTCCACCGCGTCCCCTCCCCGCCAGGCAAGCCAAGGCCATGGCGGAGCGGTCGACGGTGCGCGAGCGCGTGATGGCGGCGGTGGCGGCGCTGCTGGCGGTGGCGCTCGTGGCGTTCAGCGTCGCGCTCTCGCTGCGCTCGCCGCCCTCCATCGTCGACGCGCCGCTGCTGCTCGACACGCTATGCAAGCCCCTCGCTCCCCGCCCTGCCTTCCCCTACCCCGCCCGTTGCCCTTCCCCACTTCTCCTCACGTCATCACCCCCATTCGTCATCTGCCACTGCCACTCGCGTTTCCCTCGTTCACCCGCTCCGGAACCCCCTCTTTCCCTTCTCCCCCGCTTCCACCCCATTTCCCTTCCCCCCCCATTTCTCTTCCCCCCCCCCATGACGTCCTTGACGATGACGTCACACGACATACGTGTCACGCGTGTCTCTATCGCCAGCTGGCATCCAGGACATCACGTGGCGGGGCTACGCGGACTACGAGATGCGCATCTCGCCGCTCTCCCGCCACGTCTCACGCCCCTCCCTGCCCTTCCAGGTGCGCCCCTCCCTGCCCTTCCAGGTGCGCCCCTGCCTGCCTCGGATCCCACCCTGTCTCTGTGCCCCAATGCCCGCCCGCCCACCCTCCCCCCATCCCGTTCCCTCTGCTCCCCTCTTCCCATCATCCCTCTTCCCATCATCCCTCTTCCCATCATCGCTCTCACGCCCCTTGTCCTACGGCACACTCAATTCCCATGCCACGTGCCTCCCCTCCGTCCGCATCCCCCCCTCCCACCCCGCCCTGTCCTCCCCCAGCCCATAGCGCGGGGCCCCCAAGAGTTCATTCAGTGCAGTGCATACCGGCTGTCCGCCTCTGCGCCCACTCGCACCCCACCTCTCCGCCTACCGCCTGTCGGCTGCTTCTGCTCCCTTCCTGCACGCCCTCATTCGGCATTCATGCGCCCTTCCCCTCCCTCCCCTCCCCCAGCCCATAGCGCGCGGCCCCCACGGGTTCATCCAGTTCAGCGCCTACCGCCTGTCGGCGCGCTCCTTTGCCATCGTGGGCTTCGGGGCGCACTTCCTCAGAGACCACCTGTGAGCCGCTGAAGGGGGGGCGCTGGGGGGCCATTGGGAGGGCGCGGGGGGGGCGCTGGGGGGCCATTGGGAGGGCGCGGGGGGGGCGCTGGGGGCCTCTGGGGTGGGTCATGGTGTGACGGCCCGGGTGTCCTGGGGTCATGGTGTGACGCTCCTTTGCCATCGTGGGCTTCGGGGCGCACTTCCTCAGAGACCACCTGTGAGCCGCTGGGAGGAAAGGGGAAAAGGGGGTGATGGCAGTGAGGCATTTGGAGCGGGTGTGGCAGAGTGCTTCGATTCTCACGTCCATTAAGAGGAGTGTACCACGGAGTGCACTTGCTCCACACCACGTGTGATCGTTGGGGGTGAATGTGCAGCTTGGGGAACCCTCTGCTTCCCTTTGCTGTTTCCATCTGCGCTTCTCGTGCACGCCTGTTGCACCACACCGCACCACACCACACCACACCACACCATAACGCACCCACCACACCATACCACACCGCACCACACCATACCATACCGCACCGCACCCCTCCACACCTGCTCCATGCCATGAGCCCTGGAAGTGCAGCACTTAGAAATCAGCCATGTGAATTCTGAACCCTGATGTGGCATGGCATGGCATGGCATGGCATAACACCAGGGGCGCGTTGCAGTGTGTGTGGGCGGAGGGTGGCAATGCGAGCAGCACGGGCAGCAAGGGCGAGGTGAAGGCACTATACGGCGGGCTGAACGGCTGGGAAACCTACGATGCCGTGCTCATGAAGGTGCGATGCCGTTCTCATGAAGGTGCGATGCCGTTCTCATGAAGGTGCGATGCCATTCTCATGAAGGTGCGATGCCATTCTCATGAAGGTGCGATGCCGTTCTCATGAAGGTGCGATGCCGTTCTCATGAAGGTGCGTGGTTCGCCTTGCCACCTTGCCTTGCCCTGTCATGCCGGTGTGGTCTTCCCTCCCGACTGCAGAATCTCCTTTCCCACGACACATCCCACCTTCTTATTTGCAAGGCATGCGAAGGTGTTGCTCAAAACACCCCCCCTGCCTGGCAACGCCTCTCCACGCTCTCACCCCTCGTGCCTGCAGTGCGACTTTGAGGCGGCCACGGGCACCATGGGGGGGGATCTCTTTCTCACCGTCGCCAGCGAGGAGTTCAGAGCCTTCCGGTGCGTGCCCACTAGTAACCCTTCCTGCACCCGCTACCACCTGCTACATTACGTGCGTTCCCTTTAATAGCCAGCTGTTGCAAACCAATGCATACCCTTTCCTCACGCCAGGCCTTCCATTCTCTGGCCCGGTCCCACCTTCATACTCCCCAACGCCCCCTCCCCACCCGCCCTCTCCACCCCCCCTTCCCCTCTCCCCTAACCCCCCATGCAGCGAGGAGGAGGGCGAGGAGCATGAGATCGACCTGCCCAGGGAGGACGCGCTCCCGCACACCCTCGCCGTGTGTGCCGTGCACTTCTCTGCCTATCCCCTTCAAACACATCAAACCTCCCATTCCCATTCCTTACTCCACACCCACTTCCCCCCCTGCACAGCGAGGAGGAGGGCGAGGAGCATGTGATCGACCCCCCCAGGGAGGACGCGCTCCCGCACACCCTAGCCGTGTGCGCAGTGCGCCTGGCCAACCCCGTGCAGCCACGGCCCATGTACGAGTGGCTGTCGTACCACTGGCGCCTCGGCGTGTCCCTCTTCCGCCTCTACGATGCCGGCTCCATGGATGCTCACTTAGCCGCCGTGCTCGACCCATGGCTCTCCAACCAGGTGTGTTTCCACTCCCCTAAAAAGGTGTCTTTTGACTGCACTCAAAAGTCTTCCTCGGCGTCTCCCTCTTCCGCCTCAACCACGCCGGCTCTATGGATGAAAGCTCACCTCTCCTTTCTCTGTCCTCGCCCCCTGCCTCGCCAACCAGACCGCTCAAGTTATCCCCACGCGGCACCTGGCGCCCTTCAAGATGGAGCGAGACGCACATGCGCTCAGCGCCCTCGACTGCCTACACAGCATGCCCTTCCTCGGTGAACGCTCACCCCTCTCCTCTCTCTGTCCTCCACCCCAACCAGACGGCCCAGGTCATCCCCACGCGGCACCTGGCGCCCTTCAAGATGGAACGAGACGCCCATGCAGTCAGCGCACTGGACTGCCTGCACAGCACGGCGTTCCTCGCGCGCTGGGTCACCGTGCTCTCGCCCGACTCGTACCTGTTCGTGCCGCCGCCCGCCTCCGTTCTGGAGTATCTGAAGCAGCAGGAGGAGCGGTCGTGGGTGACGGTGGGCACGCAGGAGTGGTCGCCCGTCAAGTGCCGCGACGGGCTGCGCATGCAGCCGCCCAGCACGTGGGAGGGGCGGCGCGAGGCGGCGCCATTTGCGGTGGAGTGGCTGGCGTTCAGAAGGAAGGATGCGCAGTGCTCGGACGAGGGGGCGGACAAGGAGACGTGCATTGGGGAGGCGGGGCAGCGCACGCACTTCACCAACCCCAGGAAGGTGCGCTGGGTGCTGTGCATGGGGTGTTGCTTGCACCTGATTGCACTGGGGTGCAGCTCATTGTGCTCATGCATTCCTGGCATGCCCTGCATTGACCTTCGCGTCTTCCCACATATTTCTTCGCTGTCGTCTTGTGGACTGCCCTGCCTAACTCATGCCTCTCCCCCTTTCCCTTGCCCTGTTACCCCTTAATGTCCTTGGTCACGCATATCTTGGTCACGGATGCATGCCTCCATGGGCCCACCGCCTCTATTCGCTCTCGCCTTTCTCCACGCGCCCATGGCATGGCAGGCGGGCATTCTGGGCTACTTTGACGTGCGCGAGACGGACGACAACGGGCACCACGCGGGGTTCAGTGAGGTGCACAAGAACTGGTACCCCAACCTGCATGAGCTCGCGGTCTTCAACTCCACGTGCTCTGAGATCGTTGGAGACGACGAGTTTGCCGAAGGGTGGGTGCGGGATGTGTCGTTTGCAGACTATGTGAAAACTCTTAGGAAGAGTTCCCCGCCTCAAGGGTCGACGGAGGTTCCGCCCCCACCAGCAGAGAATTGAAGTGGCTGGGATCTTTTTACTGTCACAGAGAGTCGTAAAGAAGTTATTGCAGCTGAATACTAAGTATATTGGAACCATGAATGATGTGCAGTCTCTGATTAGAGGGAAGTTCATTGCTCGAGCTGCGGAGTTAAATGTTGGAAATCTGGATGGTTTCAGAGTGAATTGGATGTGACAAAGGGATTGGTTTTCTAATTTGGAACCCTCTGGCTTATCGAATCTGATTATAGAGGGAACCGAATTGTCTGAGCTGGGGTGGGCTATGCACTAATGAACCGCGTCAACGACCTGAAGGCATTCCAGTTTTGTGTGACTTCAGGGTTGCGAGGAAGAAATATCAGGGTGTTGAGATATCTTTCCTCCAAAAGAACCCAGAAGTCGGTGTGTGGATGAAATAGCAAAGTTTTAGTCAGTGTCTGTCAGTTCTCCCGCCCCAAATCTGTGACGGATGCGGATCTAGAAATCAGCAACGCCCATGAATTTTGTGAACTTGAGGGGGTACACTGTCAATTGCACTGTGAATGCGACGCGAGCCACGCAAAAGACGTGCACAACAGTCATTCATCTCGAGCGGTTCGCTCTTCACCAATGCTCACCGACGCTCTAGATTGGTTCCGTCCTCCCCACACTTTCATCCCAGCCACAGCTCCGCCGCCAGATTGAAGACAGCGAGGATGTATGAATCTTTTTCCAGCACAGATAGGTCCGTACAACTGGCAGGTTTTGTCCTTCATCACAGAAGCCACTGCCTGCCTGCCAAGGAGCCAGCTGGACAGCCCACCATCATGCCTCGACGAGAAAGCTTGTGTGGCGGGATTTTCGTCTCCTCCTTCCTTCCGCCTGCACCAGGCAACGAACAACCTCCCGTCACTGGCGTTTTCTGATGGAACAACAGACAACCTTCGTTCGCATTGACTTGGATTTTTCCTGGCTGGGCTGTTTTTCGCCTCACTGTCAAGCAACGGTGCGATGCGCGACTTGACGGGCCTGCGCTGACCTTTTCCTTGCAAGCCTGGCCGCGCGTGCGGTGCTGTGAAGCGTGCGGCGCTAGTGACGTGTTCCCCCCACAGGCTGCTTCCTTCCGCATTGCCCGTTGAGGGGGTTGCTTTCATTTTGCCCTACCGCACCAGACCCCACCGCATTGCAGACCAGCTGATCGCATTTCGCCACCCAGCTACTCAACATCCCAATCAGATGTCAATCTGCTCTTGCTGAACGAATGCTGCTGCACAGGTGTATCTGCTATCCCCGAATTTACACTAGCTAGCCATATTGTCTCTCTCCACTCCACTTATCTTTCGCCTCCCACACTCTGGTGGAAAGGAAGTTCTTTCTCGAGTGCCTTGCTAGCATCACCATAACAGCTCCTACTAAACACAAGAACGGTAGTACCACTAGTGACGAGATTCCTTGTTTGAGAAAACGAGCCATGATGATGAAACTACGTATCGAAATTCCCCAAGACGATGACCCCTCGTCAGAAACCTTCGACAGCTCAGGCAGTGGTTCTCTAATCGATTCCCATTCCTCCGAAATTGACGGATCATATGCCGAAGTTTCGAAAATCGTCGCATCTTCCAACGCCCATGGCAGAAGTCATGCGGACTGGCACGTGCGCACGGCGAGCGGGTCCCTCACGTGGATGCCGCCGTCGCCGATCGCCGTTAAGAGCCCACACGCTAACGCGATAAAAAAAATGGCGGCGATGGCGGACGGACGCGCTAGGGCGATGGAATCCGCATGGGCAGAGGCGGAGGAGGAGGCGGAAACCGTTCTGGCGGCGGCCGCCGCTGCTGTTGCTCTTCCAGGCGATTCGTCCGAGTCGTCGCCGTCGCGTTCACACGCCAAACCAACGAGCCTGTTCGGCCTTAAGGCGCCGTCATTCCCGCTAACGAAGCCATATAGGATCACACGCACCAGCAGCGGAATTAGCGGCGCGGGAGGCGGAGAATCTCCTAACTCAGTGACGCGCACGTGGTCGATCTCCTCGCTGCCGTCGATCTGGCGCAAGTCGCCACGCGGCTCGCCGCCGAAGGGGTCTGCAAGTTCGGACTTGATAGGTCATGATGAGATTAGCCCTGTTGCTCTCGCCGGCGGCGTCGAGCACCAATCATCGTGTCGCATCGTGAGAAGAACAGATCGTGTGGCATTCGCACGAGAAGATGAGACGGCCACGCAGTCCTGCTTGCGTCAGCCGCGGCAGTCGCAGCAGCGCAGAGTGCGGCGGCTTTCGCGGAGCCTGACATCGGACGGCGCGCTGTTGGCGAGCTTCGACGCTGACGAGAAGCCGCCGTTAAACAACGAACGAACCATGGCGGCGAGACGTGCTCCCGAGGCGTCGCCGGCGAAACCAGATCCAATTCGCAATCCGCATCGCGGCGGATTCCGCGCGCTCGTGCGCACCGCGTCCGCGCCTGTCTCCGCCCGCGCGCCGTCTTCCCTCCCCCGCATAGCAGGCCGTGATGAGCAATGCGAGATGGGCGGATATCCGAACGAGGCGGAGAGGCAGGGCGCGCGAAGCTGTGCGGTAGCGCCGGTGGTGGAAGAGGAAGAGGAGGAGGATAACGACGAGATTCCTGTTGTGCTCGCAGCGACAGCAACGGGCATCGGCAGCTTCGAGTCGCGACATGATCGAGGAGCGAAGGACGGCGGCTGTCTGCCGCACGCATGGGCGCACATGCCCGCGCGGCCCGCCTTCATGCACGCCGCACACGGCGCGTGCCGCCAGCGGCATTCGCCACGTCATCCCCCTTCGTTACAGTCACCACCTGTTGAGTCACATGCACCGCAGCAGCGACAGGCGTCGTCGCAAATTCGGCGACAGCAGCAGCAGGCGCGAGCCCGCCTCCCTCCGTCTCCTTCACCCTCCCCTTCGCCCTCCCCAACCACTGCTGTGCCTGCGCCGTCATCTCACCTGCCTCGCCCAGCTGCCCCGCCAGCAGCGCAGCGCGGCAGCCAATGCATGGCGCCGCGCGCTTCTGCCTCGCATCCCCTCGGCGCCTCCCTCCCGCTTCACCATGCGCCGCCCCGCGTGCTCATCCCCCGGCTTGCCTCCTCTCCCTCCGCCTACTCCCCACACGCGCATTCCCCGTCCCCCGCGCCCCTCACGCCCCCCACACCCGTCACGCCTGGCACGCCCCTCACGCCCCCCTGCCTGCGCTCCTCTGCTACCGCGCCAACCATGCGCCCGCGCTCGTGCCTGCGCTCCTCCTCCTCCTCCGCGCCCCCCTCCTCCACACGTAGCCACCAGGCTCGGCGCGTGGCCTTCAGCCCCGTGGTTCGGGTCCGAACCTACTCGCTCTCGGACCACGATTGGCCGGCACCGCTCTCACCTGCCTGTCACGATGCTCCCTCCCTCTCTGGTGGGGATGCCCCAGGAATGGATGTGACTACCAGGGCTGTTGCTGCTGCTGCTGCCGCTGCTGCTGCTACTGACGGTGCTGTTGATGTAAGCACAGCAGCAGTGGGAGAAGCTGAAACGAACACTTTGGCCAGCAGCGGGGAGGCCGAACCCCTGATGCAGCCTCCTGTTCCGCCGCACGAGGTGGCGGGTCGAGGTGTGAAGGGTGTGTGTGTTCCCCGGCAGAGAGTCCCCCTGCAAGCCTGTTGACACCGCCACGCCTTCGCAATAATGCCGCCCCCTTTTGATGTGGCGGGCAAGTCTTATGCCAGGACGAATGTAGATCTATGCAATGTCAATACTTGATGTACTAACCCTGATGTACCTTGAAATAATAACAAAGTTTGGTGCTGTCATTCCGCCACAGGCTCATGTGTTGGTGGGTTGGTCACGTTTTCAGGAAGCTGCTGTATTTATCAGAAAATGAGCAAATACGGTACTAGCACATGCCAAAGAGGACCTGGTACCTTCAATTTGCAACGCTGCACGCCCCTCCCATACAGGGTAGGCCAGAAGCTTGAATTTGGGAGTTAATTGCCTAGGAAAATGAGCCCGTGCTTCCCTCCAATAAACACATCTAAACTCAACTCCCAAGACAAAAACGAGCTACTTCAATGTCGAAGAGTGAAAAGTTGGAGTCAGTCTGTCAGCAAACGTGTAAGTTAGGTACAGAGGAAGCAGCGGTTGAGAGAGGATGCGAAGCAGACACGCCATGTCAAGTCAAGTCCGCCAGTTTCAAAGTGGCACCTTGCCACCCACCATCTCTCACGCCGCCTGTCTGTCCCACTAGCACCTTCACTCCCACCACCTAGCAACACACGCAGCTCCTTCTCTCTTCTTAGCTGTCAGTCCCCATTGCCACTGCATGAATCACACTCTCCTCCCTCGCCTTCTGTCTCACAAGGCCCCCATTCCCACCATCGCCCTGCTTCCTCCCATCCCACTCGCCACCACCCCCCCCCGCCCCCTACTTCTTCTCAGCAGCGCGCAGGGCGGGCGCGCGGGCGGCGATCTCCCCCACACCCGCTGCTAGTTCTGAGGCGCCTCAAAAGCAATCTCCCCTTCCCCCCCGCCCTATTTCCTCCCATTGGCGCCAGCGGCGGGCACAGCGATCTCCCCCGCGCCTGCCGCCAGCAGCGTCCCCACCACCGCCACCTCCTCTTCCTCCCACGCAGGCACCTTCCGCGAAACCTGCGGGCTGAGAGGCCCCGAGCACGAGTGCGCGCTGCGGAGGGCGGGAGGGGAGGCCTTGCCCTTGGCGCGCGGGGAGGGGAACGCGGGGGAGGAGGAGGGGACGTGGCGGGAGGGGGAGCGCGGGGACGGGGGGGTCGCGGAATGCGAGAGGGAGGAGAAGGAGGGGAGGCGCATCGAGGGGGAGCGGGGGGAGGGGAGGCGCGGAGATGAGGCGCGCGGGGAGGAGATTACGCGGAGACCGGCGGAGATGGCGGGAGGCATGCAGCTGTGCCCGAAGACCGCGCGCGGGGAGTCCGGGGGGGAATCCGCATCCCCCCCGCTGTGCGCGCAGGGCACGCTCTGCGCGGCCGGGAATTCCCACTCGGAGGAGAAAAAGTCAAGGTCCGCGCAACCGGCGGTGCTCTCGCTTGCGCGCCTCACGTCCACCGTTAGATTTCGATCCATCCTAGGGCTAGAAACGCTCTGCGTTTTCTCGGGCTCTCTACTAGACAGCCCGCCTGGCCAACCCACGCGGGCAGGGCACTCCGCGCTGCCCTTCAACGAGCTCGTGCGCCGCCCGCTCTCGCGCTCAACAGCGGACCCTCCCCCTCTCGGCGCACTGGCGCGCGCAGACCCTGTCCCCCGCGCCTCCTTCTCGCACGAACCCGCTGCGCTGCTAGATTTGCGCGCTGACGTGGACGCGAGGACGGGCGCTAGCAGCATTCGCCTGAGCGACTTGGGCGACACCATGCTGATGGCGCCGGGCGACCGACACGGCGACGTCGGCGTGCTCTGTGCGACCTGTGCGACGTGCAGGTCTTCCCACGCGCTGTCCATCGCCTCCTGCGACGCCATTGCGCGCCGAGCGCGCTCCCGAATCGCATCCGCGTACTGACTGCGCACGCCGACGGGCGAGCTGGGTTGCCATAGCGGCGGCTGCGACGACGAATGGAAAAGCTCCAGCGTGCTTCTCGGGTCGCGACCACCGCAAAGAGCGGCGGAGTCTGTGGGAGGATCTGGTAGGCTCTGCGAAACCGGCAGGTGCGGAAGGGTATCGTCGGGGATCTCGATTTTGACGGACCGGTTGAGCGACGCGAAGAAGCGGAAGCTGCTGCTGGGCTTGGTCGAGCATTTGCGCGCGGAAGGAGAGGGGGAAGACACGCCGGTGCTACAAATGCACGCCGACGCCTCGAGAGCTCCGCACCCGCAGGGATCACGTTGCGACGCGGAACTCTCGTCTCTGATTCGTCCCGAGTCAACACCCATCAGATCCCTGATCGTTTTTCGCGACAAAGATGTTGGGACGCGGAGGGGAGTGGTTGAGAGCCATGGAGCACTAAATCGTAGAAGACGCATTTTGGGACGCGTACTAGTACAAAAAGTGCGTTGGATGTATGTGTCGTTCACGTACCTCATTGAACCTCGGTTGAAGGATGCGCCGCGGAAAGATGTCTGCTCTTGAAGATAGTCACCCGCCATCCTGGTACGAACGTCGCGCTGCGATGATGCCTGAAGATCGAAAGTAGGTGGCTTCTTCGCCTAAACTACCGCTTCTCCCTAGTCGCAGAATATTGGAACAAGAATCTAGTGCGGCACGAGAATCGACAGGCGAGCACCATAGCACACACACAGTTCGAGATACAAATATCAGTCAGCAGTTGTTGCCATCACTCGACTCAACTCGAGCCAGCCCAGCGCAATGCAAGACAGCCAGCGCAAGAGCGTCCTTCTTCCCATCGCATGCCATGCAAGCTGCTGCTGGCTCTGTGAGCAGTTTCCTGCTGCCCGCTGCCCGCCGTCCGCCTCCCGCCGCCCACCTCAGATGAATCAACCCTGCCTGCCCGCCAGCTTGCGCACCTCCGCCCCGCTGCTGAGGACTTGCGGGGGAACCTGGAGGACGAGAGGGCGTCGCCCGTTGCTGGAGGGACGACGATCAGCGAAATCGTCTGGTCGGTCAGGTGGTCTTGAAACCTTCTTGCTCCTGTGCTGACGGACAAGCGGGACAAACACCCGATAACATTTTCACCTAAAATGGTCGTGCGACGATCAGCGAAATCGTCGGCACGACCAGGCCAAACGTCCGCCAGTCGCTGGTCAGCCAACGAACGGGCGCAAGGTCAGCCAATGTCTCATCAACATCCCTACGCCACCAAGTGAAATTGGTAGATTTGAAATAATGTTGACGCGCCGGAAAGTACACCTTCCTACGTTGGCTTTCCAGCTATGTTAAAAATTGTCGTTCCTTCCATCTGATGTTTTCCAAAGCTTTTGAGAGATCCCACCCTCTCGATAAATATCCTGAAATTTTGTTGCCTGAAAGTTTTGTTGCCATAAATATAGCAGTATCTGAATTCTTGTTGCCTAGAAGAATGGACTCTTGCCTCAACAAAAAATTGAAACTAGGTATGCACCAATAATCACACCTCCTTTCCTTGGATATGCTAGCATACACTCGTCCCCTAGAATGGGGAGTATTCTAACCATGGCCCACCGGCCAAAGCACCACGCTTTTGGACATTAACACTGTGGATGTGCAGCACGCCACCATGGAAACAGCTTCTTCATTTTCTGTGCCAGCCGCTTCCTTCTTTCTTTCCCATAAGACTTCCACCTATCAGGGTCTGCGCATTCCCGCACAAAATCCCACATGCAAGACTGGCTACTCGAATTGCCTCCGTCCGTATGCAGCCTAATAAAAGCCTTGTGGTCAGTCCAGCATGGCTCGTCCCAGCATGCTTTGGCACGCGAGGGCAGTGGTGAACCAAGGTGGCCGGATGGCGATACTGGTGCGGATTTCAGCATTCTCCCACCAGCAGCATAAGGCGACACATTTCCCGGACTGCGGGGCACTTGAACGGTGGGTCCGCGCTGCCACCCGCTTGGCTGCTTCTGGTGCAGGCTGGAATCATCAGGAGCGGTGCAGCTGGCAGCCATGGCTTTGGAAGGGAGATGGTTGACACGCATGCTGCTGTTTTGACGCTCACATGCGCCATCCGTGGACACAACACTGTGTGCCTTTCCCTCCTCGTGTCCCTCCTGGGCGACTGGTTCTGTGAAGCACTGCTGCTGCGTTGGGGCATAGATGCGGACAGCAGGATGGGCAAGCGATGCAGTGGAGGCGGGGTGAGTGTGGGCGGCAGCAGAGGGCTTGCGATAGGACCCAGTTGACAGGTCAGAGGTGGAGTGAGAGAGGCCGTGGCATCTGCTAGTCACTGCCTCGCATGTACTAGCAGCCCTGGGCAATGATTGCTTGGCATGTGTGCGGCCGGAATAGCCCCTAGGTAGCGACCTCTGTTGCATCAAGTGAGGGCCCTGCCTTGGCTGATGCGAGTGCATCGAGTGAGGGTCCTGCCTTGGCTGAGGCGAGTGCATTGACTGAGGCGATTGATTTGAATGAAGAGACTGCATTGACCGAGGAGCGTGCCTTGGCTCAGGGGAATGTACAGATGGAGGGGACCAACTTGGCTGCGGTGACTGCCTTGACTGCAGAGACTGCATTGGCTGAAAGGAATGCATTGACCGAGGCAGCTGTGTTGATGGAGGGAAATGCCTTGATGAAGCGGAGTGCATTGAAGTAGGTGAATGCATTGAGGTAGGTGCGTGCATTGAGGTAGGTGAATGCATTGAGGTAGGTGCGTGCATTGATGTAGGTGAGTGCTTAGATGGAGGTGACTGCCTCCATTGAGGAGCATTGCCTGACTGAGGGGCCTGCCTTGACTGAGGAGACAGCCTTGACTGAGGAGAATGCATCGACTGAGGGTGTAGACCTGGATGCTCATAGCTCATGACCGGGGTAGATCGCACCACCGGCAGGCGAGGAGAGGGTGGCTGTAGAGGCGAGGGTGGCTGTAGAGGCGATGGGACGGAGCGGGCCACTGGAATCACTCTCTCACTCCGTACCCCTGGCTGCCCGTGCCACCCTGCATCATTGCCCTCTTCAACGCGCAAGGAGAGACGTTGAGAGGGCGGGCTTTGCGAGGGCGGCAACAACTGGCGCAGGGCGAGTTCGCTCGCAGCTATGTGTGAGAAACCCGAGTCCCCCATCTCGACAGAATCCACCGACCCACTCCGCCGCCGCCGCCACCGTCGCGGGACGTCTCCCTCCCCACCCGCCGCCCCCAGCTGCTGCCAGCCGTCATTCCCGACGGCGGCGCGGGGTGAGAAGCTGCTGCGGCTGTCCGGGCTGGGAAGGCTGTCACGGCTGTCAGTGCGCAGCACAGAGTCCCCCCGGCGGACGGTCAGCAGGCGCTTGAGGGCGGGCAGGGCCCGCCTGGCCTCCCTGGGGGAGCACGGCAGCGACGCACACTCCCTCTGCACGTACAGCTCCTCCCACACCCGATCCATGTCCCCACTCTCCTCCGCTTGCCCCGTTCCTGGCTCGTCTAGGTGCTTGCAAACCCCGAACGGGCTCTGCACCACCATGGTAGGCGATGGGAGCCAGCCTTCAGACAGGGATGCGCCATCCCCTCCCTCTGCTTTCCCCCCGCTCCTACCTTCCCCTCCCTCTGCTTTCCCCCCCTCTGCTTCCCCTCCCTCTGCCTCCCCTCCCTCTGCTTCCCCTCCCTCTACTCCCCCCCCCTCTGCTCCGCCCCCCTCTGCTCCCCCCACTTCTGCTTTCCCCCCCTCTGCTTCCCCCCCCTCTGCTTTCCCCCCCTCTGCTTCCCCCCCCTCTGCTTCCCCCCCCTCTGCTTTCCCCCCGCTAGTACCATCCCCGCCTGCCTCCACATCACTCCGCATCTGCGCTGACATGGCCGCTCCTGCGCTTCCCTCCCTTTCCCTCCCCGCAGCATCTCCCTGCGATTGGCTGTTTGGGAGGCTCGGAGAAGGGGGGGGCAGGCCGTCCCGGGCAGCGGGAGTGTGTTGGCCCTGCGAGCTGCTCGCAGGAAACCCGCCCGCGGTGCTGCTCCCCATGAGCCACAGGTCCATGCTGAACTCCTCCTCCCCCGCGCGCCTACGCTCACCCAATCCGCCCCCCTCCCCGTCATCCTCCCCGTCCTCCTCCCCCGGCTCCTCATGCCCCAACCGAGGAACCACAAACACCTCTTCTGCACTGCAATCTCCCTCTATCTCGATACAATCTGGACCACTCATCTCAACCGCTTGCGTGCTGGGTTGCGCGAAGCTGATGGGGTCCTGATCACATGCAATCGAAGCCTCTGATTGGTCGGCCGGAGGGGTGAGGGTGGGACATGTCGAACGTGTGCCGTCCGATTGCTCCTCATCGCCTGGCTCGCGAATAGACTCGCGGATGGAGACGCGGACAGAGGAGGCAGCAGAGGGGTTATGAGTAGAAGAGGCGTGGGAGGCGGTGGACTGCGGTAGGGTGGAATCTTCGAAGCTGATGGAGCGGTCGCTTGGGAAGTAGCGGTCAACGTCGGACCAGAGGGAAAGATACTCGATGCTCCGAGGGCTCACCCGGCCCTGACGGTGCTTCGACGGACTCAGCAGAGGCTGTCGCAGCTCTAAGGAGTCGTATTCTGCCACGTCAGCGTCAATCTTCCTGCTGGGAAATGGAGTTTGCAGCACATTGCAACGGGAAAAGGGAAGCGGAAGACTTGATGGAAACAGATTTGCTCTCTGTAAACCAGGAACCAGAAAATGGGAAACGAGGAGGAACCAAAGGGGTTAGGAGCAGCAGAGGCGTAAAAGGCGGTGGGATGCGGTGGAATGGATCTTCTGGGCAAGGTTCACTGGAGGAGCAATTGCTCGGAAAATAGCAGCCAACGTCGGAACATACGCGATGCTCCGAGGACTCGTCCGGGCCCGACGGTGCTTCGATGGACTCTGCAGAGGCAGACGCGGCTCCAAGGGGTTGGCGCTGTCGGATTCTGTTACATCAGCGTCAATCTTCCTGCAAAACATGGAGTTTGCAGCACAGGTGCAACGGGAAAAGGGAAGCGGAAAAAAATGGTGCAAACATATTTGCATCCTAAAACTAGGAACGAGAAATGGGAAAGGGGAAGCGGGGAGCGGAGAACGGGAAAATGAGTGGCGTTTGAGAAGGAAAGTCAAGTTATTCTGCTGCAGCATAAGCTGAAGCCACTGCTACTAGTAGACCCGAGACCGCGAGCTCAAGCCAGCCCAGATATGCTTTGCGAAGTTTGAACAAATAGAAAAACAACGTGACAAGCAAGGAGACCCACATTCAAGGATTTCCCGTGCAACATGAGCAATGCAGGAGATCGCTGAGGGGTCACTTTTTAAGGTGTCTCACGAACAATTTCGCTGTGCAGTGCAAGCAATGCAGACGCTTGCTAGGTGAGCAACGGCCAACCGACGGCTGCGATGAACCTGAGCGTACATAGTGGCTTGTGGACGGCTCCCTAGCGAGGTAAGCGAGGTCTTCAATGCTCCCTTGAGATTCGTCGTTTTAGACACCATCTCCCCCGCAATATTCGCTGTCTTCGACACCACGTCCCCCGCAATGTTCGCTGTTTTAGATACCACATCCCCCGCAATGTTCGCTGTCTTAGATACCACATCCCCCGCAATGTTCGCTGTTTTCCCCTTGATCTCGCCCGAGACTGCCACAGCCGCTCCTCTCATAACTTTATGCATTGCTTCAGATCTGGACACGAATTCTGCACCCACGGCCTTCGTTCTCGACGCCATTTCCTCGCCTAAGGCCGCTGTCTTCGATACGAGTTGCTTCGTCATTGTTGCGACGCGATCGTTGAGCGTATCTGATTTTTTGGAGGCCTCGTCGTCGGCTGCTTCTGCCGTTGGTAGCGAATCCATGGCCGGAGTCGCAGATTGAGCGACCAGGGATTCGTAACTCGCACGTTCATCCATCAGTCATACATATCGAAGTAACAGCTTAGCTTTCACAAAAAAAAAAAAAAAAAAAAAAAAAAAAAAAAAAATCCGGAGCACTTCACAAAATTTTCACCAAAACAAAAAATCCGGAGGGATCTGTGTGGTGGCGGAATGGAGAAGCCTTTGACTGAGCTTTGAAATGAAGACATGGACAGGGCCATGGAAGAAGAAAGAGGGCCATGCAAGAAGAAAGAGGGCAAGCTAGAATCCTGGGCTTTGGAGACCAGAAGCTGGAAGCCAGAGGCAATGGAGTCTGGGGGCTGAAATCCGCACGGATTCCTTCCTCTCCAATCCCAAGGTGACTCGCCTGACACCCAGCCCCAGCGCAACAGCCCTCGAGATTTGGGGCTCGGTTCGGGTAGGTTCGGGGGGCTAGGGGGGTTCTCCCCCCCCCCCCCCCACCCACTCCAAGCCAAGGCACCCCGCCCCATACGCGACGCACAGGTATACAGTACCCTTGGGGCTGCCTTCTGGTTGGCTGCTGTGGTAGAGCGGTCCCCGGCCCGAACCCCGAATGTTCGTCGGACCCCGAATGTTCGTGGAGCCCAGGACGGGCAGGTGCCGTCGAGTTTGCGAGGATACGGGGAGACAGATTTTGACCGCCGATGATTGGTCCATCTACACAGTATAGGTTTAAGATAAATATCTTCTAACACATTATAGGACACAATATAGCAACAATGCAATGGATAGTGTTTTTAGCATAGTCTAATGCAATTTCACTTCTTGCCAACAAAAGAAAGGCATTATCGCAATAATGGAGGATGATATTAAGCAGCTTGACCCAGGTTCAAAGCCAGGTGATCGAGCTCTTGAATATGATACCACACACGCGTCCCCTGAAGATGCAGAGCATTCTATGCATGGTCCACAGCCCAAAGCGTAACCGCTATGTGGGTATAGAGAGGCACTGGACGAAAACAGCTCTAAACTTCTGAATGTCCAGCACGCCACCATGGAAACAGCTTCTTCATGTTCCGCACCTGCCGCGTCCTCTTTTCGCCACCATAAGACTCCAACCTCTCAGAGCCCCCGCACTCTCGTGCTACATCCCACATGCTTGATCGGTTACTTGACCCGCCTCCATCTGCATAAAGTATAACAAAAGCCCTGTGGTCGGTCCGGCATGGCTCGTCCCAGGAAGTTATGGCAGGAGAGGCCAGTGGCGAAACAAGTTGACCGGATGGCGACACTGGCGCGGATTTCAGCCTTCGTCCGTCAGTAGCAAGCGGTGATAAACCTTCAGGGCTGCGGGGAACCTCAAGGGCACGCCCCTGCTGCCACCTTGGCTGCTTCTGGTGCAGGCTGGAATAATTAGGAGCGGTGCTGCCGGGTGGCATGGCTTTAGAAGGGATATGATAGATACGCATGCTGGAGGTTTGAGAGCGACACGATGAGCCGTCCACAGACAGAACACGCATGCGCGCCTTCCCCTCCTCCTGAACCTCATGGCCCAGTGCGCCTGTGATGCTCTGCTGCTGCTTCGGGGCATGGATTGGGACAGCAGGGCGGCGGGGCGATGCACTGGAGGCGGGCTGAGAGTGGCCGGCATCAAAAGACACGTGATAGGACACATTTGCGAGGTCAGAGGTGGTATGTGGGAGGCCGTAGCACTTGCCAATCACTGACTTGCGAGGACTAGCAGCCTTGGGCGACGATTGCTTGGCATGTGCGCGGCCAGAAGAGCCCCTAGGCAGTGATGCCTGTTGCTCTGCTGGCGGGGAGACTGAGCCAGAGGCACGCCCTGCTTCAGGCGAATGTGTAAATTTTCTTGAATGAGCCGACTGGTTAGTCCGAGGCGAGTTGATTGAGTGAGGGTCCTGGCTAGGCTGAGGTGATTGCATTGACCGAGGGGAATGTTGTGACTGAAGCGAGCGCATCGAATGAGAGGCGTCCCTTGGGTCAGGCAGCTGTATTGACGGAGCTGACTGCCTGGGCTGAGATGACTGCCTCCACTGGGGAGACTGCATTGACCGAGGGGACTGCGTTGACCGCGGAGATTGCGTTAACCTAGAAGACTGCATTGACCGAGGAGACTGCATTGACTGAGGGGGCTGCATTGGCTGAGGCAACTGCACTGATGGTGGGAACTGCTTTGGCGGAGGGGACTGCTTGGATGAAAGAGACTGCTTTGATTGAGGAGGATTCATTGCTCGACTGCGGGGGCTGCCTTGACCTAGGAGACTGCCTTGACTGAGGTGATAGCCTTGACCGAGGCGACTGTAACGACTGCGGGTATAGATCTGGGTGCTCATAGCTCATGAACGGGGTAGATCGGACGGCCGGCAGGCGAGGAGAGGGTGGCTGAAGAGGCGAGGGCGGCTGTAGAGGCGATGGGACGGGACGGGCCACTGGAATCACTCTTTCACTCCTCGCCCCCGGTTGCCCATGCCACCCTGCATGGGAGCCCTCTGCACCGTGCAAGGAGGAGCCTTGAGAGGACGGGCTTAATGGCGACTGTGACAGGCGGTGCATGGCGAGCTCGCTCACCGCCCTCTGCTTCAACCCCGACCCTTCCACCTGGATCGAGTCCATTGAATGCCGTCGCCGCCGCCGCCGCCGCCGCCGCCGCGGTACTTCTCCCACCCCACCCGCAATCTCCAGCTGCTGCCAGCCGTCATTTCCCACAGTGGCGCGGCGTGAGATGCTGCCGCGGCTGTCTGTGCTAGCAACGCTGTCACGGCTGTCCACGCGCTGCACAGACTCCCTGCGCGCGATCAGCAGGCGCTTGATGGCGGGCAGCGCCCCCTTGGACTCTTTGGGGGACGACGGCAGCGACGCACACTCCCTCTGCACGTACAGCTCCTCCCACACCCTGTCCATGTCCCCGCACCCCTCCGCTTGCCCTGTTCCTGCTGCCTCTAGCTGCGTGGACACCCCGAACGGGCTCTGCACCACTGCGGGAGGCGTGGGGTGCCACCCTTCTCCTGCGTCATCCCCCCCCTCTGCTTCCCCCTCTCTCCTACCACCCCCTTCTACCTCAGCCTCCGCTCCTGTCCTCCCCTCCCTTTCCTTCCCCGCCGCATCTCCTAGCGATTGGCTGTTTTGGAATCCGTTGATGCTCCAGGAGGGAGAAAGCTGGCAGCCCGGGGCGGCGAGCGTGACTTGCGTCTGCGAGCTGCTCGCGGGAAACCAGCCGGCGGTGCTGCTGGTGGTGCTGCTTCCCCCGTTGCTGCTCCCCATGAGCCACAGGTTCATGCTAAACTCCTCCTCTTGCGCGCGCCTAGACCCACCCCTCCCCTGCCCCTTCTTGCCCTCCTCTCCTTCCCCCGCCACGTGCTCCTCGTGGCCCAACCGAGGAACCACAAACCCCTCTCCTACACTGTCAACGCCTTGTGACTCGGAATGATCCGAACCGTTCATCTCAGGCACTTGCGTGCTGGGAAGAGTGACGCCGATTGGGGGCTGATCGGCTGCAATCGAAGGCTCTGATTGGTCAGGCGTTAAGATGGCACGTGTCGAATGTGTGCCGTCCGATTCCTCCTCATTGCCTCGCTCCAGGCTAGGATCACTGGCGGGGAGATCGCTAGGAAGGAAACGGTCAACGTCGGACCAGAGGGAAGGATACGCGTTGCCCCGGGGGCTCGTCCGGGCCTGACGGTGTTTCGACGGGCTCTGCAGAGGCGCCAAGACGTCGCTGCTCTCGGTGCAGTCGCATTCTGCCACGTCAACTTCAATCTTCGTGCTGACGGATCGCGTTCGGCAGCACAAGTGCAACGGGATAGAAGGAAGCGGAAACGAGTCATGGGAAGTACATGTACGATTTGGATACTATGAATGAGAAAACGGGAACGGGGACATGGGAACAGGGATGAGTGGCGTTTGAGAACGAGAGTTCTGTGCTGCCTACGCAACAAACAGATATGCATTAAAAAATGAAATAAAATAGCTTTGCCGAATGGCACTCGCATTGAATGCAGGAGATCCATGCGAGGTCAGTTATTGAGGTGCATCAAGAACAATTTTCGCCCTGAAGTACGAGCAATGCAGACGCTTTCTAGGTGAGCAACGGCCGATCGACGGCTGCGATGAATCTGGCCGTACCTAGTGGCTTGTGGACGGCCCCCAAGCGATGTGAGCGAGGTCTTGAGGGCTTCCTTGATTTGCGTCGTTTTCGATACCATCTCCCCCGCGATGTTCGCCGTTTTAGACACCACCTCCCCTGCAATATTCGCTGTTTTCTCCTTGATCTCGCCCGAGACTACCGCAGCCGTTCCTCTCAGCGTTTCCCGCACCGCTTCAGATCTGGACACGAATTCTGCACCCACGGCCTTCGTTCTCGACGCCATTTCCTCGCCTAAGACCGCTGTCTTCGATACTAGTTGCTTCGTCATTGTTGCGACGCGATCATTGAGCGAATTTGCTTTCTTATATACCTTATTGTCGGCTGCTTTGGCCTTTTGTAACAACTCCATGGCTAGAGTTGAAGATTGAGATACCACGGATTTGTCTGTCGCACGTTCATCCATCAGTCGTAAATATTGAGGTATGTCTTGTCAGATAATCCCGCGTTCTCAGTAGGCCAAGAGCCGTAACAAGTCAATCTATCCGTACTTATGCGTCCACGTGGATCCTACCCATTACAGTATCTAAGCGAACCGTTGCGTCTCGTTCTCTCTAGCCATGGCGGGCTGGGAAGACAATGAGCAGGCAAGGGTCTCTAGTGGTGGGAAGGAGAAGCCTTCAGCCTTGACGTGAGACATGCAAGAAGTCCGGAGGCTGGGGGCTGGAGGCTGATGCTTGTACAAAGCCGGATTCCTGCTTTCCTTCCAATCCCAAGGTGACTTGCCCGACCGGGCACTCAACTGAGCGAACGCCAGCACAACAGCTGTCGGTCGGGGTTCTCCTCCGTCCCCAATCACTCCACTCCACCTCACTGCAGAACACTCCACTCCAGGGAACCCCAGCCCACACAACGCACAAGCCACTGTACGGCGCTACAGTTTCTTGGGACCGCTTTGTGGATGTGGGGTTCGGTTGGGAAGCTGATGGTGCGGTGGGGGGGAGGGGCGGTCTCGAATTCTCGAAGGTGCGGAGTGGTGTCGCCGAGTCTAAAGGAATAATCACTGTGGAGACAAATTTTGACGATTGGTGATTGGCCAAGCCAACCACACCAGCACGGACGGTGGGTCTCGATATGAATTACCAGAAAGAACGAGTAACTCCCAGACGCAAACGAAAAGCTAACGACAGCATGGGGTAACCGAGAAAAGGTGGTGCTTGTTTGCTCAATATTGTGGCACTTCCACCCCACCAGCAAACTATTTTATCTGAGAAGCCTTCGCGTTCTAATCATTTCAACAATTGCGCGTTGCCTTTCCTCTTGTTTACACCACAGCACCGCTATTCCACGCCCGGTCATCGTTGGTCTCAGCCGCCGCGGCATGGGGTCGTTAGCATTAGTTGTCAGTCCACCTATCGTCCAAGATAAAGTTGTTCCTTGTGTGCCGTTGCCGTTATCACGTGGATGCACTTACTTGAGACCACAGACACGCTCCTCCTACAGCTCTGAGCACGCTCATGCAAAAAGGCGGCACGTTCCTTTCAAAACTCAAAGCTGTCGATCGATAGTTAGCACTGGCTATCTTCAGTGTTCATCAATCACACGGTCGAACCGGCTAGTAGTCACTCGAGCCGAGGCTTCGAACAGATCCGAACCTGGAGGTTCGGCAGCGGACCTCGCTGCTTTGGAGGAGAGCGAGCCTTGGCTCGGCGCCGTGGTCTACCGTCGTAGCGCGGCTCGTCAGGAATTCGTTCTCGTTACCTCCTTGGAGCGCCTCGTGCTTCCGCATCTCTCCTCCCCGGCGTCCCGCGCGCAGGCCGCGGAGACACTGATGGCGGAGATTCCGCAAGAAGAGCGCACGGGAGTCGATGGGGAAGCGGAGGCGGAGGGTACAGCTGTGGTGGTGCGCATGCGTTCTTCTAAAGAGGGCCGCGATATAAGGCTGGACGGCACTGCGCAGACGGTGTTCGCCATGCAGTGCCACAGGTGAGCCTCTAACGGGGGACATATTAGGTCCACTCAAATGTCCCGCGCACCTTCTTCCCCTAGTTCGTCGTTCTCCCCTACCCTAATCCTCAAACCCCGATCCCTTCTCCCGTCCTCGCCAGGTGCTTATGCCCTGTAACGGAGCCCATCTATAGCGAGTTCAGCCTGCTTCTCTCCGCGTCGCCCCTACACGAGCCCACCAAGCGCAGCCTGGGGGTCATCCTCGACGCCCCCTCCTCCAGCTTCAACTCGCTCCCTGCAGACTATGACGATGGCGACGAGGGCGATATGCTCGATCTAGATCTAGACGATAAGCTCTACTTCCCCCCGGACCAGCGGATTATAGACGTCTCTAAGTACGTGCGCGACACGGTGCATCTGGAGATCCCTCTCAAGGTTCGGTGCAGCCCCGGGTGCCGAGGCATGTGCCTTGGGTGTGGGGCGAACCTCAACGTGAAGGCGTGTTCCTGCGGCGAGGACGAATGGGGGATTGGGGGCAGCAGCGGCAGGGGGCAAGCGACAGGGAGCGGGCAAGGGCAAGGGCTGGATGGGTTTGGGGTGGGGAAAGGGAAGGGGAAGGGCATGGGGATGGGGGGGTTGAAGGGGGGAAAGGCGGGGGGCAAGGGATCATTGAAGGAGCAGCTGGAGCAGCTGTACAGACGCGAGGATGGTGGGGGTGCTGGTGATGGTGGTGGTGATGCGCAGCAGCAGGGGAGATGATTTGGAGCAGGAGGCATGGAGCAGGAGGCACGGTGTAGGAGGCACGGAGCAGGAGGCACGGAGCAGGAGGCACGGAGCAGGAGGCACGGAGCAGGAGGCATGGAGCAGGAGGCACGGAGCAGGAGGCACGGAGCAGGAGGCATGGAGCAGGAGGCACGGAGCAGGAGGCATGGAGCAGGAGGCATGGAGCAGGAGGCACGGAGCAGGAGATGTGGGCACAGAAGTGGCAGCAGGGCAGCATGATCCATTTTCTAGCGATTTTATGCTAGTACAGTAACCAGTTTTATCTGAGACGACAAAACTCCTTCCCACAAGAAAATTGTGCCCAACTGCTGTGCAATGTGCATGCTCTGCAGCTGTTTTGTGGTTCGCCTGGCTCTGCTGCACGCTCAAGGCTTATGATGTGTACTACTTTCCAGTGTACAAGCAGTGCACTCATGTGCAATACCTGCTACAGTTGGTTACACACGCCATACTTGCCTTGTTATGCCACTTTCAATGGTTCCACTCCACGTCGTTCAATCCATTGCATCCATGAACAGTGCATCCGTGGCAAGGCGCCACACCACATTATTGATTACTTTGTTAAATACATGGCTGGAACACACGGGTAATAATGATTCTGCCATTTGAGTCTGCTATGCAGGACTCAAGTGTTAATCGGCAAGCCAGAGACTCGGTCACCCGGGTCCCATTCCTGAACCAGTACCGGTATCTGCCTCTATCTTGATCTCCCTCCTCACCCACCACCCCTTGGTCCTGTGGAACAGGGCAGGTAATCTCGTGACCCAGCTTTGTGTATGAACAATTCGTTACTCGGCGCTTCACAGCATCTGGGGGAAGGGGTGGAACCACGAGTCGAGGCCGATCCAGGCCTTGTTGAGGAAGTATCTGCGGCTGGCGGGCGTCATGGTCTTGAGCCACAGCACACGCCCGTCCAGGTTGGCCCCGATGCCCGTGTTGTTGTACTCGGCATAGAAGGTCGTCCACTCCCTCGACCTCACGTAGAAGTTGTTCCATGCTGGCCGATGAACAAGTGGGAGATGGGGAGAGAGGGAGGCATGAGGAAGGGAAACCCAGTGCCCGTGTTGTTGTACCCTCGACCTCACGTAAGGTTGTTCCACGCTGACGACGATTAAGTGGGATGGGTAGGGAGAGAGATATGAGCAAGGGCCACCCGGTGCTCTGCGTGGAAGCTGTTACATGCTGGGGAGCACGTGACGGGGCGGGGGGAATAAGTGGGAGATAGGAAGGGAGAGAAATGTGACTTGAGGGAGGCAGCGGAAGAGGCGGAGGGTGTTGTTGTACTCACCAACATAGAGAGAAAGCTCAGTGAGGGAGTTGCTCACCCATGTAGCACACTATTCTAGGTGCCTACAAGTCAGCAGTCTCACCTTCAGCGCTGATGATCTCGTCCATGTACGAGTGTGCGAAGATGGTGCACGCGTACTGACCCCACGACCGCCCCAGCCACCCCTGCAGGCACCACCACCGCACACACACACACACACACGAGGGCAACACGGAGGATACATCAGGCTCTGCGGGCGGGAGTTCAGCGATTGCGGCTCCATCCCCTGTGATCACTGGCACGATGATGGGCTGCTGAATCATGCCACTGCCCTGCCCCATTACCAACCAATCGTTTCCAACTTATCCATTGCAACTATTCCTCCTCCTTATTGCCTCTCTATCCTCCCCTTCCTCGTACCAGCTATCCCCCCTCATTTCCTCGTCCTAATCACCCGCCCGATGATAGGCTGTTGCCCGATACATGCGGTTCCGCACCATCATAAACCATAACGCACCATACATGTTGTCCTTAATGTCGCGCTTCCACCGCACGCTCTCCCCGACCCGCTAATCCCCTCACATGTACAGCAACCTACCTGCGCGATGTTGGGCTGTTGTCCGACGATCCGGCTCTGCACCATGACGAAGCAGTTATCACGTCCTTGATGTCGCGATTCCTATGCTCCCTTCCGCCCCGCTCTTTCCCAATTGCAAACATTCAAGACATTCACTAAAGCGCACCTGGGCAATGATGGGTTGTTGCCCGATGATCCGGCTCTGCACAATAACGAAGCAGTTATCGTCGTCTCTAATGTCGCGTTTCTGCGCCGTCACCGACGCGAACCCGTAGCTCGACATCTGCAGCACGCACGACTCGAACCGCGCCTTCGCCTGCCCGAAGATAAAATCCACCGTCCCGAATATGTAGCCTGGACAGTGTGGGGTGGGGGGGACGAGAGGCGGGGGGTCGTGAGCTGGCTTCGGGTGGAGGGGCGTGAAGGGGCGAGGGGGGAAACTTTTGGGGAAGTGCGGGGGAGCGTGGGGACGGCGTGAGGGAGCTGGGCGTGAGGAGTAAGGAGAGTGAAGGAGCAACGAGGACGGAGCCGCGCGGCAACGCGCGAGCTTGTAACTAAAACTCATGGTTTCTCAACGTGCCGAGAACGAGGCCGCGTGGCACAGCTGCAAGCCCACCTAGGCGCAACACCAAGAGCACCACCGTCCGTCCCTCTCCCTCCCGGCACGGGATTCCATCAGATCGCACTTCCGTGCCGCTCTTTCCTCTCCTCTCCTCCCCTCACGCGCACGCATCCCCCGCGACCTCCCGCTCGCTTCCCTCCGCTGTGTCACTGCACAGTCACCGCAAACCCCTCCCACCCGCGGCGCCACTTACAGTCCTTGTAGTATTGCCACCCCTTGTGCGCGTACAGCGTGTCCTGCGCGGGTGACGCGGATATCAAGGGAAGTAAGCGAAGAGGAAAGGGGAGGAAGGAGTGGGGAACGTTGAAGAGGGGGTGAAAATGCGTGTGTGTGTGAACGGAAAGAGTGGGGGTATTTACAGACGGAGTCGGACAAGTGATGACGATGACGTTGACGGTAACGTTGACGATGCGGATGACGACGACGGCGACGGGGCCTACCTGGAACGACTTGATGGAGCAGTTGTAGAACGCGGTGCGGTTGGCCGTCACCCTGACGGCCACCGCTTGGTAGATGTAGCTGTTGGGCGGCGGCCGCGGCGACGCGTTCTCGAAGTTGAAATTCACAGCCGTGAAATCATCCGCGAATACGACAAAACAACCCGAGTTCACTGCGGGAGGGTGGACGGCAGGGGCGGCGCGGCACAAGAGTAAAGCAAGTGACAACAGCGAGGGACGACGACAGCAAGGGAAAACCGAGCGAAGTCATGGCGATGGCGGCCGTTGCGCCGTTCAAGGGCGCGCGCAGGCGCGGCGAGCCAATGCGATGCTTACACGTGGAGAGCATGTCGCCGTTATCGTTGAGCATGCCGCTGTAGCGGTTGCACGACACCGTGCTTCCGCCGTTCTCGGGATCGCCGATGAGCGCCAGGTAGCGCTGCGGGAAGAAGCGGGGGAGGAGGAGAGGGGAGGGGGAGGGGAAATGGCTCGGCCGGAGCATTGAGAGGGGTGGAGAGGCGAACATGTGAGTAATGCGGTCACGCGTCATGTCCGTCCGATCATGCGTTCCGACGGTTGCAGGCGAGGCAAGCGCGCTGGGAGGATAATGCACGCGACGTGCGACTCATGCGACGCACATGCAACGCACGTGCGACGTGCGAAGGACGCACCATGTACGGTCGGATGATGATTGTCTCGTTGTACCACCCCGCTTTGACGAAGATCTTCGTCCCTTGATTCGGCAGATACGCTGGCGGCACGTAGTATATCGCCTCCTGCCACGTCACGCAGGGACCACCATGCCACGTCAGGTGCAATCCAGACAGACGCCACGAGGAAGCAGAATAGCACGTGCAATGAGCAAGGCAGCAGTCCTGATTAACAAACGCCTCGCAATGGGTAGTTGGCTAGTCGTCTCACTACCTCCTTCCCCCGCCACTTATCTGCCTGCTTCCTCGCAACATCGCATCGTGACCATGCGCCATCGCACGCGTCGCACGCACCTGGATGGTGGTGAAGTCGCCGGAGCCGTCCTTTGCGACAACCATGTTGGGCACCACGGGCACGCCGTTGAGGTTGATTGTCATGTTGGTTCGCGACACCACGCCCCCCACCACGCCCGCCGCTCTACTCGGCGCAATCGTAACGGTCAGGAGCGCGAGGAGCGCGAGGGGGAAGGAGAGCACGAGAGGAGAGAGGGCGAGCCGTTGTTGCCGTCTCGAGCAAGGACGGCGGTTCGCACCTAGTAGTTGTTGTGTATCTCGATAGTACTGGGAGTTAACTTCCGTGCTTGACGAGCCGCGTCTTTCTAACGGTATCGAGTTCATCTTTACCGAGGCTTCTGGTTGACAATCGTGGTTCCTACAACACGCCGGGCTCCGGGTTTCTGCTCGTACTACACTCCGCTTCGTGGAGAGATTCGTGCCGCGCCGCATGAGGTATACCGAGGCTTGAGGCATTTCTTCGTCAGCTAATTGCCGATGCGTGGAGCAACCGACTTGGATGAGGAGAAAAATCTATGGAGAAATACTCCTTCGGAATATGCTGAAGTGTCCGTATATCTGAGGTCCGAGAGGCTGGCAATAGAGGTCGACGAAGAAGCCACCCTATCTAGCTGCCTACCACGGGACAAGGAGTTAACTACTGAACGTGGAGGAAGGATGGGGTCGGTGGCACTCGCAAGCTCGGAGGGGCCGATCTAGTCGGTCAGAAATGTCACGAAGCAGCCCTAGGCTGCGAGCAGTGCCGAGAGTTTAGCTGAGGCAACAGCACGAAGTGACTTCAAACATCAACTCCCTACCGTAATTCACAAAGTAGGGAGAAAGACAGCTTTTTTCGCGCTAGCCCTGCGCCGTCATCCAGCTCCACGACTTGTATCAGCATTGGCTATGGTGCCACTTCCATTCCAACACTGGCCATGGCTCATCACTTCCACTTGCTTCCTTTCTCGGCTAGGTGTTCCTCCTCTCCTCCCCTCCCTCACTGCTTCGCCGTTGCCCATCCCACGCCGAAATTGTTCGCACCGACAGGCGGGAGAAGCCTGTTGGGAGTGTGCGCCAGGGATTTGCGTTGCGAGGGAAGCAGGACGGCCTGCAACTCGCGCGGCTCGCACAGACCAATTTTGGGCCTCCGAGGCGCGCTTGATTTCAGGACAGAGAGGCGAGGCTGGGATGATGGAATTGAAAGCGTGCTGAACATGAAATACGGTACATCTGAGCTTGGAGATATACAGTAACGTGAATGCGGGAAACATACAAAAACACTATTGATAATTGCCACAACTTGAACATAAACAAGAACAAATACTAGTAACTGACACTACCACATTACTACTATGAGATAGCATGTAGAGGCGTCACTGGAAAGGGCTGAACAACGTAATCAGAAGCATTTACGCCGTGCATCCTCCTCATAATAGGACCTGCCGGTGAGCTTCCTGAAGCAGCAGCAACAAAACCAGGATTGTTCACTAACTTGGGTGTAGGAGCCTCTCGAGGCAGCACAGGAAGTGGAGTATTAGGAGCGGAGGCCACGTTACGGGAGAACCAGTCCTTCATCTGTGTCAGGTCGTTGCTTGAAGAATCAGAAGAGGCAGCGACACCAGGCGCTGAATCTCCAAGAGAGGTTTCCTCGCTGCCCCCCTCACCCGGACCTGCCGCACATGCAAGCTTTGCTGCGCCAGGACTCAAGCCACCATTAGTAAGGCTCGGCGTATTTCTGCTCACGCCATCAGCATGTGTTCCCTCCACTGCTGCTGCTTTTTCAGCAGTATTCACGCCAAGGACAGCAGCAGCAGAGGGGCGGGCGACATGCAGGCGGAGGGACTTGAACAGAGAGAGGCGGTGAGATGCCGCCTGCAGCCGACCCTTGCTGCTGCTGCTGACACTACCGCTGAAGGAACTGCTGTCGCTGGTGTTGGCGTTGACACTACCACTGCTGCTGCCAGCAACGCTGGTCCGGCTTGCTCTCCAGTTGCTGCCTCCTCCGCCAGTGCAGCTGCTCTCAGAGCTCTCAGAGCTGCTGCGAGCCATGCCAAGACTGCCCTGACTGGACACTCTTGACACTCTGCCCTGAGTTGACTGCATTGAATCCGCAGCGTTCAGCCCTTGCTGCTGCGTGCCCTCGCCGCTCTCAGACGTGGTCTCCACGGGCGACAGCAGGGGGAGGCCTCTGGGCGTCAGCCCTCCCGACCAATTCGTCTGTCTCGCCTCATTTCGCCCACCGGCGTAACGAACGCCCCCGTTTCGCTGCCTTTCGCCACACTCCGCCTCCCCTTCGTCGTCGCGCTCACCTCGCGAGATCTTAAGGTCGCGGATAGCCTTTTCCCACGAGTACATATCTTCTGCGGAAATTGCATAAGCACCGAGCTGTGCCGCGGTATGATTTTCAGCGTGCGACGCGCTCGCGGCGCCTTTTGGCGAGACGAGGTCCATCAGCGACCACGGGCCTGCCGCGCCGTGATTGCTGACGTCACGCGGGACGCGGCTCCGTTCCGCCCCGTCGCGCTCACGTGACGCATTTTTACGGGGGCGCGGGAGAGCAGTCAAAGCGCGCGCAAGCTTCCGCGACCCGCTGGAGAGAAGCGCGCGCGGTGAGACGAGGGACGAAGCGGAGGCAGGGGGTGCCCGCGGGGAGATGAGGGCGGACGAGGAGGACGGTGGCGCGCGCGGAGAGATGAGGGCGGACGCGGAGGACGGTGGCGCGTGCGGAGAGATGAGGGCGGACGTGGAGGCCGGTGGCGCGCGCGGGGAGATGAGGGCGGAAGCGGCGGAGGAAGGTCGCGCGCGCTGCGAGACGGAGTTGGGGATTGTTGGCGCAGTCGAGGGGACGGTTCCGCTGGTAGTCCGGGCGAGGGGAGGAAGGGATGTTGCCGGCAGGGCCGCGGCGGCGGCTGCACTAGGCGATGGTGGCAACGCGACGGCGCCGCTGGCGGCACCGGTGGTAGGTTTGCGCGGCGTGGTGGGCATCATTAGCGCGGCGCGCAGCGAGTGGTTTATGGGAGGCATGGACGCCGCGCGCTCCAAGCCGAATCCGCCGCCTTTCGCTGCGACCGCAGCGCGTTGGCGGGTCGAGGCGCGGGATGCACGCGGCGTGAAGCAGCTTACAACGGTCGCATCGCCCGACGGCGACTCCGAGTCGTCAATCCTGTTTTCCGCGTCGCCCGCCGTGCATTCCGCCGCGCATGTCGCCAAATCATGGGGCCGCGCGTGATTAGTCGAACGAGTATCGTGTGCGGCTGAAACCGGATGCTCCAGCAAACAATAGGTTCCCCCGGGCCGCAAAAAACGCTCCGGCGGAAGAGGAGCCGCATTTGGCGGTTGTGATCGTCGCGACGTAGCCAGCGGCTCCCGCGCGGTGTGATTCAGCGACGCGAGGCCGTGGTGGGGGAACTCTTTAAGGACGTCCCTGACTTGCATGAGCTGCTCGTGATACAAACGAATGGAGCCATCGGGAAGGAGAACGATGACGGGGTCTGCGAACGACGCGGGCTGTGCGACGGCAAACGCCATCACTTCGACGAATAACCAAAGGTGTCAGGACTTTAGGAACCGAAGAAAGCGTGCTAGGGGAGAAGGAGCTGAGATCGTACGAAGACGTAGAATACAATACCTGTGCTGCACGGAAGCTGGGGAAATAAATGACATTTCTTGGCTCGCGATTCTCAATTATGTATGGGCGGAAGGAACTCGATATAGCGTAATTCGAGGCGAAAGGAATTGCGCACTCGCGTGTGGTGCTGCGTGGTTCTGCTGGGTGACAGATATTTTGTCGTTATGGTGGGTGCCTTGTGCGTCGGATCGGGGACTTTGCTGAGCCGGGCAAGGGGAAAGCCGAACCGGGTTGTCTCGTCTGACACCATCCGTACAATACAGCCAAGGCCATACCAGACCAAAATTCCTGGGCAGATCCTCCAGTACGGTCCGTACCGCACGGTGTTCTCGAGGCTCAGAGTCACATTCTCTCATTTTTGGGGGGGAAAAGATCAACGAGGGGCCGAACAGTGCCAGAGGGGTGATCGACCAGGGGCCGAGAGGCCCGGGCCTTACCGAACCGCTGCACGAAGAGTTATTTACAGAGAATTGTCGTTTATGGTACGTAACTATGTTATTAGTGGCATGTACCGGTTCGCATTTTCGATCGGGTGTCGTTTAGCAAGCCCACTCTCTGGGACTTGTAGGGCAGCAAAAAAAACTAAAACTCATAGGGAACCTGGATGCATTTTTGGGATGGATCAACCCTAAGAACGGAAATGTTCCTGATATTTCGGGTTGATGCCTCCCGAGTCGCATCCGTTTCCGAATGGGTGATATAATATTTTCTTGTGCGTTTACGATCGGTGGGTGATATGTATCAACCAGAATATAATATTTTATACGTACTCACATTTTGACACGCGGAATGTTACTTAAAAAAAAAGCGACGCGCGCGTTGTTGTAGACGGAGGTCAAAACCATTCATAAATAAAATGAGCACAATCTTTGGTTCGTCTAAGAAATTTCTTTTAAGCACGGTTCGGCTTTGTCGCCTAGTCGATTGGGCAGCTCTGGGTTGAAATCTTACGGTCGAGATTTACCGGCCCTACTTTGATCACCCCTCTGGCACTGTTCGGCCCCTGGTTGATCATTTCCCTTTTTGTGGGATGATGTGCTGCCGGCGACGACGTTCGGCGGCTTACTTGACGGACGGCTTGGTTTGGGGTGGGGAGTCTCTCGCGTGACCGACGCGACATGTCAGAACGAACTTGGCCGTTATCCGCACTGCACCCCTTTCCAGCTCACCATTTGGGACCAAGAATGTTGTGAGGCGGAGTCTAATGCGCCATCGCCCGGGGTCTAACCTCTTCGATCTAGCGTGTCTAGACCCTTGGGAGCTTGTGGCGCAAGGCTCCGCCAAAAAAAGACAAGGCCACGCCACACACGACAAGGCCCTCCGCAAAAATTTCCCTGCGCCATTATGCCCGAAAAAATCGCCAACTGTCCAATCTGCCCGTGAGCCGCGGTGGGTGCGATGTATCATGCGAAACCTCCGGCTTCGCTATCGTAACTCGTTGGCCGTTTGCAGACGGGCGTGGTTCGCTAGGCCGGTAGTGACAAGCAGGCCGTCTGTGACCCGCTTCAAGCCTTTAACCTTTTACCTCGACATGGTGTAACTGTGAACTGATATAAACATGTTTTGTTTAAAAGATTTCTTGGCTCCTTGGTTTTTGTTTGTTTCTTTATTCAGGTGTACATATTCTGTCAGAGTTGTGCTGGCAATATGGTGTACAGGAATCCCACCAATCGGCCTCGCCAGATCCGCCCTCATACGGTCTGGAGCCAACCAATCACCATCGCCATTTGTGGCGGGAGTTGCTCTCAGATCCTTGGTTGCGCATCTGGGTACTGACTTCAGGTCCAGTGTCGTGGAGCAGACTCAATGTCCCAGTCAGGTATGTATTGTTCCTGTCATGCGCATTTGCTCTTTTCAGTTCGTCATTAGTGCTTTCCGAGCTTTGCGCGGCTTTCATCCTGCTGCGTTGTCTTGTAGTCACCTGCATAGACCTCAGGGTACACCTGCGTTGTCTTGTGGTACACGCGTGTCTAGCGCGTTGGCTCATTTAGGTGGTAGAGGGTTCTTTTTTTCGGGCAGCCCGGGTTTTGTTCGGATCGTCCGTATACCATTCGTCTGTTATGCGGCGGCAGTTCGATGTAGCGTATAGTGTTTTCGCTTCCCCTCGACAAGTCTAGGATATTTTTTTCAATTCCTATGCACACATTCGTAGGCTGCTTACAGATTGACATTCGCATAGGTCGTATACACGTATTCCTACTCTTGACTATACCGAAATGGTACGTAGATAGTATACCAATCGTCGGCGATACGAGTGGCGACCTCCGTTCGTATAGTCTGGTTCCCCTGTATACCTTTATTTTCCCTGGCCCTACTCTGCACGGAATCTGTCCTCGTTGCTCCGCTACCTTCCGCACCTCGTAACTAGTCACTCGGTTGCCTCTACAGGACTTTCGAATTCACATAGTGTAGGCTGTCGATTGTAGGCTCGTTTTCACGTATAAAAGTCTATACGGTAGACTCTGAGGCCGCCGCTGTAGGTAGCACTGCCCATCCAGTCTCTATTCTCATTATGCGGGCCGACATACTACCCGACTTGAACGCGGACCCTAGCGTCTCGGACCAGGACCTAGATGAGGTTGTCCCAACACCCGTAGAGGACCATGTTCAAGAACGCGAACTCGACGCGCACTTTACCGTCCATGAGAATGAAGCGTATTACGACGGTATAGGAGATCCTGATATCCTCATCGAGAATGTGGACGAGAGTGATGTTGCTGGTATGGATTCAAACGACCTAGATGTTGACGAAGGCTTCGAAGAAGACTATGATAAGTCCGACGATGAGGACGAAGAGGCCAGCTTGGCCAGGAGGGCGCGCGCTATGGAGGATGCCAACATGGCAGCGGAGGGTGTGGTGGCTGGAGCTGCGGCGCCTAATGGTGCTCCTCCTATCCGTGGCGAGCAGGAGGGTGTGGTCGAACATGGGCCTCGTCAGAATGCACCATCCAGCCGGGTCGTAGAAGGAGGCGGTGTGGAGTCTGGTGCGCGACAAGAAGCACCTGTGAATGTTGGCGACGGGGGTGGCGCGGAGACTGTTGCGCAGAAGGAAGCAGCAGCAGAGCTGGACAGCAAGAAGGATCGTGCTAAGCTCCCTCTTCGCAAGATTTCCGTCGACACGAGAAAGCACTACTGGTTTAACTTCCTCCACTTCAAGTGGTGGGTCATCATTTTCATGGCAATGATGGCAGAGAACGAAGTCCCTCCGAGGGAAAGGCTGAAAGTCCACGACGAGGTCGGATTTATGCTGGGCAATGACAAGGGAGATCTGTGGGCTAACGTCGCGGACCCGTGGGACATCCATCTGCACGGGCCGCGGGTGACCAGATGGAGGGTCATTCAGTACATCCGTTATCTGTTCAACGAGACCAACGAGCAGGCAGAGAAGTTGCGGAAGAAGATTCGACCCAACAAGAAGATCTACTTTGGCAAGTACGCACGGGCAAGCACACCGTTCGTCATCAAGGCGAAGATGAATGCGCTGGGTTGCCTCGGCAGAATCGAAGCCCGGCTATACGGCTACTCCATTTCATCCACAAAGGACTGGATCAAGGAGGCTCGTGAGTTTCTCAAGGTCAAGTTGATCGAGCTTAACGACAAGCAGGTTGCGTGAGTGGTTACATTTCCAGCTTGCTTTGGGTCTCGTATACGGTCTTCGGTGCTGGATTAATGCCGGACTTTGTGCTATGCAGAGAGGGAAGAGATCAACACCGCGGGTCTATGTCCGACTGCTATACTGCCAAGCAGTACAAGACGCTTCATCACACTGTTTTGCCTCCACTGATCCTCGACTTCTACAACAGGACGAAGGTCGTTCCCTCACGCGACTTATGGAGGGTGCTGCAAGCGAGGGTTATGATACAGCTGGCGCACCAATTTCTAGGGAGGGGATGCAGCATTCGCAAGATCCGCCTTGGGAACATGTTCGTCCGCCTGACGCGAAGCACCTCTCACGTCGACGAGGAGCTAGACGTCTTCGTTCTCGTCGTCACTTCCCGTAAGACGAAGACCAACGTCACCAATCAGCTGAGTCACCAGTTTCTTGCCAGGCATAGGGACTGGCAGCTATGCGGCATGGGGGGTGTTTTCCTGTGGTTACATTTCCTCTACGACCTAATCCCTCTGCGCTATGGGGATGGTATAGTCCAGCCTCTAGACTTCTCAGACCCGCTCCTCTGGACTAAGATGCACCTTTTCTTTACCCTCAAGAGCCCGACAGATCCGCGGCAGCAGAGGCAAGATGAGATGCCCTACAAGACGCATAACTCATGGATTTCCTGGGTCATGAAAAAGGCGGAATGGGCGCTCAGCAAGGTGACACATGCGTTCCGTAGATCGGGGGCCCAGGGCCTCAGTGACGATGGCTGCCCTGACAACGACATTGGCAGCCTTGGAGGCTGGGCACAGGGGGAGATGCGGAGGTCGTACATCGTCGGCGTGCCGTTCAGGCCAGTCTTTCTGCAAGCAGGTTTCAGTGGTGATCGGGGAGACTACTACATCGGCAGATCCAAGGCAAAGCTCCCACGACACAAAGACCCCGATAAGGACGAGTGGCTTCTGCTGCTTAAGCTCATCGAGAAGCACGTTTTCCCTTGGGTCGAGGCTAATTTGAAGAAGGTACGCCTGGTTTTGTACTATGCGATCACAACGCGCTATTCCCACCATCATGAACCAATGCCTGGTGCATGCATTGAATCCTACTCGTCAACTCACAGATCTTGCTCGTCCCCCACTGCCAGGTGCATGCGTGGAATGCCAGGCAGAAAGACCCGCAGAACAGGCACTATGCAGGGGTGAGATTCCTCGAGACTCTTCGGGATGTTGGGCGCCTGGTGGTGGCACAGGACTTGGCAATGATGTGGATTCACTGTGACGTCCACCGGTACAAGGAAGAGGGATTTCGACGGTGCTCCTGCCAGCGTCATCCCTACGTGCTGATGAGTCGACTGTGCAGAGAGCCCTTGTTCCAGAAGTGGGCATATTTGGTTGCGTCTATGGACTTGGCGGGACACAAAATGAGGCAGACTAACCCTACGACCGCAAAGGCAGTAAGTGTGCGAAATTGTGGGTATAGCAGCACCATGTAAACACCATACTAACCTTAATCGTAACGTATATGGCAGGACGCGCAATTCCGCTATACCGCCGAGGAGAAGATGCAGAAGGTTTACGTCGCGAACGACATGCTGAGGCAGGAATGTGGGAGACTCCAAGGCGCCTACTCGCAGGCCGTGTCACAAATACAGTCGCTGGAGGGAAGACTTGCTGCTAGGGACCTCGCGTACGCTCAGCTTTTGGCAGAATTCGAGGCCCTCAAGTGCAGTGGGAGCGCGCATAGTCGTGGTGTCACTGCCTCTGCAGATGGGGCTGGCCCGTCCAATGTGAGCTCTGGAAGCGCGGCTGCCCAGGCCTCCGCCGCGCCCAAGGCAATCTCCCCCGAGGAGGCGTTTTACAAACTCGTCGTCGTGGAATGGCGTGACGCGAAGACTGTTGCCGGGGCTTGGGCTCTGTGGGTGAAGAAGTCTCGGATCATGGATGGCCAGTCTCTGCGTGAAGTACGCGCAGCGCTCGAGCGCCAGGACAAGAACTTCTTCTCCACGTTTGCCTTCTTCTCCCCGAGCGGCCCGAATGCGATGGCGACGGAATCCTGCGACCGGAAAATGCGTCGCATGGCTCTGGTCATGCAAGCGGTGGAGACATTCAGGGTGGACAGCTCCGAAGAGGCGACCGCTACTGCTGTTGCGCGTCTAGACTCTGTGTTGGCCATCACAAGCTTCAGAGACTTCACCGACGGCCTCATTGTCGGAGACACGCTCCCAAAGAAGCGATCACGCAAAGCAATGAAAGACGGGAAGAGCACCAACGAGCACTCACAGCGCGTTATCAGCTGGCACCTCGTCAAGATGCGGCTGCGCGACGAGGCGTGGGCAGTACGTCTATTCGGGGCCGAGTGGGAGACCATCAAGGCGGCGGAGGAGGCGAAGGACGCTGCAGCTCAAGCTGCAGCAGAGGCAGCTGCAGCTGTCGCTGCTGCCAATGCAGAGCGTGATGCGGGCAGCCCCTCTCAGTAGAGTGCATTTCCGCACGTCGCACTACTGCGACCAGGGCATTCGGGGTAGATTACAATGCCATCGGTCTAGTGCACCGGCATTGCTTATGGCGTCGTCTTTGGTATAGGGTTCACCCCGTAGAATGCTACACCCCATTGGGTTTAGGGACATCACAGGCCTCTCATACTGGTCGAGTAAATGCATTTGACCAGCCCCACGTACTGCCCATTGATTTGTGGATGCATCACCCAGTTGTCATCGACTCTCTACACCTTGCAAGCTCGCCACTGCATTGGTGGGTATACACAAGGAACAACTCCACAAGGATTCGTGGTAGCTGGTGTACTGTCGTCGCCGCTCGGTTATAGGCGGCTTACCGCCTGATATGGTCGATGTACAGGGTCTGCACGCCACTGCCATTTATAAGGCCATTGCGCTATTCCGGCATAAAGCACATGGGTATACAGCACCACACCATCTCGGCAAAACGACTCCTGCGTATAGTCCACATCGGTCACTATACACAGAAACGTCTTCAAAATCCACCTTAGTATGCCACGACGCCATGCTGGCCCAAAATTCGAACGGAAAACTGCACGCATGCTAACGCCTTGGGTATATGGTACTCCAGTCATTAAGCACTCTACCGCTCCACATTACATTCCCCCCGGAACACCACTCAGCCCACCGGAGTCTTTTGTTGAGATGAAGTAGGTCTTTCTTGGAGGTGGCCTATTACATGCAACGCACCATTAGCCACCCATGCGGTTATATCAAACGCCAGATATTACCTCAGGCATACATTACGTGCGTGTTTGTACAATGGGTTTTCTATCTCGCGGGTATGGACCGCTATACCGTGGTTGCGCGCATTCTGAATTCGCTATATACGACTACCACTTGTTAGACCAGGGGGGTTAGTATCGCGCCTGTAGCACCTCGTTCTCCCGCGGCTGGTCGCAACCAGTTCGACGGGAGTACTGGAAACTGCTCATACGAGGTAGACCCACAAGCCAGATTGAACTCCTCCAACGTATGGACCACCAATATACCGGCACAAAACTATGCAACCCCAACTGTAGTGGACAAATGCCACTAGGTATACCTCGCCGCCTGAAATCGCCCCTACCCAAATTCTCGATGGAAACACGCACACCAAGCCGGCGTGGGAGAATGCGACTCCTCCACATCCAAACTTATTCCACCACGACGCTGTCCAGGTAGTAACAAGGATTGGTGTATAGGCTTCTAGTGTTATGAAGCCCACAATGCAGCCACACCTATGGGTATAGCGCGAGCATGTCTCTCCCGTGACTGGTCTAGCAATGGACAACTGTACTAAACTAAGCCATTCACACCAGGTTCAGGAGCCCTGCTAAATCAAGTCGTCTTAACGTTCACAGGAATCTAACATCGGCACAAACAAAACTACTTAAACCACCAAGATGCCCAGCCCTCGTGTTAAAGAGATCGAGCCAATGCCGTGTCTACAGCACACACAATAACACCCATCACCCCTGACCATCCTCTTCCGAGCACGACCGTCTCGAAGGGGGGAATTTCAGGGAGACGCCTTGGTTTGCGAAAAGGCCGCCAGATGCCATGCTGCACTCGCACCACCAGGTCACCACCTTGCCCACGACACGCGTTATGGCCTTTGTGTTTCCTGCCCGAGCTTCCACGGGCACAACGTTAAACACGGCATCTGGCAGGCGTGTATACCAGGCCTCACGGTCGTGTGTTATGCCTCCCACGGATCTTAACCCCTCCACCGCCAGCGTAGCCACATCTGCAGCTCGTGAGGCTAGACCACGATCCTGGTGCGCAGCTAGTGCTGCAGACGTGGCCCCCGACAGCCACCACGTCCGGTCCACGCCGGTAGATGCATCCCACATTGCCGAGATTGTTGCCGCCAATCCCACAGCGAAGAGTAGAGCAGACACGGGGTGTTCGCCTGGCTCCTTGCCCATGCCGTACTCCAGAGTGGTCCGCGCAATGCCCGCGCATACAGCTGTCTGGAAGCGATGGCCTTCCGCGATCAGCTCGTCGGCTTTCCTGTGCACCTGCTGGAAACTGCAACGGAATATACAATCATCACGGGAGCATCTTATATAGCATGGGGCAACACACGCCTACTATGGACACACCAGCACATCTGCACATACTCACCGGTCTTGTTTGTCTAAATGCAGCTCGTTGAGAACACTCCATACGCCGGTCGGAAGGTTAGAAGCCCACTGCAGGTCCAAGTGCCGTAACGGGAATGGTGCGGGATTCATTCCATACACCTCCATCTTGACATCTGGAAAGTACACACTCCAGCACAGGGCAACCGTGAAGTTCCTCTCCCAAACAGTGGTATGGGTTCCCAGATTCCTTCGCCTCCCGCCAACAGTCTGCTCCGAAGTCCATTTCATGCCCTCACTCTTCCCCCGCTTACCGAACCCGCTAGCCCTGAACGGCCGCTCTAGACCCCATCGTTTCCCCAACTCATCTGGCACGACGTCGTCGAGTGAGTCGTACACCTCCAACCTGACCCCTTTCATTTCCGCTTCCGTGACTGGAATACTGTCGTTGGACAAGTTGCTATCAACGAGGACCCCCAGCAACACGTTGGCGCCCTCCACCTCGCACGCCGCTTCCTCCGGCAGGTCTGTACCGGGTGCAACCACCTCTGTGCACCCCGCATAGCCGGTATCGCCGCGATCTACGAGACCACGCGTTCTCTTCGGCGGGTTCACCGTGCCCGCGCCACCATCCCGTCCACGCCGTCGCCTCGATCTGGCGCCCCTAACCCCTGCCACACCCACCGCCAGATCCGTTGCCCTCGTCATCCCCATTTTGGATAGCCCACCGCGCAGCCCATCTTCCAACGTCTCCGCCTCAACCTCTCTCGCCAGCTTCATGCGCTCAGCCTCTAATGCGTTCCTCGCTGCATCCCGCTGCCTCTGCCGTTGCTCCATCTCACGTCGCTCCGCCTCCGCCTCTTGCTCTAGACGCCTCCGATTTTCTGTAACCCTGGCTAATGCAGCCTCCCTTTCAGCCTGCCTGTTCTCCCGACTCTGTCTGGACGACAATGCCGTCACCCCTGCTTGGCCTGGCTCCCCGCTTCCTCTAACACGCCTGCCTAGCGCATCCAACTCTGCAGCCCGAGCCCTCGCCGCGTAAGCAGCACACTCCTGTTGCAGCCTGTCGGCATCCTCTGCACGCCTCCGTTCGTTCTCCTCTGCACGCCGACGTTCACACTCCTCTCGCTCCGTCCTTGCCCTCTCTTCGGCCTCCGACTGCCGCTTGGCTGCCTGCTCCTGATCTGCCTTAACTCTTACCGCCACCCTAAGCTCCGTCACCTTCTCCTTCCGCGCCTTTCTTGCCACAGCTGCATTCCGTTTAGTCTCATCGACTATTACGGGCTCCTCACTGCCCTGTGTACCCGTGCTTACCTCACACCTCGCGGGCTTCAAAACCAGTCCTTTCCAACCTGGTCTGTTCCGATCACTCCCTACTTCCGCCTGCGTATCCACACGCGATCCTCCGCCGTCGCTACCCAACCATCTGTTGACAACACGCGCAGCTTCAACCTCGTCGTGGTTGGGGGAGACCGCACGTGCTGCTTCGGGTTGTTGTAGCCTTTGCGCTTCCGCCCGTAACACCTCCCTCAGCCGCTCCTCTACCGTCCGCTCGATGCCCTTTTTGATGTCCTCTACCGCCTGCCTGAGCCCGTCGCCAACAAAACCCCGCAACTCTACCAATGCGGCGTTCACAGACACTCTGACATTCTCAACTATCGACCTTTCCAATAGTGCGGTTTCACCACGGACCGCTGTCGATGCAACACCCGCCATACGCTCGTCCATCACCTCGAGCCGGGTGAGTATCCGTTTTCTCTCCTCCGCCGCTGTTGCTGCCTTGTCTAACCACACTGTGTTGGCATTGTCGAACGCTCGTATTGTACCTAGTGTGTCCTGGTAATAGTGCTCAAGCCATTCGGCATGGTTGTTTACCATGTTCCGCAAGTCTTGGGATACGTTTGCGATCCGTGCAGACTGTTCTGCCGACGCTGTTGCAAGCGCACGCCCTACCAGTGTCAACCGCCTAAGCACCTCTATCGGGGTGAGATTGAATGTCCCCTCCTCGACAAAGCCATCTGCAGTCTCCACCATTACGGGGGATGCTTCCCCCATAATACGACGCAGTGCGGCCTCTGCTTCGTCCCATTCACGGTCCCGCTCTAGAGTGGTTGGATCCGCTTCCTGCCTTCCTAGCCCAGCCCCGTTAGACGCACCATGACGAGCCTCTCTTTCCTCACGCTCCCTCTTTAGTTGGAACTCAAACACCCTCTGTTGGTTTACGACAGCTCGTCGCATAGTCTCAATCCTCTGCCGCGCAGCCGCCCTCGTCTCTACGCCCTGCTCCGCCTCGCCTGCCGCTGTCGTTCCGCGTCCCTCAACGATGTCGTACCAAAACTCCTCACTCCTAAACCCGCTCCTGTTTCGCCGCTGTCCATTCACCAATCCCATATCAGCACGCCCACTCACATCCTCCTCCTCCTCCTCCTCCCGCCTCATGCCCGCTTCCGGTATACGCCGGCTACCCATTTCCCTCACCAGCCCCTCCATACCCTCATCTTCAACAGCTGCCATTCGAGTGTCCTCTGCCGGGCGCGTTCCCTCTGCCACTGCCCTATGCCGCGCTGCTTCCTCTGCGCCATCCGCCTCTGCCGCCACCCTCTCCTTCCGCGCCTTCTCCTCTGCCTCCCTCCTTGCCTCGTCCTCCCTACGCCATGTTGCCTCTGCCGCCTCCCTCTCCTTCCGCGCCTTCTCCTCCGCCTCCCTCCTTGCCTCCTCCTCCCTACGCAGTGTTGCCTCTGCCGCCTCCCTCTCCTTCCGCGCCTTCTCCTCAGCCTCCCTCCTTGCCTCCTCCTCCTTACGCCGTGTTGCCTCTGCCGCCTCCCTTTCCTTCTGCGCCTTCTCCTCCGCTTCCCTCCTTGCCTCCTCCTCTATACGCTTTGCCTCTGCCGCCTCCCTCTCTTTCCGCACCTTCTCCTCTGCCTCCCTCCTTGCCTCCTCCTCCCTACGCAGTGTTGCCTCTGCCGCCTCCCTCTCCTTCTGCGCCTTCTCCTCCGCCTCCCTCCTTGCCTCCTCCTTTATACGCTTTGCCTCTGCCGCCTCCCTCTCCTTCCGCGCCTTCTCCTCTGCCTCCCTCCTTGCCTCCTCCTCCCTACGCAGTGTTGCCTCTGCCGCCTCCCTCTCCTTCTGCGCCTTCTCCTCCGCCTCCCTCCTTGCCTCCTCCTTTATACGCTTTGCCTCTGCCGCCTCCCTCTCCTTCCGCGCCTTCTCCTCTGCCTCCCTCCTTGCCTCCTCCTCCCTACGCAGTGTTGCCACTGCCGCCTCCCTCTCCTTCTGCGCCTTCTCCTCCGCTTCCCTCCTTGCCTCCTCCTCTATACGCTTTGCCTCTGCCGCCTCCCTCTCTTTCCGCACCTTCTCCTCTGCCTCCCTCCTTGCCTCCTCCTCCCGACGCAGTGTTGCCACTGCCGCCTCCCTCTCCTTCTGCGCCTTCTCCTCCGCCTCCCTCCTTGCCTCCTCCTTTATACGCTTTGCCTCTGCCGCCTCCCTCTCCTTCCGCGCCTTCTCCTCCGCCTCCCTCCTTGCCTCATCCTCCCTACGCAGTGTTGCCTCTGCCGCCTCCCTTTCCTTCTGCGCCTTCTCCTCCGCCTCCCTCCTTGCCTCCTCCTCTCTACGCTTCGCCTCGGCCTCCTCCCTCTCCCTACGCTCCTTCTCCACGGCCTCCCTCCTGGCCTCATCTTCCATGCGCGTAACCTCTTCTGCCGCGCCCTCTCCACGCTCAACTCCCGCATCCAACGTACGCTCCCCGACCCTAGGCAGCATTGCTTGCCGGTAACTAGATTCACCTGCGGAGACCTCCCTCAGCGCGTGTTCCGTCCTGCATAACATGACCTCCACGTTGTCCGCCTGAGGTGGTTGAGGCGAACGTGCTCTACGTGTGTAAGACACTTCCTCCATACATGCATTCCCAGGCGTCGCACTAGCATCCATTCGGGCCTCATCCACCTCTCCATCTGTCCTTTCCAGTACATCTACGTCAGAGCTGTGCTCAGATCCTTCTCCGCCACCCCCAAGGTCCCTGGACGAACCATGCAGCGACTCGTGTTCTTCACCGTCCGACTCTTCCTCCTCGTCCACCCTATCTGCTTCCTCTACCCCTTCTACATCCTCATCGGAGTCGGCCCCGTCCTCCTCGTCCTCCAACTCCGCCTCCTCGTCCGAGTCTAGAGGTTCGACCGAATCGATGGTCCCCACGTTCCCCTCGCCAATGGTATCGAAGAATGCCGTGCAATTCGTTACTAGAAAGTCTTCGATGTCCTGCCGCGAGTTCTTCCCATTGCCCAACCGAAGCATCTTATCCTCACTTGGAAGCGATAGCAGGTCACCCCACTTGTCCAGAAGCTTGCTGAAGAGGTGTGTCACACGAAGCCCAGACCCTACTTGTCTTGGACCCAAGTCCTTGATTATCTGCAACAACGAGCAGGACGCACGCTAGTGTAACCAGACAAGTAAATCCGCGGTGCGGTCATTCAATTTCAGCAAAGTGAATAGTACTCACGGCGCCTGCCTGCAACTTCAGCCCATCGAGGCGACTCCGCAACGCGCGTAGCACCTGTTGACGGTGAGGGCTTTCTGGCCTGCGACCCCTGCTATATTCGACTGCTAGCTGTTGTTTAAGCCACCTGCACAAAACTTCATGAAGTCAGCATGCAGTTTCAAGGGTAGAGATAGTAGCGTGAATGCAACTGAAACTTACTGGAAGACCTCATTGGCCATCCATCCGTGGCTGTGAGATGGAACACGTGACTTAGGGTCGTAGTGAAGCACGCGCGTCCGGTACTCATCGCCGTGAGTCCGTACCAGATCGTCGGGCCGGAGAAGGACAACCAGGCTGATTCGCGCCCCGGGTGGCATGTTGGTTCTGCGCAACACGGAACAGACAGTTAGGAAAGTGCTGAAGTGTTGCAGTCGCTGCACCGGTGGCCTTGCCTCAAACTTCTTACAGCGTTATGAGCGGGAACAACACAATCTGGTAGCCGAGAAACGTCTGGTTTCCAGAGAAGCTGACGGGCTCCAGGGGTGTCCTGCTCCTCAGCTCTTGTAGCTGTGAGGGTGGCACGATCTTTATCCACCGACGTTCGCTAATCTTCAGCTTCGACCACGCAACTTCCCTGTCCAAGACATCCGATCAACATATGTTATCCACAGTCGCCCACAGTGTGAGACCGGCATATCATATGCGGGGTAAAGCAAGAGGACAGCACGGCCCTTACACAAACAACCATCCGTCTTACTGCAATGCGAAGACTAACATAGCCTCGTTCCATTCGCGCTCTCGCGAGCACCACGCCAGGTACGACTCTTTTGCGAGACGAACTCGAACCCCGCAGCCTTGAGACAGCATGTGTGCAGACATCGTCAGCCGTTATAGTGGATGATCATCGACAAAGATCGCAGTGTATGCAGCACGATGGTCCGTGCTTGCCACTAGATTGCAGACTACCGCTACGGTGGGGCGATGAAGGTGGGTTTGGAGAAGGAGTTAACCACAAGTAACGTCTTTAGTCGTTGGTAGACGAGGTAGGGATAGCGCAACAGAGTAAGCATGCTTATAACCTAGGTAAGGGGGTTGCAATAATATAAGCTATAGTCGGACATCTGCACACTCTCAAACTCAACGTGCCCACAAAGCCGGTGCGAGGCCGTAATCGGTGAATACGAATTATGGAGTATATCTCCCGTTTGCAGTGCGCCCAGTGGAGCTATCATGCCCGCTCACGGGGATTGTTTGGCGCACATGGTCTGTCCCAACCTGGATCCGAGATTGCGTCTTACCGCGTCCAATTTCGTGTTCAACCTTTTGCCAGCCGATTGGATAGAATATCGCGAATTCGTGCTGACAGTATGACACGTGGGGGTTGATGATAGACATGGCCGAATGATATTACGGTATGTGGCATCATAATCAACTTCGCATCGGCGTGGCCCGTATATATGGCGGGTATATCCACGCCGGCTCCCGAAACCACGGATGTCAGAGAGCTGTCAGTGTCAGCATGTTGCCTATAGTACCGCCTTCATCGCATCACATCCCGACGTATTGTGGTTTCCCACTTTCTTGACAGTTCTAGATTATCGCAGTGTTGTCTAAACTAGATTACCCCTATATTTGTGTTTTGCGTGTACAACCCTGGTTGTACCATAGTCACCGTGTTGAATATACTGCATCTATACCCTGGTTGTGCAGCATATGTAAGTCCTTCATGATTGTGCAAGCCACCTTCCAACAACTATACCGGACCCAGACGCAAAGTGAGAGTTCATGCACAACATGTGCACACAGCGGGAAATGGCGACATTTTGAACTAACTCAACCAATCCAAGTAAGCCCCATACTCTCATATCACGCGTTCTCATCGCCAGCTGCACCAGCCGTTTCCCGCGCTCCACGTTTCGCCATGACGATTCCGATCCCTACACCGTGCTGTTCCTGGAGGCCTCTGGATGCCAAGCAGCAGTGACACCAATATGTGATCGCTCTAGCCACTACCCTAGTCATTCTCCTCGTCGCAGCGTCTCGGTTGGCGGGAGGTTGCTTTTCTAGGAGGGCGCCTGCAAGGACTGGGACCCAACTTTCCTTGTCTAACACTCTCCCGTTGACAGCCCTTATCGCCTCTACCGAGGCACATGCCACACCAGCTGCCCTTGCGGCCATCTTACGGTCTGAATGAGTTGCAAGACCTGCCGTAAGTGCATCCGTCATCCACTGCGTCTCTGCGGCTCTGGTCGAGACATCCCACATAACCGACATGGTGGCTGACAGCCCAACCGCATGCTCCAGCACAGAGTGCCCCTCTTCACCTGCAACTCCGCCCAGGTCCTTTAGTAGAGCAGCTCGGGAGACCCCTGCGCATAGTGCAATCTTGTAGGTGTCCCCTTCCTTTATACGCTCGTTGGTCTCTTCCCGGACGACCTGGAAACTGCACATTGGTAGTTAGGGTCACCAGCATGTTATGTACGTCGGTATAGTGTAACATGCAAGGGAGCTCTGCCAAAGTAGGATTAACATACCATGCAGGCTTGTCGAGGTGTAACTCGTTGATGACACTCCACACCCCTGTTGGCATGTTGATGGTGAACAGCAAGTCCTCGTCCCACAGCTCGAACCGGAGCGGATTCATCCCGTATGCCACTAGGTCGACGTCCGGGAAGTATACCTTCCAACAGATGGCGACGGTTAGGTTCCTCTCCCATACATGGTTGTGCTGCCCCAGAGACCTCTTCTTCCCCCCCACCGTCTGCTCTGAAGTCCACTTAAGCACCCCTCCGCTCATTCGTTTGGAGTATCCAGTCGCCCTAAACGGCAGCCGCAAACCGCTCCTCTTCCCTAGAATATCCGCCGCTGACTGATTTTGGTCTTCTGGCGTTTTCAGTTTCACCCCAGTTTTCTCTAATTCGGTGACTGCAATGTCTTCATGCCTGGAAGGATGGTCCGGTCGAGGCCCATCAGCCAGCCCTTGAGACGAACGTACCTCTATGCCCAACCGCTCCCTTGCATCACCCACCACGCCAGCATGGGGTCCGGCCTCGTCTACCCGTCTCCTCTTTCCACTCGCTCCGGTCGCCGCTTCATCATCGACCCCACCTTCGACCACTCCAGCACAAGTTGCCTCGTGCGGCGCCGATAAAACAGCGCGTCCTCCAGCCGCACACTCACCCTCAACTATACCGGCCTCCGCAGGCGCCTGTAGGCTCGCCAGCTGCTCGTCGCATGCTTTACGCGCGGCCTCCCGTTCAAGCTTTTGCCGTTCGTATTCCTTGCGTTCACGCTCCTCCTCCGCTTCTAACCGCTTCCTCTCCTCGTCGTACTTCTTTAGCACCGCCAACCTCTCTGCACGCTTATCTTTGGCTTCGTCTTGCACCCGTTCTTCCCCACCCCCTCCTGCTGTATGGCCGACCTGTTCTGCCACCTCGCTCACCTTCCGCTTGTTACACCGGTTCGAGTCGTGCTCCGGCTGTTCCGCGCGCCTCTCGCACTGAGCTCTTAACATCCCCTTATGCTCACCGCGCTTATGCCTTCGCGGCCTCCTCTTACCAGCTGGGTTTGCATTACTCGTGTCCATCGCAATCTTAGAGTCGGCGGTGTTTGGGGCTCCTCGCTTCACCTCTGTAGTCGCCCCACTAAATACCCCCACATCGCCAGTCTCCGCCGTCAGCTGTGCCCCAAGATCTGCCCCTGCGTCACCACCGTTATGCTGCGCTGTTACCTTCCCAGCCTCGGTCGAATGCTGTTGGGGGCCCTTTTGGAAACCAGCGCGAGCCAGCACCGCCTCCACCCTCTCCTCTACTGTTCGAGCTATGTTGGCGGTTATTCCCTCCGCAGCTGTGTGTAGGCCAGAAATAGCAGATTCCAATGCTGCCTTGATGCTTTGCTCTAACACCCTCCTAATCTGAAATGTCTCCCGTCTGACGACAGACCTGGTGGTCACGAGAATTCGGTGCTGCTCCTGGTATGGTGGGCGTACGTGCTCCATTTTGCCCCTACTCGCGCCCTTCCCACCCTGCACGTTGCGTGCACTCTCGGGCATGCTGTGGGACTTGTCATCAGCGGTCCGCTTATGTCCTTCACTCCGCCTGCTCCCCACATCCCAGTCATGATTCCCTGGCGCTTGACGCCTATGCATATCCTTGCCACCTCCGGCAGAGTGGACCACGTGTTCTGCAGTCACGTGCACCCCTCCTGCACTATGCTCTACTCCCCCCTTCACGCCTTGGTTCTCTAGCCCCTTAGGACAGGCGCGCCTTGTCTCATTTGCCTCTGGAAGTCCCGAAGCTGTCCCGGGGTCACCCATGGGGCCTCCATCGACCCGCGTAGACGTCACTGCTGTCACTATACGCGCCGATGTAGCTTCCGTATAGGCTGACTTCCGTTCACTAACCCGCTCCGGGATGGGGACAGACTCTTCTCTCGCCATCTGGCCGACCGTGTGCTCCGCCCCGTTGCAGGAGGCGCCGTCTGCCCGCTTCCCCCTATCGTCATGCAGGGCCATGTTGTGAGCACTCCCCCCTGGTTTCCGCCCTGGCTCCTTGCCTAGCTGCACCGGTTTTGAGTCTGCCTTGCTCGTTCCGCCGCCACGCTCCCCTCCCCTATGCGCTGCCGTTTCGGCCGACTGCTGGTGCCCACGTCCTCCTTCCCCGTCTAGAGTGGGCGCGGCACGAGGGTTAACTACACCCTGTGCTGTAGCTGTCTTTCCAGCCCCGCACTCTACCCGATGAAGTGGATGATCGACAACACGTTCTGGGGTTTGGTGCCCATCCTTGGCCCGATCACCGCGCACGCGCGGGCTGTCATCTTGTCCAGCTACACCCGTATCTTCTTCCCGGCCCACCTCTTTTTGCGAAACATCTGCCAGCATTTCAGTGTCGCGGGCTTCATCGACACGATTCACTTCGCACTGCCCCACTTCTTCCGATTTAGCATCCGCCCCTCCATCCTTAGCTGCCTCCTCATCGACACTCGCATCTTCCTTAGCAGTTGCATCGCTCGCCGATGTCTCATCTTCCCTGCCACTAGCCTCCCCGTCGCTGTCCTCAATGGACTCTACCGACTCTGATGACCGAGAATCATCATCCGACTCCGATGCGACCTCAAACGGCAGTTGGGGCGGGGCGGTTTTGGCAGATTTGTCAAAAAACTCTGAGCACGAGGTCAGCAGGAAATCGTAGATGTCGTCTCTCGAATTACTGCCGTGTCCCAGGTTTTGAAACTTTGCGTCGTGCGGGAGGGACAAGACCTGAGTCCACATGTCGAGCACTTTGCCCCAATGATATGCCACCTGCAGGCCGGACCCAACAAGCTTGTCCCCCTCCACGTATCCAACCTGCGTGTAGCGTGTTTCACTCACTGAGTAAATGGTGATTCTGGGAAAAACCAATGGCCGGAGTATTAATGAAAACCATACCGTGCCACGCTGCAGAGGGAGGCGACCTAGTCTGGCCTTCATGTCCCTTAGGACCTCTTATTCGTGACTGCCCGACGGTTCTATTCCCCGTGTGTACTCCACAGGAAGCTGTAGTTTTAACCACCTGAAACCAATTGGTAGATCATGCGTGGTTGGAATTAACCCCGATTTTGCTTTAGAGACTGCACGAGACATGTATACGCTACAATACATCAAGTCGCCGTTTACTCACTCGTAGACCTTGGTTGCAAACGCCCTATGGCTATGTGATGGGATTTTACTCTTCGGGTCGAATTGGATGACCCGTGTGTGGTATGCCGCGCCCCTCTCCGCCAGCAGATCGCCTGGCCGTACAAGGAGTAGCATGCTGATCCGCGAGCCTGGCGGCCTACCGATGCTGCATGGAACAACATCGCGGTGTTAGGATCTGTGGAGGTAACGTTTTAAACCAATCTCACACACAGCGTGTCCAAACATCATACCTAGACCATAGTGGAAAGACGACCGCGTCGTACTTGAGCAGACTGTGACGAGGTTGACTGCTTAGTGGCGCGGGCGGTGCGTTATCAATACTCTCACGGATAGTAGACGATGCTATGATCTTGATACCATCACGCGTAGCCTCTTTGCGCAGCATACACTGCGTTATTTGCCTGCACACCAACGAGATGTCAGAGGGTTGGCAACGTGTTTGATTCGCTTGTCCCGATAAATATGCATGGGCGCATACGGAGCTTGCGCTGCCCGTGGCGACACTGTATGCGAGGGGGATTGTGGGTCCGCTTGTCAGAAGCACCACGTGGTTGATTGCATACTCACACGAAGGCATAGTTTAACATGGCCTCGCTCCACTCATTCTTCTTGCTGTTGAAGGCATGGTATGAAGCCCGCGATAGAGAGACGCGGAGGCCACAGCCTCTTACCTCTAGTATTGCGCTCATACCTATCAGACCCGGTATGAGGATCTAGGGTACGTTATTTCCTATATGTAGGGGAACGGCTACTGTCATACTGTGTGGGCTTGACTGTCACGCTGCTGTGGGTAACTAGGAGGTGCGCGCCGGAGGTCCAGCATCAGTTTCCGAAATGACCATATAGGAGTGGTCTGACGATGTATGTGCTGAAGGAAGTGAAAGAAACATGAAAAAAGATGGAGCAATTGAAGGCGCGCTTGCCTAACGGTGAATGTAGTGCTGCGCAAGTAGTGACTTGGGTAGTGGTAGGAAGGTGAGTTGAGCCCTTCGTGCCTTCCTCAGAAATCCGGGTCGAAACGTCCTTGGTTGCGTCGTAGTGTTGGCCGGATCGCGTGTCACGTCATCCTGTCAAGAGGTTGATGGTCACGGAGCATGCCTCTACGAATAGACAGCTGAATGACACGTGGTCGAGGATTATGGTATACGCGTCATGTCATTTGATGTCACGGCTCCTCTTATCCAAAACGCATCCCTCGACGATCGCATAGACCAATCCGATGATCGCTAGATTGCGCGGGCTGCGACCGTATAGCGCGCGTCGGGGCTGCCCCCAGGAAAAAAAAAAAGGAAAAAAAACCCCCAAGGACCTGTGCCAGAATCGTGCATCGCCTCCACGTATAGGCTGGTCTTTGGCATGCAGCCCCTATACAGGTCGCTGGTCGGGCCACTGGCTATACCGCATGCACGGAGGTGTAGTCTATATTGCTTATATTGTGGGGAGAGCACAACGGCCTAAAAACATTCAACCGTGGTTCAAACCCGGCATGAAACTAAGTGAGCACACTGCCTGGGATGCAAGTAGGCTCCTCACCAAGAATGAGATGGTTTGGAGTACGCATGGTAGGTTTTTCACAGGAAGTTGCACAGACAGGGAGCGCAGCGCATGCATGGAGGCCTGACGAGAGAGCATGGGGGTGGATACACATTCAACCGTGGTTCAAATGGCATGAAACCTGGTGAGAACACTGCCTGGGATGCAAGTAGGCTCCTCACCAAGAATGAGATGGTTTGGAGTACGCTTGGTAGGTTTTTCACAGGAAGTTGCACAGACATGGAGCGCAGCGCATGCGTGGAGGCCTGACGAGAGAGCACGGGGGTGGATACACATTCAACCGTGGTTCAAATGGCATGAAGCTTGGTGAGCACACTGCCTGGGACGCAAGAGGGCTCCCCACCAAGTATGGGATGGATGGGAGGACGGTTGGTATGTTTTTCACAATGAGTTGCACAGGAAGGGTGCGCAGCACATGCGTAGAGGCCTGCGGAGAGAGCACGGCGGTAGATACACGATCAAACGTGGTTCAAATGGCATGAAACTTGGTGAGGACACTGCCTGGGATGCAAGTAGGCTCCTCACCAAGAATGAGATGGTTTGGAGTACGCTTGGTGGGTTTTTCACAGGAAGTTGCACAGACAGGGAGCGCAGCGCATGCGTGGAGGCCTGACGAGAGAGCACTGGGGTGGATACACATTAAAACGTGGTTCAAATGGCATGAAACTTGGTGAGCACACTGCCTGGGATGCAAGTAGTCTCCTCACCAAGAATGAGATGGTTTGGAGTACGCATGGTAGGTTTTTCACAGGAAGTTGCACAGACAGGGAGCGCAGCGCATGCGTGGAGGCCTGACGAGAGAGCACGAGGGTGGATACACATTCAACCGTGGTTCAAATGGCATGAAACTTGGTGAGCACACTGCCTGGGATGCAAGTAGGCTCCTCATCAAGAATGAGATGGTTTGGAGAACGCTTGGTAGGTTTTTCACAGGAAGTTGCACAGACAGGGAGCGCAGCGCATGCGTGGAGGCCTGACGAGAGAGCACGGGGGTGGATACACATTCAACCGTGGTTCAAATGGCATGAAACGTGGTGAGCACACTGCCTGGGATGCAAGTAGGCTCCTCATCAGGAATGAGATGGTTTGGAGTACGCATGGTAGGTTTTTCACAAGAAGTTGCACAGACGGGGAGCGCAGCGCATGCGTGGAGGCCTGACGAGAGAGCACTGGGGTGGATACACATTCAAACGTGGTTCAAATGGCATGAAACTTGGTGAGAACACTGCCTGGGATGCAAGTAGGCGCCTCACCAAAAATGAGATGGTTTGGAGAACGCATGGTAGGTTTTTCACAGGAAGTTGCACAGACAGGGAGCGCAGCGCATGCGTGGAGGCCTGACGAGAGAGCACGGGGGTGGATACACATTCAACCGTGGTTCAAATGGCATGAAACTTGGTGAGCACACCGCCTGGGATGCAAGTAGGCTCCTCACCTAGAATGAGATGGTTTGGAGAACGCTTGGTAGGTTTTTCACAGGAAGTTGCACAGACATGGAGCGCAGCGCATGCGTGGAGGCCTGACGAGAGAGCACGGGGGTGGATACACATTCAACCGTGGTTCAAATGGCATGAAACTTGGTGAGCACACTGCCTGGGACGCAAGAGGGCTCCCCACCAAGAATGGGATGGTTGGGAAGACGGTTGGTATGTTTTTCACAATGAGTTGCACAGGCAGGGAGCGCAGCACATGCGTAGAGGCCTGCGAGAGAGCACAGGGGGTGGATACACATTCAAACGTGGTTCAAATGGCATGAAACTTGGTGAGTACAGTGCCTGGGATGCAAGAAGGTTGCTCACCAAGAATGAGATGGTTTGGAGTACGCATGGTAGGTTTTTCACAAGAAGTTGCACAGGCATGCAGCATTGATGCTCAAGGGGAGAACTAAGCAACAATTTAACAACCATGCCCTGGTCAGGGTACATGTAACTTGTTCAGACCATGACACAAAAATCACTGGGACATGCATAGAAGTGGTAAAATAGGGGGTCAGTTTGTCAGTAGTACAAACAGGCCGGAAAATGACATGGAGGTTGTTACCTCCAAGCCTAGAGTGACCAATTGTGACAACATGAACTTTAGTGCCAAAAAAACCACAACCTTCCAATCTGTTTAAGACATGTAGGCAATCTTCATAGTCTATGCTACCTTGAAAAACACCCACTATATTCCCTATTAGGCGCTCTCTTAGACATGAAGGGCAAGAATTAACATCGCCCACCATAAGCATCTCGTACCAGTTATTGGTCACATTTTCCCCTGCATGAAGATCATATAACATAGCCTAACATTTTTGTTACCCAAAGAACCCGCTGGAAATAAAAATTCCAAAAGGGGGATCATGGTTTCACATTTATATCTGTAGATCTCAAAACATAGGTTTTAGTAAAAGTACATATTACATAGTCAGCAAAGAAGTACACGCGTCCCCTGCGAGGCTGGCTTTCGAAGGCCGTCAGCCAGCCGGTAACTCGGCTAGCGACACTTCGCCTGCGCCATCGGGGGGGCATGAATTTATAAGGTACTCACCCGCGCAAAGCCTCGATCTAGCCCTGACCTACGGCGAACGGGCAAATGTCAAACTTTCGCAAAAAAATTGCCAGGCTGGATCTAGCTCGATGGGCGGGATCTAGAAGGGGTTTTCCGCCTTTTCTCGCGCTTCCCGCCGCGAGGTCGTTATGAATTCTAGGCACTTGACCTGACGGTTCCGCATTTTCCGAATTTACGATTGGTGCCACTTGCAGGTCAAGCGCTATGCGAGGAACGAACACAACAAAAGCTGCAACCAGCTGGCGTTCAAGCTGTCACACCAACAGTTCACGCACCCACAGTTGGAACGTTCTGCAAGCAAGCAACCTGGTTGCTCCAGCTGATGTGGAAAAGTCCCCCCCACTGAACTCAAAAATCCAAGAGCCAACGTGCTGAACCGTACTGTACCGAACCTATGCAAGTCGAGACAAACAACCGCAGACCGTTAACGAAACAAGTTTACAGCGAGGATGCCGCCGAGCCGAGCCGAGCCAAGCCTAGTTCATTCGTCTGCCGACAGGCAGGCAGGCAACCCACATATGTCCAAACCAAACCATGTGCCTTCCCCCATCAACACTTCTTCTCGCGTATGCTCACTATAGGCTTATCTAGTAGTGCAATAGCTCATATAACATCAGCACACTCAACTACTCAAAACAGTCTGTGCTTCTGCTTCGCTCACTAAATTCCCCATTCCTAACTCTCTCTGCTAGCCGTTTTCCAATCATGAACGCCACTGACTCAATAGACACCATAGGATTCACTCCCACGGGCGTCGGAAAGACACTTCCATCACCCAAAAACAACCCAGACGCTTCCCAACTCTCCCCATTTTCATCCACAACAGAGCTCTTAGGGGAAATACCCATGGGACAACTACCAGTCTGGTGAGCGGAGAACAGAGTGCAGTCATTGAGCTTAAAGCCTGCCGCAACCACGGATTCCAAATATGCCTCAAACTCTGCATCGGACGTGCGTTGCCATCCATCCATCTCCACTAGACCATCAGTGCCATCCAACTTGGCGTCGGCTGTGTCTGTTGCATCAGCTGCGTCGGCTTGAACGGTGGGTGGGACGAGGCAGCGGAAGGGCTTGAGTGACTGGTGAAGCGTGCCCACCTCCACTGCTCCCGCTGCTCTCAGAATGCGCAGAGACAGCAGCAGCGCCTCCTGGTGATGGGCAGCAGATGATGAATAGCGCATTGGGGAACACGGAGAGGGAGACAGGGAGAGGGACCGCAGGTGTTGGCACGGAAGACTTGCACGCACAACACCTGACCTGCCTTGCACAACCTTCCCACATCCCTCTCCACCCCCCTCACACTCTTTTCCGTCCCCAACCCCCTTCCCCCACTCTCCTCTCCCGTACATCCCACCTGCATGCGCTTCTGGTCCTCCTTGCCCAGCCGGTACGTCACAACAGGCCGCCCGCTGCCGTCCGCACGCACAGTGCCGCGCCCGCGGTCCCTGGCGATGGAGATGAGCGAGGCGGTGCGGTCAAAGCGCACTGCCGACTGCTTGATGGCCTGACTGCCCAGCCAGGGTATGGCGCAGCCCAGCAGTCCAGGGTGCATCGTGGGGGTCTGCAGAGGAGGGAGGAAGCAAAGGGAGACATGAAGTTTGGGACATTGCCACGCCCGCGGTCCATGACCATGGTGACGAGCGAGACGAAGCGCACGGCAGACTGCTTGATCACCTGACGGCCCAGCCAGGGAATGGCGCAACCCAGCAGACCTGGGTGCATGGTGGGGGTCTGGCAGGCAGGGAGGGAGCAAAGGCAGACAGGAGACTAAGGGTGAGGTACGGGACAGTGCTGCACTGACGACTGCTTGATGGCCTGGCTGCCCAGACAGGGTATGGCGCAGCCCAGCAGTCCAGGGTGCATGGTGGGGGTCTGGTGGGCAAAGGGAGAGGTACAAGCCTGCTGGATCGATCAATGACGTCACATCATCGATTCGTGCATGGCGACGAAATCAGAAGCCGTGAACCATACAACTCTAAGCGACCTGAATCAACACTACCTGAATTATGGCACCATAACTGGTTGTGTCCCAGTGAGCTGCCTCTTTTGAGTTGACGCTCATGATGGGCCCCAGGTAGCCCGGGCCAATGGGCAGGGCGGGCCAAATATGACGTGATTTGTGTGACCTGATTCACTGCACTTGCACCGTCACCTGAATCATGGCGCCATATCCACTGCTCTCCCAGTTGGCCACCTCCCGCGAGTTCACGCTCATGATGGGACCCAGGTAGCCCGGGCCAGCGGGCAGGGCGGGCGGCAGGCAGGGGGCGGTTTCGGGGAAGAAGCCCCAGGCGGAGGTGACGGGGTGCAGGCGCAGCGAGGCGCCAATAGCAGGATTTTTCAGACCACTGGCGAGCAGCAGCGGAGGCGTGCGCAGACTGGTGGGGGACAGGGAGAGGGATAACGGGGGTATCGGGAGGGCAGTCTCAGGAAAGAAGCCCCAGGCGGAGGTGACTGGGTGCAGGCGCAGCGAGGCTCCGATGGCGGGGCTGGTGAGACCACTGGCGAGCAGAAGAGCGGGCGTGCGCAGACTGGTGGGGTGTGGGAGGGGGAAGGGGGAAAAGTGGGTGGTATGGGAGCCAAGCGCCCCAGGCGGAGGTGACAGGGTGCAGACGCAGTGAAGAGCCGATGGCGGGGTTGGTGAGACCACTGGCGAGCAGCAGAGCGGGCGTGCGCAGACTGGTGGGGAGGCAATGGGGGTTTGGGAGGGCAATAGGGGGAAGGATGGGCTCAGCTGCACTAGATGGCTGTGCTGGTAGTGAGACTGGTGGCGACGCTGGTGGCGAGCAATGGAGGTGGAGTTCGCAGACTGATGGGGCCCAGGGAGTGTAGTAAGGGTGGCAAGGACAGAATGGTGCATTAAGTGGAGAATGGGTGCAGTAGCAGCAAATCGAACAGGTAACAGAACACTGCTGTTGGCACACCTGCTGACAGCAGCAGAACTTTGACACAACTTTTGAGAATTTTTTTTTTTTTTTTTCCAAACTTCTGATAGATCTCTCATCTGACTGCAGAGCATGTGGATTGGGATGTCGTTGCCTGCACTAGAGGTAGAACGCTAAGGACCTAGATGCTGCATGCTCGCACCTGCCACACGCCACAACGACCAAGTTGGCCTCCACCACGACCCTCTGACGCACGCCCTCCTCTTCTACCCTTGCCTCCACCCCCACCACCCGCTTCCTCCTTTTGATGCTGCTGCTTGTGGCGCCAGGGGTGGTGCTAGCAGGGCGATTGGGGGAGAGGAGGAGGCGCAGGGCGGCGCAGCGGGAGAGGATGAGGGCGCCGTGTGTAACGGCGTCTGGTAACCAGGTTTCCAGCATCGACTGCTTTTCGCCTGACCAGCAGCCAAAGGTGCACCATGCGCCTGAGAGGGGTTGGAAGAAGAGGGGGAGAGGAGGGAAGGGGTGTGAGCTGAGCAGAATGACAAGGGGTCTGAGCGGAGCAGAATAACCAGGGTAAGGAGAGCATTCACTAACTCTGACACTTACCTTACAGGAGTGAGGCTGGTCACACACAGGTGCGCCCACTTACAGGAGTGCGCCCACTCACACGGGTGCGCCCACTTACAGGAGTGCGCCCACTCACAGGGTTGCGCCTACTCACATGGGTGCGGCTGGTTGGTGTTGCGGGGGGTGACGGCGTGGTGGCAGCCCAAAGCCACGCACCCCGCCTTGAGAGCCGCGTTGCTCAGGCTGTGCGGGGTGAGGCTCTCGTCTGCAGTCACCTGTGTGTGTGGCAGGGAGGGGCAGCAGAAGAAAAGCTTACTGAAGGATTTCGAAGTAGGGCAGGATGACATAGGGCAGGATGAAATAGGGCAGGATGAAATAGGGCAGGATGAAATAGGGCAGGATGACAAAGGGGGGTATGGATTGAGCAGCAACTGTGCGGAGGGGGGAGGGGGAGCAGGAGAGACGCGTACAATAGTTCATGTGGTAGGAGGAGACAAGAATGAGGAACTGACCAGGATGGTCCATGTAAAAGGAGGCACTGAATATAAAGTTAGCTCTGAGAAGGCTCAGGAACAGCTCAGAAGCATGGCTGAATCTAGTTTCACGCACCTGAATCTTCTCACACACGGCATCCATGGCTGCTGCATACTCTGGCGACTCAAATTGCTGCCAGCAGTGAGGGGTAGAGTGGAGGAGGAGAGGGCAGGCCGGAAAGTGAGAGACACAAAAGTGGCACGCGCGTGAGCAATCAGGAGTGAGTGGCACAGGGTTGCAGAGCGTTTCACATCATGCATTTCGAGCCGTGACTTGCCGAACCGATTCGAGCCGAGCTGTGACGGGCATGCAATTCAGGAGCCCCAGCACTCATATGCCTGGCAGCATCTCAAACCCCCACATGACTATCTTCACCTCCTTGCTGCTGCCTCCCCACCTCGACCTCATACTCGCTGGCCCACCTCGACCCCATACTGGCTGCCTCTTCGCTAGTCAGACACACACCACTCTGATTCAAGGAGCCACACTCCCCTCAGGGACAGAGCAACCCACCTTGAGCCCGTACTGGCTGGCCCACTCCTTGGTGACATCGGGCGGTGTGCGGAAGGATGCCGGCCAGTTGACAGCGCTGCCGCCGCCCACTGTTCTCCCTGCTTGCTGAATAGTCACACACACACCCACCACAGTGGTTCAAGGAGCCGCACCCCCCTCAGGAGAAAGGGCAACCCCACCTCACCTTGAGCCCGTACTCGCTGGCCCACTCCTTGGTGACGTGGGGCGGGGTGCGGAAGGAAGCAGACCAGTTGACAGCGCTGCCGCCGCCCACTGTTCTCCCTGCCAGCAGCGCCACCCCGCCATCCTCCGTGGTGAGAAAGCCCTGCGTGTCGTACCTGACGAAAAGGATCGAGCTCAGGGAGGTAACGGCAAGAGAGGGTGAGAAGGGGAGGGTGTGAAGGGGAGTGGAAAGAGGCAGTGATGGGGAGGACAGTGTCTCCCTGCCAGCAGCGCCACCCCGCCATCCTCCGTGGTGAGAAAGCCCTGCGTGTCGTACCTGAGGGAGCCAGAACAGGGAGGGAGAAAAGAGGAAGGATGTAGGGAGGAAGCGGGAAAGAGAGAAGTTCACTTGCCAGCAGCGCCACCCCGCCATCCTCCGTGGTCAGAAAGCCCTGCGTGTCGTACCTGATTGGGAAGGTGACACGAGGTAGGGTGAATGAGAAGAGGGACTGCTTAAATCGACATACAATCGGGGTGGAACGATGGCGGCAGCTGGCTGTGAGGGGGGTGGGGAAGAGTTGGCCACGGCCCACGACCCCTCCACTGTCCCCTCCTCACCCTGCCCATCTCCCCCCTTTGAGCTGAGGGAGCACTCACATCTCAGCTGAGGGAGCTTCGAGAAGAGAGAGGTCGGAGCGAAAGAAGTAGCCCCCTGCTTCCAGCACCAGCACCTTCCTCTTCCGCCCGCTGCCGTCCCCACCATTGCCTGCAGCACCAGCTGCTGCTGCTGCTGCTGCTTCTGCCAGCTGAGCCGCAATGATGGCTCCTCCACAGCCGGAACCGATCACCACCGCATCGCACCGCACCACCACAGGCTGACATGGGGGCAGCAGGTGGTGTGCGGTTGGAAGGGGTGAATGGCAGTAGAAGCGGGGCAGAAAAGGGCTGATGATTGATGGTACGAGAGGGGGAGATTTGACTCGGTGGAAAGAGATTCAACAAGGTGGAGTGAGTGAGAGGTGGGAGGAATTGTGGGGAATGGATGGATGAGGTGTGTGCACGGGGTGGAAAATGTTCTCCCCTGTGCACCTCCCAGGACACACACATCACATCACCCCACGCACCCACCTCGCCTTCCCCTTCATCTCGCCCACCCAGCAGCCCAATGGTCTGCCTGGGCCCTTGCAGCACTGCTGCCAGCCCCAGTCCCCCCCCAGTCCTCACACTCACAGTGCACACACGCACACCTCACCCCGCGCACTCACCTCGCCTTCCCCTTCATCTCGCCTACCCAGCAGCCATATGGTCTGTCTGGGCCCTGGCAGCACCTCCACGCCCTTCCCCTGCAGCACGGCTGCCAGCCCCTCGCCCTCTGCTGCGAGCCCCAGTCCACCCACTCACAGTGCACACACACACACACCTCACCCCGCGCACTCACCTCGCCTTCTCCTTTGTCTCTCCGCCCCAGCAGTCCAATCGTCTGCTTGGGCCCTGGCAGCACGTCCACGCCCTTGCCCTGCAGCACTGCTGCCAGCCCCTCGCCCTCTGCTGCACAGTCCACCACTGCTGCGTCTAGTGGCCTCGCCTCGCCTCCCTTTACCCCACACCCACCACTCTCCCTCTCTCCCTTCATCCTTCCGTTGCCGTGCTCTGCTTCCCCTTCACCACTGTCGGATCGCTGAGCTGGCCGCTGTGCCGCGTCAGCATGTTGAGCTGGACGTTGTGCCACGTCAGGATCACAAGCAGCTGAGCTGTCTCGGCTGCTGCTGCCGCACGTGCGTTGCTTCCTGGCAGCTAGCATGTTGGGGTCGGGTCCGCAGTACCCCATGGCGCGCCACAGCATGCTATTGCCAGAGCCGTCATGCTGCAGTGCATGGGGTGCAGGGGGCGCAGGGGGTGCACGTGAGTTGCTTCCCAGCAGCCAGCATGTTGGGATCCGGCCTGCAGTACCCCATGGCGCGCCACAGCAAGTTGTCGCCAGAGCCGTCATGCTGGGATGCATAGGAGAGGGTGCATGGGGTGACAGCAACGAGCGGTGCAGGGTGGGGCGAAGCCGAGGGCAGGATATGGAAAGGAAGGAGAGGAGGAGGCTCACCTGTGCACCCACGTGGAAGAGCGTGAAGCTGCGGAACGTCTGAGGGGCAAGGGAAGTCACGGGGAACGCATGGGGAACACAAGGCATAGCAGTGCCAGCGGGCATGAACGAAACCTGCATGAAACTGCAATTGAAACTAGTTTTTAGTCCACTGAAAAATTCGCCAGTAAGAGTGAGGGTAATTTGCACAACACAGCTTGTGAGGCATCCAGAAGATTTGCATGAAATAAAGCCATGAACAGCACATCATGCACAACAGCTTTCTCTTGTAGTCTCCATCTGCCGTCACAAATACCTCTTCCGACCCCACCCCACCCTCCTGATCCCCACCTTGAACACGGTGCGCAGCAGGAAGTTGCTGCTGACGGACCATCGCAGCAGCACAGCCTCGCGAGCCTGAGGCGACAGCTTCACGAAGGGCTGCACGAACGGCGGCCGCCAGGTGAAGGCCCTGCGACCGGCCAGCAACAGCGTGCCCAGGCGAGTGGAGAGCAGCCATAGGACCGTGCCGAAGACGGTCAGCGGCAGGGGTTTCAGGCACTGCTGCATTGTCGTGGCCACCTGCACGGGAGGGGAGCAGAGACGTCGGATTTTAAGATGACTTGAGGCACAGCTGCATTGTCGCGGCCACCTGAGTGAAGGAAGTACAGACGAGGAGTTTAATGATGACTCTAAATGCGAGTGGAGAGCAGCCACAGCACGGTGCTAAAGACGCCAATGCTGTTGGTGGGGCACTGGGATCGTCCCGAGTTGAGTGTGGGAGGGCTACAGGCGGAATAGGACCGGACGGAGGACCGTTGGATCAGAATGCTGAACGAACGGCAGGCGAGCGCGAGAGGATGCTACTAACGGGCCGACGAACCTCGTCGACGATGCCGAGGCTGGACGCGGATTCCGCGAAGTACGCCGCGATGGCCTCCTTCCGCGGCTCGCCGTAGAACTCGCTCCAACGGTTATCCGACTGCGAGCCTTCTTTTCGCTTCCCGACGAACTGAAAGTACGGGTCGTCGGAGTCCGTCGGAACCGGCATGGAGGATACGAGCGTGTCGCATATGGCGGTCAACGCGGCGAACTGACGAGGCGACATGGAATGCTTGGAAGACATTCCTTTCTCCTTGAGCTTCTTGCCACACGAAGAGGAATTCTGACAATCCGTCGGACGCACGGGGAATAGGCCTTGGAAACAAACCGATGAAAGGTAGTAAAGGCGATCACGACTGGAATCTGGCGTAGGAATAGCCTCGCCGTCCTGTCCTGTACCTGAATTGCTTGAAATGCCTGAAAGCCCGAACTGCCTGAAAGTGCCTGAGATGCCTGATATTTCAGGCATGCAGCGCGGAGCTTGATTGAGAGAGAACCATCCCACGTTGCTAGGGTGCACCCCCAGCACTTGAGAAATCGAGGCGGCGAGTTCACGTTTATAGGGATGCGAATAAACTTCATAGTGAGCTGAACTATCTATGTTTTAGGGTGTGTAAGATCCCCGTGCACACGTTTTGGCTGAATTTTGTCGACCATTTTGGTCGACAAAGCTTTCGCGAAGGTCGACAGATTAGTCGTCACCAGGTCGACAAATTTTCGGCCAACTCAGTGTGGCCTCCAAATCTGACACGGTTTTGCTGGCCGCTGTAACAGAGGTGGGGAATTTCGGTTTGTCCTTTTTTACGACTTGGTGCGACGATGTCGCACACATGAATACGATGTCGCAATTTCACTGTAGCAGCGTATGCGACTTCGTTTCTCACTGTAGACAGCTGCTGTCGACAGCATGGCCGATTTGAAGTCGACCACGCGTCGGAAAAGAGTCGACTAGTTTTCCGGCCATCAAATCACAAATTTGATGGTTGAAATTGACGAGATTCGCAAACCGATCACGAAATGGTTACTTTCGCTACGGCCACCTAATTTTGATGGCCGATTCTGTGTGCACGGGGATCTTACACGCCCTTACGTTGCACTGAAAGGTGTAGTCCCGGCAAAAATTCTGGAGTGTGAGGCCGATGATTGCGAATTGGCAGGACGACAATGCGACATCGCAATTTCATCGTGCATTGAAGATGCCATAGGCGACTGAAAGCCGACCGATCATCATTTGCCAACGGCAAACGGTCTGGGCGCATGGCCCAGGGTGCTGCGAATAACTTCTCGTTGGCCCAGGGTCTTTTTCTGACAAAGGGGGAATGATCATACTGGGGCCTCGGATTAGCAGAAAGATTGCCAACTTGGGGCCTCGTGATTCGCGACCCTACGAAGAAGGCCCGAAGCAACCTACAAGCCTAGGCAGCTAGGCCGAGCTCGCCAGGTCACCACCTGCTGGCTTGGGTTTGACGGATTTCGCTAGCACCCTGGTTGACGGGAGGAGCCCTCGTCAGCCCATTCACAATGGGCAGTACAGATACTTCAGCGAAATAACCCAAACTTTTAACATTATCGCAGTGTGAAAAAAATATAAAACCGAATCGAAAGGCATAAAATTAGTGAGGCATCAACCCTAAACACATGCGACAAGGTGTTTAGGGTTGATGCCTCCCTGACCGAATGCATGGCCGTATGGGGTATATATTTTTTGCCAGCTTGTCCGTTCAGAAATCCGTCACCTCGTGTGGTCAGGTCTGACGGAGCGCGTTAGTGAGGCCCGAAATTGGTTAGAGACAGGTCCGGACCAGGTTCGACACTTCGCGAAACACGAGGCCCCAAGTTGGCACTCTTTCTAGAGCTTCGGGGCCCCAATCTGATCATTTCCCCTGACAAAGCCCCATGTGCGACAAAACTCATCGCATGGATCTAGCCATGCGTCCCGTCCTTCCCGTTCTGCAGACGGGTTGTTCTGCTGTTGTGCGGTTCTACAGTGACACAGCCCAAACCTAGATTCTGAGAGTCTGTGTTGCGGGTTTCAGAGAGTTGCATTGCGTTTAAAAGGAATAGGTGTACTTATCTAAACGGTGATGTAGGGTTTCAATGTAGTAAGACTCCCCTGTCATGCTAGCTCCTTTCTTCAAACGGCAGCGAGCATCCCACCTAGCCATACTTGCAGCTTCTAGGAGATAACGTAGAACGGACGGAAGCAGTCACCAACAGAAGCCCCCTAGGCTAGGAAAGTCGCCAAAGGATCTCGTAGTTCTCTCAGCTGTCGAGAATAATAGTTCGGCGCAAGGCCTGACTCTTGAATCTCGGCACGCCTTATCTCTGGTTGTGTGCTTCTTTCTTTCTTTTTAAGAGGGAGGCGAATAGACGGATTGATGCCCGAGATGGATGGCTTCGAGGTTGGTGCATTCCCCTGGTTCTCATGTCTATCGTTTTTTCGTTTGCGAGTTTTCGTACCACTATACGACGTTTATTACCATCGTGCATCATGACATTCACTCTTTCTCGTTGAGCTCAATTGAATCTCTTCACGCGCGTGTCGTCATCTCTTATCCACTCTGTCCTTTTTTTCCCGCGCTTTATTCTCTGTACGCTCTCTGGCATCAGCTGATGGGCGACGCGAGCGATACGGACATGGCGGAGCAGCTCGAAATCACGGACGGCGACAATCGCTACACGGAACAGCAGGAGAACACGGACGGCGATGATCGCCACACGGAACAGCAGGAAGACACGAATGCCGGCAATCGGTACACGGATCAGCACGAGAACACGGATTTCGGCTATGACCGTACACATCAGCGCCGAGTCTACTACGATGCGGGTCCCGCCGGCGGCGATACGGAGCAGCGGCAGGTGTATTACGACACGGACGAGTCGTTCGCAGCGAGCGACGACGACGACGACGACAACGAGGGCGTTCTGGGCGACGACGACTTCGGGTTCACATGGCGCCGACGAGGCGCGCAGCGAGGCGGTACACGGTTTTTTGAAGACAACTCCGACGACGATAATGATCTCGTAGGTTTCCGGATCGTCGATTGGCTGTTGCATGGCGTGTTCATCGCCGCATTTCACGCTACATGCATGTTCGTTGCGTGCTCCCTACGCGTGTTAGCGCGCGAGCGGCATGTGTTCAGCGACTACTCATTTACCGGTGTAATCTTCTTCAGCCACCTTCTCGTGCAACAATGGTAAATACCTTAAGTTTCGTCGTCAGCCTGATTCGGATCAGGTCAGGTCGCGGCGCCATTCCCCGTCGCAGTGCATCCTGCCTTTTCAATTAAGCCAATCGCCTTTCCTGTCCCCCGACCTCCCCTTTTCTCCTGTCGCTCCCTGCTTCACCCTGATGCCAGCTGGAAGGTCCGGAGGACGTGAGCGCGCGGCAGGTGCGGCGGGGGCGGGACATTCAGGGCATCCCGTGGGAGCGGCTGCACCTGAGCCGGGAGAAGTACCGCGCGATGCGGCTGCAGCAGTACAAGAACTACAAGAACCTTGACGTGTCGTTGGATTTTGTTGATAAGGTGCGCGTACGTGCGGCATCACGAAAACAAGTGTCTGTCAGGCGTACTTGTCCGTTTCTTTCATCTTCTCCCCGATTTGCACTCTTCTCTCCCGCCCGTTTCCCCCCTCCTTCTCCCTCCCCATCCCTCTTCTCTTCTCACCCCTTCGTCTGCCTGCCTTATGTCGCGTCTTGCCTCTCGACTCCACGAGATGGCCAAATAAAACTATGCCTCCTCAATTTGCCACTCTTCTTTCCCCATTCCCCCCTCCCCCTTTCCCCTCTCCCTCCCCTCTGGCTCCTTCCTTCCTGCCTTACCCGCCCTTCTTGCCTGTGATTTCCCAGGAGATGCAGCAGGTGACGACGGGCAGCACGTTCTACGAGTTCACGCACAACACGCGGGCAGTCAAGTCTACCATCGTGCACTTCCAGCTGCGCAACCTCGTGTGGGCCACGTCAGCGCATGACGTGTACTCGCTGCACCACCACGTCATCAACCACTTCTCGCCGCTCACGCGCAAGTCCACCCCGGTCCTGGACCTGGGGAATCCCCTTGTCGCCAGGCGTCACGCCCCCCCGCATGCCCACGCGCCCACAGCAGGCGCGCGGGGCGCAGGGGGCGCGGGGGGCGTGGGGGGCGCGGGGGGTGGGGGGAGTGCAGCGGGCAGGGGGGATCAGCGCAGCGGAGTGCAGCTGGAGCCGTCTGCGCGGGCGATTTACACAGGAGCCATGCCCTCTGCTGCTGGTTTTGGGAGAAGCAACAGCAGCAGTGGTACAGAGGAGGGCAGAGCGGTGCTGGGGAGTGAGGCAGGGGGATTGCCCCTCTCCCAACAGCAGCAGCAGCAGCAGGAGGAAGAGGGGGTGTGGGAGTCGGTAGATCGAGTACAAGTGAGCACCATGTGCGTCAGACACGGGCTGCTCGTGGCAGGGGGCTTCCACGGGGAGATGGTCTGCACCAGGCTCGGCACAGGCTCGGAAGCGGACGCAGGCTCGGGGTCGGAAGCAGGAGTGGCGTTCACAGGGCGGATCTCCCGAGATCAGAGTGCCATCACGAACGCCGTTGAGATCTTCAGATCCAACGGGTGAGAAAAGAGGCGGGCCATGGGGATTGGATAGATGGCACTCATGATTACCATGGGCATGGGGATGCTTGGATGGGCTATTTTTGCTCCTAGTGCAGTTCCCGCGTTTACATGTCGGCAAGTGTGATGGGGCTGTGATGTGAAGCAAATCATTGCCTGCTGCACGTTCCACTGCAGCAACCGTCTGTACTGCCCTGCTGCTCCTCTTATCCATCTCCTCCCGTTTTTCTCTCTCCCTTCTCACCTCTCTCTCTCTCCCGTCTCTCGCCCCTCGCCTGTGTGCAGGGGAGCACTGAGCGTGCTCACGTCCAACAACGACTGTGTGGTGAGGGACTTCGACGTCGCTACCTTCACCATCCTCTCACGCCACGCCTTCCCCTGGCCCGTCAATGTGAGCCCCGCTTTCCCTTTCATTCCCTCCCCTGCTCCTGTTTCTACACGTTTTCTCCTCTCATCCTGCAATCTAACTCGTTTTCCCCATCGTCCGCTTCACCCGCCTCCTCGCTTTCGCCCACCAGCACACGGCAGTACCAGACAGCACGCTGGTGTCAGTGGTGGGGGGTGATTCTGAGGTTCCTGTTCATATCGGCTCATCCTCCCTCTTGTCTGTCACCCCGTCTCCCCCGTCAGCACACGGCAGTGGCACCGGACAGCACGCTGGTGTCAGTGGTGGGGGACGACCCCCAGGCGTTGTTACTCGATCTCACCTCCGGCAAGGTTTGTTCCTCCGGCCCTCGCATCCCCTGCTCTTCTTTGCCACCCCGCTCATTACCTTTGACCCTGCCTCGCTCACTCCGCCCCTGCCCGTCCTTGCTCACTTCAGTCCCCTTTGCTCCTTCTTTTAGACGAAATCGCTTCTGTACAGGTCTTAACCTGGCTCACGTGCCACATCCCCCACATCCCCATCCCCCACATCCCCCACACCCCCCCCATCCCCCACATCCCCCACATCCCATCCCACACTGCCCTCACAGGTTGTAGCGCGCATGCAGGGCCACGTGGACTACTCCTTCGCTACAGCCTGGCACCCGGGCGGCAACCTCTTCGCCACAGGCAACCAGGACACCACGTGCCGAGTGTGGGACCGCCGGCGACTTGACTCCTCCCTGTTCACGCTCAAGGGGCGACTGGGGGCCATTCGGTCGCTCAGATTCACTGGAGATGGCAGGTGGGTCTCCGTTGGGGGGGGAGGGAAGGGAATAGGCAGTTTTAGGTGGGTGTGTGCATGGCTGGGAGGGAGGGGGCAACCAAGACACCATGTGCCGAGTGTGGGACCGGCGGCGACTTGACTCCTCCCTGTTCACGCTCAAGGGGCGACTGGGGGCCATTCGGTCGCTCAGATTCACCAGCGACGGCAGGTGAGTCTTTGTTGGGGGGAGAGGGAGGGGAATAGGCATTGGAGGGTGGGTGTGTGCATGGCTGGGAGGGATAGGGCAACCAGGACACCACGTGCCGAGCGTGGGAGGGAGGGGAATAGGCATTGGAGGGTGGGTGTGTGCATGGCTGGGAGGGATAGGGCAACCAGGACACCACGTGCCGAGCGTGGGAGGGAGGGGAATAGGCATTGGAGGGTGGGTGTGTGCATGGCTGGGAGGGATAGGGCAACCAGGACACCACGTGCCGAGCGTGGGAGGGAGGGGAATAGGCATTGGAGGGTGGGTGTGTGCATGGCTGGGAGGGATAGGGCAACAAGGGGCGCCTGGGGGCCATTCGGTCACTCAGATTCACTGGAGATGGCAGGCGAGTGTGTGTGGTGGAGGAAGGGGGGAAGGGGGCGGGAGTTGGTTGGGGCGGAGGGGTAGGCAATGGCAGGTTCTTGGATCACAGATTACGCACTTCCGCCTGTTTCACAACATGTCACTCCCTGCCTCTCCCTCACTCCCTAGCCCCCATCCCTCACCACATGCTTGCACGTGGCACATCAACTCGATATCCCTCTTTTCCTTTCACGTCTCTTCTCCCCCAGGTTTATGGCCATGGCTGAACCAGCAGCCTCCCTCGCTCCTAGCCCCCGTCCCTCACCACATGCTTGCACACGGCACATCAACTCGAAATCCCTCCCTCCCTCCCCCCACCACTCCCCTTCCGCCCAGGTTCATGGCCATGGCTGAGCCAGCAGAACCCCCATCCCCCTAACCCCCGCTTCCTTTCCTCCCTCCCCCCACCCGTTTCTCCCCCAGGTTCATGGCCATGGCAGAACCTGCAGACTTCGTGCATGTCTTCGACACGAGCAGCGGGTTTACCCGAGCACAGGAAATTGACATATTCGGCGAGATTGCGGGAATATCGTTCTCCCCCGATACAGAGGCGCTCTTTATTGGCGTGGCGGACCGCACGTACAGTAGTCTTCTGGAGTACACCCGCGCACACTCGTACGCCTATCTTGATGCTTGCATTTAAATATTTGCAAAAACAGCATTTACATACAGTATGCTTGTTTGGCCGAATTCTCTTCGGCCAAGACGTGTAGCGGATGGATGGTACAAGACCAGATATGCACATGGAATCTGCAATAGTGCCAGGCGGGCGCTGCAATTGGGCTCACTGCCTTGAACGCTTGAGTTTCTGTAGAGAGCTCACAATGCCAGGTTGACAATAGGAGGAGCATAATTAAAATATGGATGTGAGCGTTGGGCACAAGGACCTCTTCTGCACTAAAAAGTCAGCATGCAAGTTGATCCCAAGTATGGAGATTGTAGATTGCTAACTTCAGAAGCAACAATGTTATAGTGTCAACTTGGTTCAGTGTACATTGTAAGTTGTCACGCACCTTGGTTGAGTGCACATGTAAACGGGTAAAGTGTTTTGTAGCATGCAAAACTTTGGGAGAATATGCCACAAGTAACGAAATTGGGACTCGATAACGTAAATGATACAAAAAAACGCGTACGGTCACTGTATCGGGTTTCCAGACGGGTTTGGTAAGTGGGGTCACGGATTCAGTCATTAACAACAGGTAAAAAATCACGCGAATGGTCACACATGTAACTCCCGCCAAAAAAACTTGAAACTCAACAAAATTCCCGCTCGCCCCCAACCAATCTGCGAACTTGTAAAAAAAAAACTAAAACCCAATCGGAATCGGATGCGGTTCGGGAACGGATCAACCCTAAACACCTGGCTAGTTACGTGTTAGGGTTGATTCATCCGAAAATGCACCCAGATTCTTTTTGGGTTTCATTTTGTTTTGGCGGGAATTTCATCTGCGACCATTCGCGTTTTTTTTTTACCTGTTGATTGTGACTGATTCCGTGAAACTCTTTATCAGTCGCGTGAAAACACCCTTTGCAGTGACCGTACCATTTATTTCGAGTCCCATGAAGGTTACGACTGGCATATTTTCCCCAAAACTTTTGTACCTGCCAGGTTTTGAGCAATCAGTTACAAGTTACAGACATCACGAAAAAGAACATTCCCGCGCAATTCTTCTCGTCTCACTCATCTGCACTTCGCCAGTCTGGGTTACATTCCTCGCGTCTGGAGGGACTGAAACGCCGCAACCAGCCAAAACTCACCACCTTCAAAATCAGTGTGGAGAGACTCCCAAGGTCTGTTTGTGGGCAGCCTTCGTAATTTGAATGCTGAACGTAAGGCACGAATTCGAAGAATCACGAATGTTGTCATGGGGTGTTTGCGGGGGTGTTTTCAGTTCATCAATATCAGGAAATACATTCAGTTCATTAGGTCTTACTTGGGCAATGCTCGAAATGTTCATCACGTAATTCACCAAGAATTCGAATTTGTGAGGTGGGGACCACCACTTACAGTCCCCTGAGTTCCGTTGTGATGTGATCATGTATGTACTGTAATGTGTTTGTCGTAAAAGTTCTTGGGCAGCCTTTCCTCCTCCACTAGTCAACCAGTTCATTTACACTACACCGAGTGTTGTCTTGGGGTGCGGGCGGGGCTGTGAGTGCGGGCGTTGCTGCGCAGCCACACCTCAAGCACGCCCAAACCCGCATTCGCCCGTGTTTTACTGTAGTCCGGGCGTATGAACATTCGAGTCCCTTCTGGTTCCAATGCATGACGTAGTCAGAAAGCCGTATTTCTGTGCTTGCCGTCAGTCAGGTGTCTGTCGAGTCGCGATGATATTTGAGCCTCTGTTACAGGTTACAGCACAGCACAGCAATCATGACGAAAAGACTCTCGCGCGCCAACATTCTCTCTTCAAAAAAATCCACTTCGCCAGTCTAGGGTAACAACTCACGCGTCTCGGGAGGCTGAAACACCGCAACACAACTGGAACCCACCTTACTGCAAAGTCGGATTCGTGGGATGGGACCACGGGGGACCACCACTGACATTAGTCCCCTGAGTTGCGTTGTTCGTGATGATGTGTGTGATGTGTTTGTCGTACAGTAAAAGTTCTTGGGCAGCCTTTTCCTCCTCTGCTGGTCAACTGGTTCATGTACAGTACCGAGTGTTGTCTTGGGATGATGGGGGACGTGTGTGTGCGGAAGACTGTACACATTCACAGTGGGCATCAACAAATCGGTTATACACCGCAAATCCCAATTTCTGGGGGGTGTGGGGTGGGGTGAAGATTGTTGTGAGCCAGACTTGATTGTAGTCTAGCAGATGTTGTCATTCTAAACTTAACAATCGAAATCTTCTCTTCTAGAACTCGGAGTTGGAGTCTTCTCTTCCAGCACTGCGGGCAACTCCTCCACTGGTTCTTCTTCTGGACGCGAAGAATGGAGGATGTGTGAAGGCGGTGATGAGCGTGTATGAAGGCGAATCTGCTCTCGATTCCACCACCGACCGCAACTGGGAAGTCACGTTCCCTTTTTCACGTTGCTTATGTTTTTTCCGCTTAATGCTTCTTTTTTCTCACATGCACGCCATTCATGCACCGTCCCTCTGATTCAATGATGGTCGCAGCGAGCAGATGATCCTCCGCGGTTTGGGTTCGGGTTCGGGTAGCAGTTAGATCCTCCCTCTGCGAGCTGTGGCCACTCGGAGAATCATGGATGATTCCATTTTTCATTCACTTCATTGTCATTCTTTGCAACCGTTTCGTTTTTCCGGTTTGCTCTTTTTGTTTTGTTTTCATCGCATCTGTATGTATTGGCCTCTAACTTTTTTTCTTTTGTCTTTTCGCCCATCCCCCAGTGAAGAAGTACTAAGAGATGACGGGGCTGCTGGATCTGAGACGACCTCATGGGCTGCCTCAACAAGAAGGCTGCTGACAAGTTCGATGGTTGCTGGGAGGAGCAATCCTCCATCCGCCACCCGCCTTGTCCTTCATTGTACTTTAAGGTAAGATTCCGTTTTTGGTTTCGCTACTGCTGCAGATTAATCTCAGTTCAGTTTTGGCGTTTCGTTGTATAATATCATGTTTAAGAAGTTTTTTGACAAGTGTTAACTAAGTGTTGTTGCCTTTTGCAGGGAAAAGAGCTGCTGCTGCTGCTGGATCGAATCTTGAACGGAGCTGCAAACGAGATCAACGGATCTGCAAGCAAAGGAGATCAACAGATCTACTAGCAAAGGAGATAAACGGATCTGCGAAGACGATTAAGGGATCTGCAAAAGAGATCAATGGATCTGCTGGGACGATTATTTGGAAGGAGGTGTCATTTCAAAGTAAGTTTTTTTTTTTTTTTTTTTTTTTTTTTTTTTTTTTTTATGCTTTTTCTCCACACTTGCTGTCTTGCTTGCTTTCGCCTTGTCTTTACGGTATAATCGTTTTCTAACTCAGATTGGTGGTGTTGTGCAGGAATCCGAGTCTTCACTTCTGGAGTTGAACGTAGCCCTGCTGGAGTCGAAGTGAACTCCATTGTTGCTGCTGAATTCGCGTGCATGGTGCTGCTGAAATCGAAGACAAGGCTCGTGGTGCTGCTTGAAGTCAAAGACAAGTCCCTTGGTGCTGCTGATGTCGAAGACAAGGAGATCGAGTTGCTGGAGTTGAAGGGAGGAGCCCCCTCCACTCGCCACCCGCCTTGTCCTCCTCTCTACTTTTAAGGTAAGATTCTGTTTTGGGTCTTGCTGCTGCTGCACGCCTAATCTCAGTTCGGTTGCATTTCCTTGAACAGTAAGTGCGTTTCTTTGAGATTCTATAGTTACTCAAGATCTGACCTTGTTTTGTTGCCTCGTGCAGGGAAGGAGCTGCTGGAAATGAAGAAAACTGAAGCTTCTCAAGTCGAATTGGAGACATTCCTTGGGGATCCGCCACCCATCCGCCATCGCCATCGCCATCCGCCTCCCCACCATTCACCGGTTCTCCAACTTAAATCCCAAGGTAAGTTAATTTGCGCTAAAGTTCATTTCGTTGTCACTTTTGCTATTGCTTCATCTCCGCACTCGTTTTTGTGCTTGCTTTCTTCTTGTCTTTACAATATACCTTGGTGATTTCTAACTTTGTTTGGTGGTGTTGTGCAGGAATCCGAGTCTCCACTTCTGTAGGTGAACATAGCCCTGCTGGAGTAGAAGTGAACTCCATTGTTGCTGCTGAATTCGCGTGCGTGGTGCTGCTGAAATCGAAGACAAGGCTCATGGTGCTGCTGCAGCCAAAGACATGGCACGTGGTGCTGCTGATGTCGAAGACAAGTCCCTTGGTGCTGCTGATGTCGAAGACAAGGAGATCGAGTTGCTGGAGTTGAAGGGAGGAGCCCCCTCCACTCGCCACCCGCCTTGTCCTCCTCTCTATTTTAAGGTAAGATTCTGTTTTGGGTCTTGCTGCTGTTGCATGTTCAATCTCAATTCAGTTGCGTTTCCTTGAACAGTAAGTCCGTTTCTTTTAGATTTTATAGTTACTCAAGATCTGACCTTGTTTTGTTGCCTCGTGCAGGGAAGGAGCTGCTGGAAATGAAGGAAACTGAAGCTTGTCAAGTCGAATTGAAGACATTCCTTGGGGATCCGCCACCCATTAGCCATCGCCATCGCCGTCCGCCTCCCCACCATTCACCGGTTCTCCAACTTAAGTCCCAAGGTAAGCTAATTTTCACTAGAGTTCATTTCATTGTCACTTTTGTTTTGCTATTGCTTCATCCCCGCACTCGCTTTTGTGCTTGCTTTCTTCTTGTCTTTACGATATACTCTGGTGATTTCTAACTTAGTTTAGTGGTGTTGTGCAGGAATCCGAGTCTCCACTTCTGGAGTTGAACGTAGCCCTGCTGGAGTCGAAGTGAACTCCATTGATGCTGCTGAATTCGCGTGTGTGGCGCTGCTGAAATCGAAGACAAGGCTCATGGTGCTGCTGCAGCCAAAGACATGGCACGTCGTGCTGCTGATGCCAAAGACAAGTCCCTTTGGTGCTGCTGAAGTCGAAGACAAGTCCCTTGGTGCTGCTGATGTCGAAGACAAGTCCCTTGGTGCTGCTGAAGTCGAAGACAAGGAGATCGAGACGTTGGAGTTGAAGGGAGGGGCCCCCTCCACTCGCCACCCGCCTTGTCCTCCTCTCTACTTTTAGGTAAGATTCTGTTTTGGGTCTTGCTACTGCTGCACGTCTGATCTCAGTTCCGTTGCGTTTCCTTAAACAGTAAGCGCGTTTCTTTGAGATTTTATTGTTACTCAAGATCTGACCTTGTTTTGTTGCCTCGTGCAGGGAAGGAGCTGCTGGAAATGAAGAAAACTGAAGCTTCTCAAGTCGAATTGAAGGCATTCCTTGGGGATCCGCCACCCATCCGCCATCGCCATCGCCATCCGCCTCCCCACCATTCACCGGTTCTCCAGCTTAAACCCCCAAGTAAGTTATTTTGCGCTAGAGTTCATTTCGTTGTCACTTTTGCTATTGCTTCATCTCCGCACCCGCTTTCGTGCTTGCTTTCTTCTCGTCTTTACGATATACCTTGGTGATTTCTAACTTAGTTTGGTGATGTTGTGCAGGAATCCGAGTCTCCACTTCTGGAATTGAACGTAGCCCTGCTGGAGTCGAAGTGAACTCCATTGTTGCTGCTGACTTCGCGTGTGTGGTGCTGCTGAAATCGAAGACAAGGCTCATGGTGCTGCTGCAGCCAAAGACATGGCACGTGGTGCTGCTGATGTCGAAGACAAGTCCCTTGGTGCTGCTGATGTCGAAGACAAGGAGATCGAGTTGCTGGAGTTGAAGGGAGGAGCCCCCTCCACTCGCCACCCGCCTTGTCCTCCTCTCTTCTTTAAGGTAAGATTCTGTTTTGGGTCTTGCTGCTGCTGCACGTCGAACCTCAATTCAGTTGCGTTTCCTTGAACAGTATGCGCGTTTCCTTGAGATTTTATAGTTTCTCAAGGTCTGACCCTGTTTTGTTGCCTCGTGCAGGGAAGGAGCTGCTAGAAATGAAGGAAACTGAAGCTTCTCAAGTCGAATTGAAGACATTCCTTGGGGATCCGCCACCCATCCGCCATCGCCATCGCCATCCGCCTCCCCACCATTCACCGGTTCTCCAACTTAAACTCCAAGGTAAGTTATTTTGCGCTACAGTTCATATCGTTGTCACTTTTGCTATTGCTTCATCCCCGCACTCGCTTTTGTGCTTGCTTTCTTCTTGTCTTTACGATATACCTTGGTGATTTCTAACTTAGATTGGTGGTGTTGTGCAGGAATCCGAGTCTTCACTTCTGGAGTTGAACGTAGCCCTGCTGGAGTCGAAGTGAACTCCATTGTTGCTGCTGACTTCGCGTGCGTGGTGCTGCTGAAATCAAAGACATGGCACGTGGTGCTGCTGATGTCGAAGACAAGTCCCTTGGTGCTGCTGATGTCGAAGACAAGGCGATCAAGTTGCTGGAGTCGAAGGGAGGAGCCCCCTCCACTCGCCACCCGCCTTGTCCTCCTCTCTCCTTTAAGGTAAGATTCTGTTTTGGGTCTTGCTGCTGCTGCACGCCTAATCTCAGTTCTGTTGCATTTCCTTAAACAGTAAGTGCGTTTCCTTGCGATTTTATATTTACTCAAGATCTGACCTTGTTTTGTTGCCTCGTGCAGGGAAGGAGCTGCTGGAAATGAAGAAAGCTGAAGCTTCTCAAGTCGAATTGAAGACATTCCTTGGGGATCCGCCACCCATCCGCCATCGCCATCGCCATCCGCCTCCTCGCCATTCACCGGTTCTCCAACTTATATCCCAAGGTAAGTTATTTTGCGCTAGAGTTCATTTCGTTGTCACTTTTGCTATTGCTTCATCTCCGCACTCGGTTTTGTGCTTGCTTTCTTCTTGTCTTTACGATTTACCTTGGTGATTTCTAACTTTGTTTGGTGGTGTTGTGCAGGAATCCGAGTCTCCACTTCTGTAGGTGAACATAGCCCTGCTGGAGTAGAAGTGAACTCCATTGTTGCTGCTGAATTCGCGTGCGTGGTGCTGCTGAAATCGAAGACAAGGCTCATGGTGCTGCTGCAGCCAAAGACATGGCACGTGGTGCTGCTGATGTCGAAGACAAGTCCCTTGGTGCTGCTGATGTCGAAGACAAGGAGATCGAGTTGCTGGAGTTGAAGGGAGGAGCCCCCTCCACTCGCCTCCCGCCTTGTCCTCCTCTCTATTTTAAGGTAAGATTCTGTTTTGGGTCTTGCTGCTGTTGCATGTTCAATCTCAATTCAGTTTCGTTTCCTTGAACAGTAAGTCCGTTTCTTTTAGATTTTATAGTTACTCAAGATCTGACCTTGTTTTGTTGCCTCGTGCAGGGAAGGAGCTGCTGGAAATGAAGGAAACTGAAGCTTGTCAAGTCGAATTGAAGACATTCCTTGGGGATCCGCCACCCATTAGCCATCGCCATCGCCATCCGCCTCCCCACCATTCACCGGTTCTCCAACTTAAGTCCCAAGGTAAGCTAATTTTCACTAGAGTTCATTTCATTGTCACTTTTGTTTTGCTATTGCTTCATCCCCGCACTCGCTTTTGTGCTTGCTTTCTTCTTGTCTTTACGATATACTCTGGTGATTTCTAACTTAGTTTAGTGGTGTTGTGCAGGAATCCGAGTCTCCACTTCTGGAGTTGAACGTAGCCCTGCTGGAGTCGAAGTGAACTCCGTTGATGCTGCTGAATTCGCGTGTGTGGCGCTGCTGAAATCGAAGACAAGGCTCATGGTGCTGCTGCAGCCAAAGACATGGCACGTCGTGCTGCTGATGCCAAAGACAAGTCCCTTTGGTGCTGCTGAAGTCGAAGACAAGTCCCTTGGTGCTGCTGATGTCGAAGACAAGGAGATCGAGACGTTGGAGTTGAAGGGAGGGGCCCCCTCCACTCGCCACCCGCCTTGTCCTCCTCTCTACTTTTAGGTAAGATTCTGTTTTGGGTCTTGCTACTGCTGCACGTCTGATCTCAGTTCCGTTGCGTTTCCTTAAACAGTAAGCGCGTTTCTTTGAGATTTTATTGTTACTCAAGATCTGACCTTGTTTTGTTGCCTCGTGCAGGGAAGGAGCTGCTGGAAATGAAGAAAACTGAAGCTTCTCAAGTCGAATTGAAGGCATTCCTTGGGGATCCGCCACCCATCCGCCATCGCCATCGCCATCCGCCTCCCCACCATTCACCGGTTCTCCAGCTTAAACCCCCAAGTAAGTTATTTTGCGCTAGAGTTCATTTCGTTGTCACTTTTGCTATTGCTTCATCTCCGCACCCGCTTTCGTGCTTGCTTTCTTCTCGTCTTTACGATATACCTTGGTGATTTCTAACTTAGTTTGGTGATGTTGTGCAGGAATCCGAGTCTCCACTTCTGGAATTGAACGTAGCCCTGCTGGAGTCGAAGTGAACTCCATTGTTGCTGCTGACTTCGCGTGTGTGGTGCTGCTGAAATCGAAGACAAGGCTCATGGTGCTGCTGCAGCCAAAGACATGGCACGTGGTGCTGCTGATGTCGAAGACAAGTCCCTTGGTGCTGCTGATGTCGAAGACAAGGAGATCGGGTTGCTGGAGTTGAAGGGAGGAGCCCCCTCCACTCGCCACCCGCCTTGTCCTCCTCTCTTCTTTAAGGTAAGATTCTGTTTTGGGTCTTGCTGCTGCTGCACGTCGAACCTCAATTCAGTTGCGTTTCCTTGAACAGTATGCGCGTTTCCTTGAGATTTTATAGTTTCTCAAGGTCTGACCCTGTTTTGTTGCCTCGTGCAGGGAAGGAGCTGCTAGAAATGAAGGAAACTGAAGCTTGTCAAGTCGAATTGAAGGCATTCCTTGGGGATCCGCCACCCATCCGCCATCGCCATCGCCATCCGCCTCCCCACCATTCACCGGTTCTCCAACTTAAACTCCAAGGTAAGTTATTTTGCGCTACAGTTCATATCGTTGTCACTTTTGCTATTGCTTCATCCCCGCACTCGCTTTTGTGCTTGCTTTCTTCTTGTCTTTACGATATACCTTGGTGATTTCTAACTTAGTTTGGTGGTGTTGTGCAGGAATCAGAGTCTTCACTTCTGGAGTTGAACGTAGCCCTGCCGGAGTCTAAGTGAACTCCATTGTTGCTGCTGACTTCGCGTGCGTGGTGCTGCTGAAATCAAAGACAAGGCTCGTGGTGCTGCTGAAGTCAAAGACAAGTCCCTTGGTGCTGCTGATGTTGAAGACAAGGCGATCGAGTTGCTGGAGTCGAAGGGAGGAGCCCCCTCCACTCGCCACCCGCCTTGTCCTCCTCTCTCCTTTAAGGTAAGATTCTGTTTTGGGTCTTGCTACTGCTGCACGTCTGATCTCAGGTCTGTTGCATTTCCTTAAACAGTAAGCGCGTTTCCTTGCGATTTTATATTTACTCAAGATCTGACCTTGTTTTGTTGCCTCGTGCAGGGAAGGAGCTGCTGGAAATGAAGAAAGCTGAAGCTTCTCAAGTCGAATTGAAGACATTCCTTGGGGATCCGCCACCCATCCGCCATCGCCATCGCCATCCGCCTCCTCGCCATTCACCGGTTCTCCAACTTATATCCCAAGGTAAGTTATTTTGCGCTAGAGTTCATTTCGTTGTCACTTTTGCTATTGCTTCATCTCCGCACTCGGTTTTGTGCTTGCTTTCTTCTTGTCTTTACGATATACCTTGGTGATTTCTAACTTGCTCAAAGGAGTTGAAGGGAGCTGTTGAAAGGAGTTGAAGGGAGCTGCTGAAAGGATTTGAAGGGAGCTGCTGAGAGGAGTTGAAGGGAGCTGCTGAGAGGAGTTGAAGGGAGCTGCTGAGAGGACTTGAAGGGAGCTGCTGAGAGGCGCTGCTGAGAGGCGCTGCTGAGAGGCGCTGCAATTTAAGAGGCTGTCTCCTTTCAAGCAGTCTCCTTGTAAGCAGTCTCCTTGTGCTGTCTCGACCTTGCTTCAATTTTTGTTTTCCCAGCCATTTCTGTTCCACTATACTGACTTGGTGTTTTCGTCTTGTGCAGGGAGCTGCTGGGAGGAGTTGGCATGGCATGGCATGGATGACGTGGTATGGGATGACATTGCATGGATGACGTGGCATGGCATGGCATGGCATGGCATGGCATGGCATGGAATGGAATGGAATGGAGTGGAGTGGAATGGAATGGAGTGGAGTGGAATGGCATGGCATGGAATGG